TTATGAACCTATTTTATCCGATTTATCTAAGGAACTATACAAAATTGATGTACATATTTTTGATATGTATATGGTCCTAGAATTATTTATATTCTTCCCTGAAATATTGTTCCTTCTCCCAATTTGTCATTAGGAATGTTCCTGATTTTTATTTCATTTTTCAAATTAAATTTATTGCATAAGTTTAATCAGAATTTAAAACCAGAAACTAACATTTAAGGTATTGAAATTTCTCATTTCCATACATGTAGATTAATTCAACATTCCAAAAGTATAATATTTACCAAAAATTTTGAATGATTAAAAGCCCAGTGGTATTAAAACATAATAATTAGCATATTTATTTTTAACATTTAATCACATATTGTTCTTCATAGATTTTCCTCCTCTTTTGTCCCCCTTTCTTCCTAACTTCTCATTTCCTTTAATATTCTTCTTCACCTTGCTCCCCTTTATTTTCTTACCTTTTATCTTCTTTCTTCTTGACTTCTTCCTGAATTTTTCTCTCCTTTTTTATCATCATCAAGAAGATTGAGAAAGGTAACTTTTTTGGCATGTTTACTCATTTTTCTCCCCATGTTTTCTTACCTTGTTCCTATTCTTGATGCTCCAAAGCCACAATTTTGCTGTGTGCTCATCCATAGATGTCATTTAAGTCTCTCGGGGTTGACTGCTTGTGCTTCACTTTGGTAGTGCCTGATTAAGTTTTTCCTCAAGGACAAATAGGAGTAGTGATGATATGATGATGGTTAGAGTATTTTAATAACTATGTTGAAATTGGATCTGAATTAGTTGATAGATGATATGAGTTACATTTGAGCTACAGATTTGAATGTTTCTTGATATGAATTCGTTTCTTATTAATGTATGCATACCTCATGTAGATGAGAGTGGTTTTATCAATATTGTTATTCAAATTTAATTTCATCAAAACTTTCTCCAGAAAAATCAACTTCAAAATATTAAATATGTTTCAGAACATGAGTGATTATCATTGCATAACAAAAGGCAGACAACTTATTTATGACTGATTTCCTTTGTTTGATTATAAATTGGCCAAGGTAGAAAATTCTATACTTTATTTATATAGAATTGTTCTCAAATAATTATAGTAAAGCCTCTAATGTGAATGAGGAGGATATACACAAGTATTTCTAGGTTTAATGATTTTATTCTCAATGTTGAGTCATATAAAAACAAAAAAATATTATAAAACCTAATTTGAGCTCTAAAAACATATTTATCCAATAATAACCTAGATATAAATGTTCATATATTGATTTGGGGATTAGTGTATCCAAACATTTTCTAGCAACTTTTAGATCCACAAATCATATCTAAATTTTTACATATAGTCTTGATTGTATTAAAAATATTTTTTTCAGTTCTCAAATGAAGAAATAGATGTCAAGAATGATAGGCACATAAAATTAAAATCAGATCAAATGAATGTTTTAGAAGGAAATTACAAGAGAGAGAATGTAGGTTGACTGAATATGTCAACCTACTAAAAATTGTGTGAACCCATAAACATATCAATCTATGAGAAAGAGAAATATAACATTTATGATGAAAGAAAAATAGAAGACCTTTTCCTAAATGACATGTCAAATTGTGTAATGCTTTTCATAAGATCTATAATTAGACTAGCATAGCCTAACAAGTAAAAAAATCTAATAATCGTTGGAAAAATAAATACTCATAAAAATAAAATATTCATAAAAAGATATAAGATATATTAAATATCATTGACTTCCAGGTTTTTTGTTTGGCTAAATTAGAAGATACTCAAACTGATGATGTGACCCCAATATAATTTTTTTCGTTTGATGACTAGTCAACCCACATGTAACCTAAATATTTTTTATTGATAATCTCATTATTTGATTTCTAAAGGTCAAAGTCCTGAACTTTATAAATAGCCCTTCAAAGAGCTTTCAAACAGAAATGTAGGATATATCACCTCATCCTACTCTTCTTTAACTTCACTTGAGAGAATTTCACCTAAAACTCTTGCATGTCGAAGCCTTCTTTTTGTCTCAAATTGACAAACCACCAACAAAAATAATTTTTAAGCATCAAGGTATCATTATAAGTTTAATATGTAAAGTCTATTTAGATAATCAAGTCATCACATTATGTTTGGAAATACCTAGAATAGAAGGATTTATAGTCATTTGATCTTTCCTAGCACCATTTCCCCAACTGTTCAAATCCTTGATTTCCATTATTTTCCTTTAAGGAATGACAAATAAAGTTAACAGGGTTAACCTCTTTGTACCACACATTTCACAAGTTTATATCTTCACATTATATGCCAATGTACTAGTTTATCTATTTGTCAATGTTGCGAGTATTACTAGAGTGACTTCACATATGATAAGTTTTTATAAAAAAAATTAGTGATAAAGACAAGTAGGAGAGTACATACTTTGCTGAAATAAAAGCTTATTTATTGATAAATATGGGTTGAGCAAGAGAGGAATCTTGAGTACAAGAACTTGCACTAAAATCATTAGTTCACCAACTTTTAACTAGGTCAAATGGAAGACATGTTAATCAAGAATATTCAAATGTGTTATTGATCTTATAATGTCACAGATATGCTGTCCTCATTATTCTATGCTTTATATTAGATATTCTTCCAAATACTTTCCAAGTTTCATTTGTGGTATCTAATATTTGCCATGTATGTACTGCATTCTTTAATCTTTTACCATGTGACACCTTGATCAATTAGACTTAGCCAAGTGTGACTCAAGTATTAGAAACTTTGTCATGTGCCATGGCTATAGTTGAATATATTACCATGTGTCACTTTGGCTATACAATATATGTCATGTGTTACTCATGTTGCCATATATTGGTTTGGGTTGAATGTTTGACACTTGTTGCTTGTATTGGATGGTTTCCACATGTCAAGTTCATTGTCAAAGGTTTGCATTGTGTCAAATACTTTGTCTATGTTTTTGCCTATGTCTAATGAGCTTTCCTTGTTTGGATTTCAGCTTTTCCTTTCTCTTTTGACTAAAGTAATTATTTTATAAGTCTTGGTTGTTTTGATGATGATCACAATAGATGGATGGTAGTTTAGCTAATTACTTGATTATGAAATTACATAACGTGAAAGTATGAAGATCCTAAATACTATAGGTGAGTTTAAGATGATAAAATAATTTAAATGTCTTGATTGCATTATTATTATCTATTGAGTAATAATGAAAAATATTATCATAGTTTATCTTGATTTATTTCATGTTGAAAAAGGCATAATAGATTTATTTATTGAGCTTGAATGTAAGAAGTAATAGGCTTATTTGTTGGGCCTGAATCAAAGACATAATGGATCTATAAATTAGAATTAAATTAAAAGTGCATTAGATCTAGTTAGTGGACCTTAAATCTGAGGTGTAACAGATCTATCATTTGCTTTATTGGATCTAGTTTTGTGGGATGTAGAATAAAAAACTATCAGATTGCTTTACAATACGGTAAATGGATCTCGTTATTTCATATAGATCCAAAGGTCAGTAAAATCTACTCAAGCATAGACATTTGAGTAAATGAATCTATCACTTGTACCATATTGTGTCCGAAATTTAAATGAAATAAACCATTGCTTGTCTATTTTGTATATGGCACAATAAGATTTCTGAGTATTTATATGAGAGTAAATTGACAAAAAACCCTAATCCCTAATTTTTGAGCCAAGGCTAATCATGAAGGAAAATAATAAGAAAGAGGGGCCAATCAATCTATGCTTCTCCATTGGTTATTCTTGTAATGAGAAAGCTCAAGCAAGCATCAAGCGACCATGCTTCTTCACCTTGTAATCTTGCTTGTGACAAAGAAGAAGAGAAGATGGTACATTATTTCATTCCAATGCTTTATGCTGAACCATGTAGAAGAAAACAAGAATATATTTTCATGCTTGATCTTTAAAAGAGAAGACAAATTTTAGTCACTGTATAACAACTTTCTGATAAAAACCATGAAGAGAAGATGTCATTTTGTGCTTCTATAGAGGGAAGGCAAGAAAAATGATAGATTCAATCAACACAACGTTTTTTGATCAAAACCAAGAATATAATTAAATTTTAATTTCCCAAAGTAAGTGAAGAAGAAAAACTTGATTTATTCATGATGCTTTCAAATTACAACATCAAAGACAAGAAAAGATCTTGGTTTAGCAACCTACAATTACTTACCTAGGTCCACCAAGAAGAAGGTGTAAAGTGATTTACCTAGAGAAATCTTTGTCATGTATCTTACGTGGTAATGCTTGTTCCCTCATGTTTGGCACACATTAGGTTTTAACACATATAATGAAAAATTTATTTATGAATTATTCTTGAATTAGTCATGGCATAGTTCAATCATCTATATGCATTACATTGTTTTCTTCACAAGACAAGTATTATTAAAAAATATTTAAATTATGTATACTGATGATGCTTGACGTGACTCAGTCATTGTATATTAAATCACGCAAATATAAAATTTGTAAAACTAGAAAATACGAATTTTCGGATATTTAGAAGTATCTCTAAATAAATATATAAATTATAATTTAATAAAAATTCCAAAAATAGCGGTAATTTTCTAGGTCGATCATAGGGATGTAATATAATATCTGGTAATTATTCAGAATTTTTCTCAATGAATACGATTTTCTTACGAATTTTATACTAGGAAATAAAAAGGAAATATATTTAAAATTCACGAAAAAAAAAAGGAAATAAGGGTGCGGGCGTCAGGATGACGTCAGCGCTCGGCAAACGCAAATCAGGCAGAAACAGAGTTCCACCCGGTGATTCTTACGTAAGCGATTACAGACGACTTAATTAATCAAATTAAGATCTATAAAAGCCGAAAGAATCGTAATTTAACGAAGTATAGTTTGGTAAATTAAAATCACACAAAGTATTACTAAATGAAGCGTAAATTAAATTGAAAGCAGGAAAACAGAGTTCTGGTGTCGCGACGGTGATGCGTCGGCGATGCATCAGAATCCTGAGCATTTGGGAGGATTGTCGTGTAGTGTCCACTGCCTCGAAGGCTCTCCTTGGACAAAGACGACGTGGGCAATCTCTAGATCTTCTCGCGAAGTCCAGAGATCAATGAAGTGGGTCGTCGAATTGTCTCCGGCGGCTATCACCCGGCGGAGCGGAAAAACGGCGACTTTGCGGCTCTCTGGCGGCTGTCACCCGACGGAGAGGAGCTGGATGGAGGTGGGGCGCATGTCAAGGAGCTTCATCCTCAGGTCCGCGCAGCAAGAGGAGGCTCTTCATCGCATCTGGTACGCTCTCAGGAGGTGGCGACTGGTCTCCCGGTGGATCGTCCTCTTCCCGACGACGGCTTGTTCGTCGATCAATCGGAGATGATTTACTCGATGGATTCGCGATCCTTTTATCGCGAATCGTTCAGCAATTTTAGTAGCAATGCTCCGCGAATCGCGTTGACAAGATTTTCGCCGATGATCCAGCGATTCTCATTGCTTAATCCTTCACCGGCGATCTGCAAGAAAGTTGCGATAATCAAATAAAAATATATGAATTTTGACTTTGGGAGGATTCAAACCCGCACCGGTCGCCCCGCCTCTTCTAAGGAAGGTGTGATGGGGGTTTAGTCCCACATCGGTTGTACGCCGAGTTTTCGGGCGAATATATAGTAATGTTAGCTTTGTGAGCAAAGTCACTTCTCTCGCATGTACGACCACTCCTTGCCCCACAGCCAGTTGGCCACTGGTGACGTGGAAGGGGAATGGCGAATGCGCGTGTCCTGTCGGTTCCCAAGCCAAGCCGCTTGAGCCCCTACTTCACGGCTTACTCCCAGACCACGCTTCCGACCCGCTTGCGGGCCCGGCTGGCCAGCGGGTTCTCCTATTTTTGCAATATTTTTTTTTTATTTGTTCTTCATTTATCTCAAAAGTAAGACTGTAAAAATCGTATAAAATCACATAATTACCTAAAAATTCACGTTAATCAATTGAAAACCAAAAATCATTCTTTAACAGAAATATAAGTCTATTTATCATGAGTTAAGGCTAAAACTATATTATTTACTAATTATTAACTCATGATAATGAAGACTTATCAATGCCCTATGCGATTCAATAGTTAATAACAAATCTAAGGAGTCAAACTCTTGATATACATCTCTATATTCGAATAATACATCATAACACTGTTGAAATATAAATGTAAATAACATGTATTAACCACATGTGACAAAAATTTCTAATATATTCTTAAAAATCAAAGTCACTAGCAAGATTAAAACACTACACTTTAGCAATGTAAAGATAGAAGCATCAAGACAAAGAATATTTGAAAAGTTAAAGGGACAATGACATGCATGGGATTTAAACTCAAGAAGTAAAATTTACAAAAGTGAAAAAAACTATGGCCAAAGTATTCAAATCAAAGAATAGACAAAATTTGAAATAAAGAACACTATAGTGACAACATGAAAAGATAGTCAGATAATTAGAACAAAAATATATTACTAATGAATCAAGGAAAAACTCAAATCTTAGACCCACATGGCAACTAAGTTAGACTATCTACACAAAGTAAAAGAGGTAGAAAAGTCATTGTCACATAATCTCTATAGTGACATGGTAATATCTTATGTGGACAAAATGACAAAGTATGAATGATCAAACTTCAACCTACTTGACGTGACTTAGTTATTGTATAGTAAATCATGTAAATTTTAAATTTATTAAATTAGAAAATATAAATTTTTAAATATTTAGAAGTATTTATGAACAAATATATCAATTATAATTCAATAAAACTTTCAAAAATAGTAATAATTGTTTCGATCAATTACAAAGATGTAATATAATATCAAGTAATTATTTAAAATTTTCTTCAAAGAATACTATTTTTTATGAATTTTATACTAGGAAATAAAAATAAAATATATTTAAAATTCACGAAAAAGGAAAACAAGGGTGCGGACATTACGATGATGTTAGCACCTAGCGAATGCGAATCAAGCAGAAATAGAGTTCTATCTAGTGATTTTACGTAAGTGATTAAAGACAATTTAATTGATCAAATTAAGATTTATAAAAGCCAAAAGAATCCTAATTGAATGAAGTATATCTTAGTAAACTTAAATCAAATAAATTATTACTAAATGAAATGAAAATTAAGTTAAAAGTAAGAAAATAGAGTTTCGGCATTACAATAGTGATGCGTCGGTGATGCACTGGAATTCTAAACATTCGAGAGGATTATCATATAGTGTCCATGGCCTCGAAGGCTCTTCTTGGACAAGGACTACATGGGTAATCTCTAGATCTCCTTGTGAAGTCATAAAATGGGTCGTTGAATCGTCTCTAATAGCTATCACTCGGTAAAGTAGAAAAATGACGACTTAGTGTCTCCGACGACTGTCACTCGATAGAGAGGAGTTGGATAAAGGTAGGGTGTATCTCAAAGAACTTCATCCTTAAGTCTGCACATCAAGAGGAGGCTCTTCATCGCATTCAGTATGCTCTCAAGAGGTGGCGACTTGTCTCCTAGTGGATTGTCTTCTTCTTGACAATGATTTGTTCGTCAATCAATTAGAGATACTTTACTTGATGGATTCACAATCTTTTTATCACGAATCATTCAATAATTTTAGTAATAATATTTCACAAATCATGTTTATGAGATTTTCGTCGATGATCTAACGATTTTGGTGGCTTAATCCTTCACCAACGATTCAAAAGAAAGTCGTGATAATTAAATTAAAAATATGAGTTTTTGCTTTAGGAAGATTCGAACTTGTGTTGATTGCCCACTTGTATGAGAGATTAAAATAAGTACTTTAATACTCTTATCAAATGATGTCATCATGATATATCATTGTTATAAATAAGGGATATTGTAAGTATTAAAATCATCAAAGCCTTTCTAAGAAAGGTGTGATGCGGATTTAGTCCCACATTATTTGTGCGCCGAAGTTTTAGGCAAATATATAGTAATATTATATTTACAATTAAGTCACTTTCTCTCACATATACGACCACTCCTTGCCTCACAGTCAGTCGGCCACTACTTATACTCTTTATCTTCAAAGTTGAATTAGAGTAATGTCACTAAACTTATTATTTAGTTCACTAACTCATGATAATGAAAACTTATCACTACTATTAAGAATAATATAATTTATTGAAATAACATAAATCTTAAGATAGAAGTTTTGAAGACTACATATGAGAAACTTACATGTTTCAAAGTAAACAAATACTCAAGGTTAACCTCACCTCTAGATAATAACAAATTATCAGACTTCATGAACTAAATAATAAGCTCAGTGACATTATTCTAGTTCAACTTTAAAGACAAAGATGTCTATTGACCAGTTGAGGATCTCTAAACACAATATTAAGTACAACATACTTATGAGCAAAAAGAATTTAGTTGAAGTATGAATGAATGTCAAAAGTGTAAATTATGAATTATAGATGATAACTCATCTGTAAAAGACGTAGACTAAAGACCAGCAAAATGATCTCTTCTAAGTAAGCCATTGAAAGAAAATCTCGAAGTGAAAAATAGTTGAAGGTTATTGGAGTGCCAACAAAATAATAGAAAGATATTCAAATCAATATGACCATTTTTAGACATTGAAATAATAAAATATCTATTAGTATAAAGAGATCAAGTTGAAAAGGAACAAAGTTAACACTAAATAAAAAAAAAATCATCTACATTACTCACATGATCTCAAAAAGACCTACTTTATACTCTACAATAAAGTGACTACATATTCAAAGATATGATTCAAAGTCTCATTGACGTGACTTAGTCATTTTGTAGTAAATAACGCAAACTTAAAATTTATAAAACTAGAAAATATGAATTTTTAGATATTTAGAAGTATTTCTTAACAAATATATTAATTATAATTTAATAAATATTTGAAAAAAAGTGGTAATTTTTAGGTCAATCAAAGGAATATAATATAATATCTAGTAATTATTTAGAATATTCCTCAAAGAATACTATTTTCTATAAATTTTATACAAAGAAATGAAAAGGAAATATATTTAAAATTTACAAAAAAGAAATATTAGGGTACAAACGTCAAGATGACGTCAACACTCGACGAATGTGAATCAGGTAGAAATAGAGTTATGCTTGATGATTCTTATGTAAATAATTACAAATAATTTAATTGATTAAATTAAGATATGTGAAAATAGAAAGAATCGTAATTAAATAAAATATATCTTGATAAATTTAAATCACACAAATTAGCACTAAATGAAGCAGAAAGTAAGTTGAAAGTAGGAAATTAAAGTTCCGATGTCGCGGCGACAATGCGTCGGTAATACACCAAAATCTTGAGCATTTGGAAGGATCGTCATGTAGTGTCCACCAACCTCGAAGGCTCTCTATGGACAAGGATGACAGGGGTAATCTTTAGATCTCCTTGTGAAGCTTAGAGATCAATGAAATGAGTCATTGAATCGTCTCCAATAGTTGTCACCCAACGAAGCGGTAGAATGATGACTTTGTCTCTAACAACTGTCACTTGATGGAGAAGAGCTGGATAGAGGTGAGATGCATGTTAGAAAGCTTCATCCTCAGGTCCGCATAATAAAAGGAGGTTCTTCATCTTATTTGGTATGACTCTCAAGAGGTGAGAACTTGTCTCTTAGTAGATCGTCTTCTTTCTTACGACGACTTATTTGTCAATCAATCAGAAATACTTTACTCAATAGATTTGTGATCCTTTTATCACGAATCGTTCAATAATTTTAGTAACAATGATCTGCGAATCGCATTGACGAGATTTTCGCCAATGATCTAGCTGTTTTGGTGACTTAATCCTTCACTAGCGATTTGTAGGAAAGTCATGATAATCAGATAAAAAATATGAGTTTTGACTCTAGGAAGATTCGAACCTACACCGGTTGCCCAACTATATGAGAAAGAGTGACATAAGTACTCTAATGCCCTTATTAAATGATGTCATCATGGTATATCATTATTATAAACAAGGGATATTGTAGGTATTAAAATTATCAAAAATTTTATAGAGAAGGTGTGATGCGGGTTTAGTCTCACATCATTTGTGGGCCAAAGTTTCAGGCAAATATATAGTAATATTACATTTGCAATCAAGTCCCTTTCTCCCACGTGTACGACCACTTCTTGCCCCACAACTAGTTGGCCACTAGTGACATGGAATGGGAGTGACACACATATGCCTCTATTAGTCCTAGCTACTCAAGCCCTTGCTCACGGCTCCTTCCTAACTACACTTCTGACTTGTTTGCGGGCCCGACTAGTTGGCAAGTGCCCCCCATTTTGCTATATATTTATTTTTATTTCTTTTTTTTTATTTATCTCAAAAATAAGATAATAAAAATCATATAAATTTATATAAAATCACATAATTAGCTAATAATTTATGTTAATCAATCGAAAACTACTTTTCACACTTTAACATAAATATAAGTCTATTTATCATGAGTTAAGTCTAAAACTATATTATTTATTAATTATTAACTCATGATAATGAAGACTTATCACTCATCCTACATAATCTTTTAGAGTAACTTATTAACTAAATAGTTAAGATGTAGATTGTTTCTCTCCATTAGGTCCAAGGTAACTGATAAGTCTTCATTATCATGAGTTAATAATTAGTAAATAATATAGTTTTAGCCTTAACTCATGATAAATAGACTTATATTTGTGTTAAAGCATGAAAAGTGGTTTTCAGTTGATTAACGTGAATTTTTGGGTAATTATGTGATTTTATACGATTTTTACAGTCTTAGTTTTGAGATAAATGAAGAACAAGAAATAAAAATAAAAATATTGCAAAATGGGGGATCCGCCGGCCAGCCGGGCCCGCAAGCGGGTCGGAAGCGCAGTCGGGGAGTAGCCGCGAGCGGGGCTCGAGCGGCTTGCTTGGATCGATAGGGGCACGTGTGCGCCACTCCCCTTCCACGTCACCGGTGGTCAGCCGGCTGTGGGGCAAGGAGTGGTCGTACACGCGAGAGGATTTTGCCTACAAAGCTAACTTTACTATATATTCGCCCAAATAATCCGCGCACAACCGATGTGGGACTAAACCCGCGTCACACCTTGTTCAGGGGCGGGCGACCGCCGCAGGTTCGAATCCTCCCAGAGTCAAAATTCATATATTTTTAACTGATTATCGCGACTTTCCTGCAGATCGCCGGTGAAGGATTAAGCAACCGGAATCGCTGGATCATCGGCGAAAATCTCGTCAACGCGATTCGCGGAGCATTGCTACTAAAATTTCTGAACGATTCGCGATAAAAGGATCGCAATCCATCGAGTAAATCATCTCCGATTGATCGACGAACAAGCCGTCGTCGGGAAGAGGACGATCCGCCGGGAGACCAGTCGCCACCTCCTGAGAGCGTACCAGATGCGATGAAGAGCCTCCTCTTGCTGCGCGGACCTGAGGATGAAGCTCCCTAACACGCGCCTCACCTCCATCCAGCCCCTCTCCGTCGGGTGACAGCCGCCGGAGAGCCGCAAAGTCGCCGTTTTTCCGCTCCGCCGGGTGACAGCCGCCGGAGACGATTCGACGACCCACTTCATTGGTCTCTAGACTTCGCGAGAAGATCTAGAGATTGCCCACGTCGTCTTTGTCCAAGGAGAGCCTTCGAGGCCGTGGACACTGCACGACGACCCTCCCGAACGCTCAGGATTCCGGTGCATCGCCGACGCGTCGCCGTCGCGACGCCGGAACTCTGTTTTCCTGCTTTATCTAGAGATTGCCCACGTCGTCTTTGTCCAAGGAGAGCCTTCGAGGCCGTGGACACTGCACGACGATCCTCCCGAACGCTCAGGATTCCGGTGCATCGCCGACGCATCGCCGTCGCGACGCCGGAACTCTGTTTTCCTGCTTTCAATTTAATTTACGCTTCATTTAGTGATACTTTGTTGATTTTTATTTACCAAACTATACTTCGTTCAATTACGATTCTTCCGGCTTTTACAGATCTTAATTTGATTAATTGAGTCGTCTGTAATCGCCTACGTAAGAATCGCCGGGTGGAACTCTGTTTCCGCCTGATTCGCGTTCGCCGGGCGCTGACGTCATCCTGATGTCCGCACCCTTATTTCCTTTTCTTTTTGTGAATTTTAAATATATTTACTTTTTATTTCCTAGTATAAAATTCGTAAGAAAATCTTACTCATTGAGAAAAATTCTGAATAATTACTAGATATTATATTACATCCCTGTGATCGACTTGGAAAATTACCGCTATTTTTGGAATTTTTATTGAATTATAATTGATATATTTATTTTGAAATACTTTTAAATATCCGAAAATTCATATTTTCTAGTTTTATAAATTTTATATTTGCGTGATTTAATATACAAAGACTGAGTCACGTCAGTAACCTATGTGGTGAGTAGAGGGAATATAAGGATAAGGAACAAGGTATTAAGAATTAATATCTACAAGTGTAGAATGTTGGTATTTGAGGAAAACTATATCTTGACTTAAGCATATAGTGTTGTGAGTTAATGCATACAAGTGAGGGGTAAGATCTTAGTGGAGATTAAACAATATTGTTTGGGAGAGTTGACTCATAAAGTCAGCCATATTTATGTTGAGAAATACTAAAAATCCAATATGGAGATCTTTCAAAATTGAATGTAGCCCAAGGAATGATAAACAAGTATTAAATATGTCTATTATTGTCATGCATGAGAGAAAAGAACCTAAGTGACCTCGTAGTCAAAGGAAGAGATTTAGGTCTAGTTGTATATAGATTAGACAGATCGTGTTATAACATGCATTCACACACACACACACACATATGTATATATATATAGATGTGTAGCAAATCAGAAGAAAAATGTAGGATATCAATTAATCCCTCCCTCCTATTAGTACTTCACTTAGTCACATTGAACTCAACAATTAATATTAGAGCCCACCTCGATCAATACATATTAAAGCATCTTAGGGTGTAAATCCTATGACTATTGAAATAAAAAAATCTTCAAAGCCCAAATCATCTATGTTTGATGGAATGAATTATGTATTTGGAATATTAGAGTTAGAATCTATGTGACAAGTCAAGGATTAAAAGTGTCTTTGAGTTCAACTAAACACAATTAATGTTTTTGAGTTTAACTGTGTATTCAATTGTGAAATAGTGAATGAGATATGTGATAAATTAGAACATATGAATGTGACGAAAACTAGGATCAACACCCTAGTGTGAAGATATGAATCATTTTACATAAAAGAAAGAGAATTCATTACTGACCTTGTCAAGAGATATGATGATATCATAAATACTATGAGAAATATAAGCAAGGTATTCCATAATAGAGACAAACTGAAAGCTATTACCTACATTAATAATGAATGGCTAAGAAAGCCACAATCATAGAATCAAAGAATCTGAAGATTATCTCCTTAGATTAAATTGTTGGTTCACTCCTAACTCATGAAATAGATGTGATTAGAAATAGAGTCCTTGTTGGAAGTATATTTCATGGCTAGAACTTCAAAGGTATGTGATGTCAATGACTCTCCCTCATATTTGTAAGACGATTTAGATGAACTCATTGATGCTTTTGAAGATATTAGACATAAATTGAAAGTATTGCAACAAAAAACCTCAAACTTAAAGAGTAAAATTATTCATTAGAAAACAAAATAAGGAATAGTACTATCCTTACCAAAATAGTGGAAAAGGAGAATGAAAGTCTTATAGAGAAATTAGTAGATTATAAAAGGAACTTGAAGATACATCATCTCAACTTGATATTCTCACTGTCACCAAAGAAAAATAAAATTGAGTCTTTATGACAACAAAAATATCATAAGCACATAATGAGATTATGACCCAAAGATCTAAGAAAATCTTATCTTTTCAGGCCACAAAATGTTGAATACATGAGTGTGTTATCATAGAACTAAACATAGACAATCTTGAGCTAAGAACAAAAAATGAGAATCTAAGTAAATAGATCAAACAATCAATTCAAAAGGACCAAAAACTAAAAAAGAAATTATTTGATTTGATGTTATACTACAAGAAAGTGTGTGGAAGTCATAAGGAATTAGATATGATGTTAGGAAGCTATAACATATCTTTTATAAATGGACTATGTTATAATCTGAAATCACTAGGGAGTGATTAATGGAACTAGACTAGTTAGTAGAACTAGAGTTGGACCAAAAGCATGATTTATCTAGGTACCTAAGGGTAAGAAAGATAAACCCAAAGTAATTTGGGTTCTGCATCTAATAACTTTATTATGTTTTTCAAGGGGATATCTTGTGAACCATCTCACAGTGATATTTGGACAGCGGGTGTTCAAGGCACATAATTGAAGATTAGAGTTGACTCTCTACATTCAAGTCAATGGATTGAGGAGAAGTCACATTTAGGGATGACAAAATAGAAAATATTCATGGGTATGAAGATGTTCGATTAAATGATAAATCTGTTGTCAAAATGTTCTTATTGTTGATTAACATTTGTCAGCTATTTGGTAATAACATTGAAGTTTGATTTAGACTAGACATGTGATAACTACATCAAAGGAAACCAGATTAGAGAACATTTAAAATTGAAGCAACTTATTCATCTTATATTTATTTGGTCCAAATCAAATTGTTAGCTTTGAGGAAAGAATTATTGTCTTGTCATTGTTGATTTTTTTATATTTACCTAGGTAAGTTTCTTTTGCACAAGAATGAAATATTTAATTTCTTCATGAAATTTTTAAAGAGAATACAAATTGAAATAGATACACTAATTATAAATATCAAAAGTGATCATGGAGGAGAATTCAAAAATAATATATTTTTGAAATTCTATAATGAACTAAGAGTCACGAATGAATTCTAAACCCTTGTAACTCTCTATCAAAATAGAGTTGTAGAAAGAAAAAATAAAATATTATTTGACATATTTAGGACAATGATAGTTCAAAGTAATTAATAAATCTTCATTATCATGAGTTAATAATTAATAAATAATATATTTTTAGCCTTAACTCATGATAAATAGACTTATATTTATGTTAAATTATGAAAAGTATTTTTTAGTTGATTAATATGAATTTTTAGCTAGTTATGTAATTTTATATGAATTTATATGATTTTTATAGTCCTATTTTTGAGATAAATAAAGAATTATATATATATATACAAAAGGAAAGACTGACGTGACTTAATCATTGTATATTAAATCACGCAAATCTAAAATTTATAAAACTAGAAAATATGAATTTTTGAATATTTAGAAGTATTTCTAAATAAATATATCAATTATAATTCAATAAAACTTCCAAAAATAGTGATAATTTTTCAAGTCGATCACAGAAATGTAATGTAATATCTAGTAATTATTCAGAATTATCTCAATGAATATGATTTTTAATAAATTTTATACTAGGAAATAAAAAGGAAATATATTTAAAATTCACAAAAAAGGAAAATAAGAGTGCAGACGTTAGGAAGACGTCAGCGCCCGACGAACGCGAATCAAGCGAAAATAGAGTTCTGCTCAACGATTCTTATGTAAGCAATTACAGACAATTTAAACGACTAAATTAAGATCTATAAAAGCTGAAAGAATCGTAATTGAACAAAGTATATTTTGGTAAATTAAAATCACAAAAATTATCACTAAATGAAGCGTAAAGTAAGTTGAAAGTAGGAAAATAAAGTTCCAATGTCACGACGGCGATGCATCGGTGATGCAATGAAATCTTGAGCGTTTGGGAGGATCGTTGTGTAGTGTCCATGGCCTCGAAGACTCTCTTTGGACAAAGATGACATGGGCAATCTCTAGATCTTCTCGCGAAGTCTAAAGATTAATGAAATGGGTCGTCGAGTCATCTCTAATGGCTGTCATCCAGCGGAGTAGAGAAACGGCGACTTTGCGGCTCTCCAGCGGCTGTCACCCGACAGAGAGGAGCTGGATGGAGGTGGGGCGTTTGTCAGGGAGCTTCATCCTCAAGTTCGTGTAGTAAGAGAAGTATCTTCATCGCATCTGTTACTCTCTCAAGAGGTGGCGACTAATCTCGCAGTAGATCGTCATTTTCTCAACGACAGCTTGTTCGTCGATCAATCAGAGATGATTTACTTCATGGATTCGTGATCCTTTTATCATGAATCATTCAACAATTTTAGTAGCAATACTCTGCAAATCGCATTGACGAGATTTTCACTGATGATCTAACGATTCTCGTTGCTTAATCCTTCATTGGCGATCTATAAGAAAGTCACGATAATCACATAAAAATATATGACTTTTGAGTCTAGAAGGACTTGAACCCACGCCGATCGCCTGCCTCTTTTGAGGAAGGTGTGACGCAGGTTTACTCCCACATTGGTTGTGTGCTGATTTTTTGAGCAAATATATACTAATGTTATATTTCTAAGCAAAATCCCTTTTCTCACGTGTACGACCGCTTGTTGTCCCACAACCGGCTGGCCACCGGTGACGTGGAAAGGGAGTGGCGCACATGTGCCCCTATTGGTCCAAGCTGCTCGAGCCCCTACTTGTGGCTACTCCTTGATTGAGTTTCCAACCCCTTTGTAGGCTCAGCAAGTCGATCGGTCTCCCTCATTTTGTCTTATATTTATTTTATTTTTTTTTCTTCATTTATCGCAAAAACAAGACTATAAAAATCATATAAATTCATATAAAATCAATGAATAAGAAAGATATAATATAATATTAGATAAAATTTCAAATTTTTCTTCAAAGAATATGATTTTTTATAAATTTTATTCTAAGAAATGAAAATAAAATATATTTAAAACTCACCAAAAAGAGAAATAAGGGTGCGGACAACAAGATGACATCAATGCCTGATGAACGCAAATTGAATAGAAAGATAGTTTCATCTAACTATTCTTATGTAAGTGATTATATATAAAAGTCGGAAGAATCGTAATTGAATAAAGAATAATTTGATAGATTTAAATCACACAAATTATCACTAAATGAAAAAAAAATTAAGTTGAAAATAAAAAAATAGAGTTTCGACATTGCAGTGGTGATGTGTTGGCGATGCATCAAAATTCTAAGCATTCAGAAGGATCATCTTGTAGTGTCCATAGCCTCGAAGGCTCTCCTTGGACAAAGATGATGTAGGCAATCTTTTGATCTATTTGCGAAGTCTAGAGATCAATGAAATGAATCGTTGAGTCATCTCTAGTGACTGTCACCTAATAGAGTAGAAGAATGACAACCTTTGTAACTCTCTAACAGTTATCACTCGACAAAGAAGAGCTAGATGGAGGTGAGACGCCTATCAAGGAGCTTCACCTTCAGGTCTGTGCAACAAGAGAACACTCTTCATCACATTCGATACGCTCTCAAGAGGTGGTGACTCATCTCTTGATGGATCGTCCTCTTCTCGACGACAGCTTATTCATTGATCAATTAGAGATACTTTACTTAATAGATTCACAATCTTTTTATCGCGAATTGTTTAGTAATTTTAGTAACAATGCTCTACAAATCACGTTCATGAGATTTTTGTCGATGATCAAGTGATTTTGACAACTTAATCTTTCACTAGCGATCTATAAGAAAATCACAATTTAATCAGATAAAAATATATATTTTGGCTATAGTAGGATTCGAACCCACACTTGTCATCCACCTATATGAGAGATTAAAATAAGTATTATAATACCTTTATAAAGTAATGTCATCATGATATATCTTGTTATAACTAAGGGGTATTTAAGATATTAAAATAATTAAAACTATTTCAAGGAAGGTGTGACTGCCAATTTAGTCTTACATCAGTTGTATACTGAAGTTTTGGATGAATATATAGCAATATCATATTTACAAGCAATGAGTCCCTTTCTCGTGTGTACGACCACTCCTTGTCTCACAGCGAGTTCGTCACTAGTGACATGGAAGGAGAGTGGCACATACGTCCCCATTGGTCCATAGTTGCTTGAGCCCTTACTCACAACTCTGTGTTTATTGTGCTTCCGATTGACTTCAAGCTCAACTAGACGATGGGTCCCCCCTTTTTTTATCTTTTTATTTTTTATTTTTATTCATTTATGTCAAAAATAAGATTATAAAAAATCTTATAAATTCGTATAAAATAATATAATTAACTAAAAAATCACATTAATCAATTAAAAACTACTTTTTATAATTTAGCACATATATAAATCTATTCATCATGAATTAAGACTAAAACTATATTATTTATTAATTATTAACTCATAATAATGAAGACTTATCACCCACATCATACTTGTCCAATGAGAACCTTCAAGGTCATGGACATTGTAGAACAATTATCTTAAATGCTTAAGATTTCACTAATACATCACCATAGTAATGTTGAAACTCTATTTTACTATTTTTTAATTAGTTTAACTTCCACCATCATTTTCTCAAGAGGCGATGACTCATTTCTTGGTGGATTGTCCTCTTTCCAACAACAGTTTATTCATCGATTAATCAGAGATGATTTACTCAATAGATTCACGATCCTTTTATGACAAATCGTTCAATAATTTTAGTACTTATGCTCTATGAATCACATTGATGAGATTTTTGTCAAGAATTAAGCGATTCTAATAGCTTAATTCTCCACTAATGATTTGTAAGAAAATCGTGATTTAATTAGAAAAAAAGATAAGTTTTGACTCTAGTAGGATTCAAACCCGTGCTAGTCGCCTAACTATATTTAGACTTCTTCATCAACCATAATACAATGCAAAATGTTATCATCAACAAAATACTCATAATTTCTAACAAGGTACTCATCAACTTCCAATCTTCAATTTCATCCATTCTTCCCCAAGTTCAACCCCTAATTTCTTAGCAACAAGCTCCCTTCTAGCTAATCCCATGCCTATAGAGTTTTTAGTCCACTCAAGCAACCTATCCTATTCAAAATGAAGCCACGTTAGCTACTAATGAATTGGAGATGAATAAGAAAAAAGATAATGAGATAGTGCAAGCCTCACAAAAAGATAGAGAAAAATGATTATTTTAGCATAGAGAGACCATATTTGCAAGTTTGTGCACAATATGTTAATTCATATCAAAATCAATTTGATATGAATTCAATTTTGATGTAACAATTTATGAGGCAAATTATATAATAATTTTAGGAAACAAATACATCTATGATGAAGATGATAGAACACATTAGACAAGAAAATTAACAAACAACACTTAGGTTAGAAAAAGGGATAAGTAAATTAGTCTTGGCTAATTCAAAATGTGAAATAATTCATCTTCCTAGTCAGCTCATCACCCACAAATTCAGCCTTCTAGTATTCATGAACCATCTACATCTCAAGGTTTTGAAAATGTACAAGTAGTGACCACTTTGAGGAATGAAAAGTAACTCAAAGATCCATATACACTATATTTTTTAAAAAAATTAGTTTATGATGATGAAGTAATAAATGATGATGATAATGATCATGATAGTTTATTTTCTAATAATACAAATTTAGATGAAGAAAAAAAATAATCAAAAAAAGAAAAATCAAAAGTGTACATGCCACCCAAAATTCTCATTTTATCACAGTCCAATGAAATTAGAAAAATAGTTTCCTTTCTTAAGATATTAGAATCAAAACTTAAGAAAAGAACTGAACCTAATAAAGAGCTCATGAAATATTTAAATAAGTTCAAATCTCTATTTCATTGATAGATGCAATTAAACATATGCATATATATGAATTTTTTTAAAAAGAATAATATATACTTTGTAAATAAGTTTAGATCGTTAGTGTCATTATTTTTCATTCGTTGTATAAGAGATGTAAGGATTTAGGAGCACCTCTTATCTCATGTAAAGTGGGATAAACTACATTTACAAATGTGCTATTAGATTTGGGTGCAAGTGTTAATTTATTACCTTTGACTATTTTTGATCTTTTCGAATTAGGAGAATTAAAACTAACTTTATTAGAACTTCAACTAGTTAATAGATCTATTAAACAACCTATGGGTCTACTATAAGATATTGATGTAATGGATTTTTGCATAGAATAAATGAATTATGTTCAGCAAGGTGATCAATTAATTCTTTCATTCCATGTTGATGCAATAGATAAAAAAAAGTATAGAAAAATGGCGTTAGATCATAACATAATAGTTATAAAATCATAATTAAATAATCCCCCAAGTTTTAGAATTTAAGCCTCTTCCTCATTTATTAAAATACATTTTTGTTGAATAAATCAAACCTTACTTGTGATTATCTCCACCTTATTAACTGTTGAACATGAAAAGAAAATATTCAAGGTCTTACAAGAACATAAGAAAGCAATAGGTGGATGATGACTGATCTTAACGTGATCAGCCCATCAATTTGTTTGCATGTAATATATACAAAAGATAACTCAAAACCATCTAAGGAAATGTAATGTAGGCTGAACACAAAGATGAAATAAAGAAATCATTAAATAGTTAGATGCTGATATTATTTACCATATTTCTGATAGTGAGTGGGTCAGCCCAACACAAATAATTCCAAAAAAAGTTGGATGGATGATGATCAAAAAAGAAAAACGAGAAGAATTACAAACAAGACTCACTACAAGATGGAAAGTATGCATCGATTACCACAAGCCTAATGTAGTGAAAAAGAAAGATTATTTATCTTTACCATTTATTGACCAAATTATAGATAGACATGTAGGACAAAAATATTTATGTTTCTTAGATGGATTTTTAGGATATAATCAAATATCAATATTTTCATAAGATCAAGAGAATATAATATTCACATGTCATTTGGAACATATGCATTTAAACACATGTCCTTTGGTTTATGCAATGCACTGGCCACATTTTACAAATGCATGATGTCTATATTTACTAGAATGATTGGTGACTTTTTAGAAGTCTTCATGAATGATTTTTCAATATTTGGTGATTCATTTGATATATGTCTAAATAATATTTAAAATTTACTTAAGAGATGTGAAGAAATCAATCTAGTTCTTAGTTGAGAGAAAAGTCATTTCATGGTTAGAGAAGGTATTGTTCTACGGCATATTGTGAGTGAAGAAGAATAGAGTTAGATAGAGCAAAAATTAATTCTATTATTAATTTACCTTCACCCATTTTTTGTCCATCAAATAAATTATTTCTAATACATACTAGTTTCTATAGAAAATTTATTAAGGTTTTTTTAAAAATTGTTAAATCTCTTACAACATTACTTGTTAAAGATCACTTTTAATTTTGATCATGTTTATAAGCTTTTTCTATACTTAAGAATACATTGACAAAGGCACCTATTTTACAATCACTCACTTGGTCAATTCCTTTTGAAATCATGTGTGATGCTTCAAATTATGCATTGGGTGCTGTTTTAGGTCAACAAGTTGATAAAAAACTAATGGTAATTTATTATACAAGTAAAACTATTTTTGATGCATAAATAAATTATATCAGTACGGAAAAAGATTTACTTATAGTAGTTTTTGCCTTAGAAAAATTTAGATCTTACATCTTAGGATCTAAAGTTATTACTTATTCAGATCACACAGCCCTAAGATATTTGTTGACTAAGGAAGAAACAAAATCATGTCTACTTGAATGGATCTTATTATTGTAATAATTTAACTTAAAGATATGAGATAAGAAAGGTGTAGATAATGTAGTAGTTGATCATTTGTCTAGAACTGAAGGGCAAGAAAATATTGAATTAAATGATTTTTTTTATAATGAACATATTTTTGCCTTGCATAGTAAACTCACACCATAGTATACACATATAGTTAATTATTTAGTAATTGTAGAAATTCTATCACATTGGTAAAAAGATGAATGTGAATGATTCTTTGCTTGTGTTAAATATTATTTTTAAGATGACCCTAGTTTATTTCATCTAAGTTTAGATCAAATTTTATGAAGATGCATTCCTAAAAGAGAATAGTTTCAAATTTTAGAACATTGTCATTCTTATAGATGTGGGGGTCATTTTACAAGCAGAATAATAATAAATTTTTTTCTCAATATGGTTTCTATTGACCATCTTTATTTTAAAATACTCACATATTTTATAGGCAATGTATCAAATGTCAATCTGCCATAAATATTCAAAAAGGAAATATAATGCCTTCAAATATTCTTTTATGTCGAAGTTATGAATATATTTTGTTAGCTATTGGCTATGTGTCAAATGGGTAGAAGTTATACTAACAAGGACAAATGACCATAAAGTAGTTATTCAATTTGTTCAAAGTAATATCTTACATAATTTGCTTAGGCAATGAATTAATTCAAATTTATTCTATCATCTAGGTTTATTAAAAAATGGATAAACTCATGTACAACTCAATACTCTTCAACAATCTCGATAATGACCATGATCTGTAATTTTGGATCATGGGAACCTGTTAATCTCTTATTTAATGCACAATCAATATTCAATCAACACTGAAGTCAAGGTGTCAACACCTACGTAAAGAAAAGTACAAAGTGGGCTACTAGACTGGGGAAAGGACTCGAGCGTTAGCTAGAAAATGCCCTGCCAGCCCATGAAGAAGAGGCGGAAGAAGTGGCCACTAGCCGGGGCTTTGACCGCGGCGCACTTGTCGCTTTCTCCCTCCCTTCCACCAACTCTGACGCCCCAATTCGGCACAACAATTGGAGTTGTCTTTGATCTATGAGGAGAAAGAAAAGGAGACGGATTGCATCCGACTTCTTCCATGGATCGCGTCGAACCGTCCGTCGATTCGCCAGCCGGCGCCGGAGAACCGAACGCTTCGCCGCGGCGACAGCGGCAGACTAGTCCGGACGGCCCGGTCCTGGACTTGGAGGGCGTGGTGGTGCACGTAAAGAGCGCCCGCGAGGAGGAAGGACTCTTGGTGGCGCTGGAGGAGCTGGAGGGACTGGTTCACGGCAACATGGTGCCGGACGAGGTCGGGGGGAACGTCGTCGCAGTTCTACTCGACAGGGTGGGTTCCGTCGAGAAGGAGAACAGGCTGAAGATTTTCTCGCTCCTTAGGAGCCTGGCCTCACAGAACGATGTGATCAAGGTTCGGATAAGGCAATCGTTCTTCTTCTATCTGGTTCCCCAATAATTTCAGTCAAATTTACATTCTTTCAATGTACCCAAGTACAATACGGAACAACAGTGTTCCCCAGCATGATACATGACCCCCTAGGTATCCCATTCCAAGCAATAACTTCGCAGAATTATGCCCCAATATGTTGGGTCATTACATGTCCTTTTAAAGCTCTCGAGTATCAGTCCTTCGATCCACGAGACTCAGTACGGGGTCTGATTCCTGAATGTTTGACCATATCTTATACCATTTCGTCGTGCCCAGGAGAAGATGGCGGAGATCGGATCCCTGTCTGTAATCGTTCCCTCTTTGATCAGAGAGATCACAGAGAGTAGAGCGGCGGCTGGGCTTCTATCAGATTTATTGGGGGTTTCATCGGTGAGCCGAAGGATGGGGAGAGTTCAAGGTTGCATACTGATGCTGGTAACGTTACTCAACGGAGAAGACCATCTGGCCTCGGCAGATGCCAGGAAGATTCTGGATGCCCTCTCTGTCCACACCCAAAATGTGCTGCTCATGGCTGAGGCGGGGTACTTTAAGCCCATGCTGCATTACCTAAAGCGAGGTATCTTCTGAGAAGATCTACCTGATCTTCCATCGCCTCATGGACCCGAACAGTGTTGTTTATGTCCGTGCCCATGGGGTTTCTGTTGAGCCCACGCTTGACCAAGACCGAAAGCAAGGATCTTGGGGTTTCCGTGCCTATCAATTGAACCCATCTGACCTTCTCTCTTCGTGAAATGTCCGGAATTCCTCTCATTATCTCCTTCGGCTTCCCTTTCTGGCTATTCTGATCATTTGCGGCTTTGGGGCCTGGTGAAGAAACCTGCCCTTTGGCCATGAACTGACCGCTCCCCGTTCTCCAGGCTCTGATATGAACAAGATCCTCATGGCCACGGCGATTTCGCGGACGGAGCTGACGGAGCAGAAGAAGGTCGCCCTCGGAGACGGATCCATCGGGCCCCTCACGGAGATGTTCACCTCGGGGAAACTCGAGGCCAAGCTCTGCGCATTGGCCGCCATTCAGAAGCTCTGCTCCTCAGGGGTAAATGTGGAGCGCCTCATCGAGGCCGGGTTTGTGACCCCTCTGCTTCAGCTGCTCTACTCAGTCACGTCCGTTCAGATGACGCTCAGAGAGCCGGCCGCAGCCCTGCTCGCATCCATGGCGGAATCTAGGTCGATCCTGAAGCGCAGGAGCTTAGTTCGGCGGATGCTTTCCCTTCTCAGCACTTCCAACTCCGTGATTCAGTCCCACCTTCTACGGGCCCTCAACAACATCGCCAGCCACCCGCGCTCCTTGAAGATGAGACTAGAAATGAAAGAAAATGGCGCGGTCGAGCTCCTCCTGCCACTACTTTTGGAGGACACAGAACTCAGACGCCTTGCGCTGAGGATACTATTCAATATTTCCAGAGATTTGGATTTGACGGCGGAGCTGACGGGCTCCCATCTCGATCTGTTGGTCAACGTCATCACGACGTCCAGAGATCAAGATCAGAAGGCTGCAGCCTGTGGAGTCCTGAGCAACATCCCTACCAGCGACAAAAAGTCAACCGAGGCCCTTTCCAGAGCAAATCTACTCCCTGTCCTTCTCTCCCTGCTCGAAGAAACGATCTCCTCCTCTTCGACGCCATCCAGCGCTCTGGCGCTCGAGGGCATTACCGGCGTTCTGACGAGGTTCACTGTCCCCTGGGACAAGAATTTGCAGAGGACGGCAGCGGAGCTTGGGGCCATTCCTCTCCTCGTCAGGCTGCTCTCAGAGGAGAAGGCCTCCCCCGTCGTCCGCTCCAGAGCAGCCACTTCCTTGGCCCAGCTGTCCCAGAATTCTCTCTCCTTGAGCAAAGCCAAGGCCGCGAGGTGGGCGTGCGTTCCTTCCTCGGAGACGTTCTGCCAAGTCCACGGCTGCAGGTGCTCCCCTAGAACCACCTTCTGCATCGAAAAGGCCGGCGCCGTCCCCCCATTGATACAGATCCTGCTGAGCGGCGAGAGAGGGGCCGACGAGGCGGCCCTCGAGGCCCTCGCGACTCTGCTGCAGGACGAGACGTGCGAGAGCGGGATCGACGTCTTGGAGAAGAACTCGGGCGTCCACGCCATCATCAGGGTTCTCCAATTGGGGAGTCCGAGGGCCCAAGAGAAGGCCCTCTGGATCCTGGAGCGCGTGTTTAGGAATGAAGGCTGCAGGGGCAGGTACGGCCCAGCCGCCCAGGTTTTGCTCATCGATCTCGCCCGGGAGGGCAATCACTCTCTGAAGCCAATGATCGGTCAGATACTTGCTCATCTCCAGCTCCTACCATTGCAACCGAACTATTTCTGAATGATTCTTGTCATTTTTTACTCCCTTTTCTTCTTTTCTTTCCTGGTCTTAGTGAGAACGGGGGAGGGAGGAGCCTGTTCACCGCTGCATGCTATTTCCTGTTCTTAGCAGCGTGTAGCCTTGCCTTCATATCATCATCCGGCAAATTCTGTGCGGAAAATGAGAACAAGGATAGAAAAGAAGGATCTCCTCAAGATGGGTTTTTTATCTTCTTCCCCCTTCAACCCATCGGAGCTCCACTGCGTGTGAGCTTGCTTCCTTGGGGAAAACCATTTTGTGGGAACCAACTGGGGCCTCATATAACCAACGAGCAGTTGCCTCCAAGTTGAAGACCAACAGACTAAGGACAGCCAGCTGTTCTAGGACGAAGATCAAATAGATGAGGAACAGGTGAATAGCCCAGGATTCAGGGGAACAGCACCGTTTCAAGAAATAAAGTAGGACTCTTCCAGTCATAAAGATAGGCTCAGGCCTTGAAAAATCACCCTCACTCTGCCTTTCTCTGGGGACTCCTGAGAGCCACTAAACAGTTTCTACCTGAGGAAATAGCTTATCTAGCATGCCACTGGACAGAATCCCATGGGGATCGAGCTCTCTCCGGGCCTTATTGTACGCATCAACCGGGAACCGCTTCCTCAGCCGAGCTTGTAGCGTGGAAAGCTCCTCCTTGTCCTTTGGTACCTTCAAGAGAAGATGGTGTTAGAAGGGAAGGCCTAAAACCGGCTTCCTTGATCAACTGATTCGAGTAAAAGGGGAAAAGGGAGGCATCTAATTTGGAGTTTATTTGATATCAAGAAGACCGATCTTCATTGTATGAAGATACCCTTACTAGAACGTGGGTGAAGGTTAATCAACATTACCTCAATCTTTGCCCAATGTTCATATGCGGAGTACTCGCCCCAAAGCTCTCTCTGCGTGAGGCGCCTGTAACTGAAGAACTCCTCTGTAATTTCCTTCCTCTGCAGAGCATCTGACGTGGGCAGGTACATAATTATACCAACCTGGTGGAGGGAGGGAGGGAGGGAAGGAGCAAAGAAGAAAGCTTCTGAAATCAGTCGAGAGCTCAGAACGCATTGCCAAGTTTGAATAAATAGAGATATAAGCCAATATTATGGAGGCACCCAGCAGAAGATATCATCATCCAAAGAGCTTGAAGCGGGACTCATGAGGCTTCTGCTGCGGGCAGTCCATCTCTGCTCTATGGGAGCAGGGGCAGGGATCCCCTCCCTCTCTATGAGCCGCTTCAAGTCTTCTATGAACTGTATGTCCTTCATGCTGGGCTTCGCCAGGGTGCCCACTGGGAAACAGTTCTCCGAGACCCACTGCTGCCCACCACAATCGAAACCCAATATCTCATCGCTCCAGCCAACCCGGTAACCTTCTGACTTTCTCCAAAACTCAGCCTCGGCTTGGTTTACTTTCACCACATGATCTTTGTTGACGGGATCGAGCGCAAGAAGCTTGTCTCTCAGCTCGGTGAAAGAGAACTGGTTAATCTCTGAGTCCTCAATTTTTTCCTCAACCCTGAAGATTTGTAGATGATTGAGGTTAAAAGGCAGAGATATTTACCAAAAAAATTAGGAAACAAAAGAATGATAAAATTCCAACCCAAAAGCTGTAAATTTGGAGCTGGAAAGCTCAGCAGATGGATTGACATGACTTCATCTATAGTTCCTGAATTTATAATTAGATGCTCTACCTATACTTCCTGAGTGAATCACGATAAAGGTCACGGACATGCTGCAGTGCCTCATCCTTCCCATATTTGGAGTCGACCTTTGGTCTCCCTTTCCACTTTGAAAGAGGATTACACCGCACAACCACGACTGTGTCTGTGTAAGGAATCCACAGATACTTTATATGCTTATTTTCCGCCAGCCATTTTCTGAAACAAAACGGGTCAAATAGGACATCAAATTATGAACTGCATCTGAAATTCGAAGACTTAGGTGACGATATATGATTTCGAGACCGATTATTACTTGTGATTTTTCTTGATTTCGTCAATGTTGGACACAAAGGTGTGTTCGACGAGCTCATGCCGATCAACACACTGAATGGTGACTTCGGCAACGACTCCAAGGCCTCCTAGGCCACAGCGAGCGAGGCAGAACAATTCTGGATCTTCCTCCTCTGAAACCTCAATCGTCCCCTTTGCAGGAGTGACGAGTTTCATGCTGATGATCTGCTCGTCAATGGGAGGCAGGCATGCACCAGTACCATGGGCACCAACCTGTTCAAAGATTTAACAAGTTCAACAATAGTCTAAGCAGGTAATTAATGGAAGGAACCTGAGTGCCATCTCCAGTGGATGGCAGAAACCCAGAAGTATAATTAATGCAAGATGTTCAGTGTTCAATTTTAAGTTCGCAGCTCTAATTAAAATTGGAATTCTGTGGATCATCATGCTGTACTGTTGGGAGGGAACCAATTCCCCACCACATAATTGTCCTCCCAGATAAAGGTAAGCATTTCATTTAAATAAATCACCCTTCTCCAAATTGTGACATTTATTTTTTTGACGTAAATAATTTTAATTTCTATCATGGGAAAATATTGTTTCACTTGAGATTTCTATGGAAACTATGGTTTGGAAGCATTTAGTTAGTATAACAAGCAAATTTTACGATGAATAAATCTTTACACTTCGAAATTCACATATAAATCGTGCATATATATGAAACAAAGCGTTCATGATCGTCAAGCACTACAAAGCATTCAATCGCTGGCATTGATATATAAATTCGAAGGAAGCATTCGATCATCTAGCGGATGGCAGAAAATGAAAATCCTTCAATGCTGGCATCCTCCACGATCTCTCGCTTGGAATTATATGTGAATGAGTCCTGCGCAGGCAAATTAGGCTGGGCAAACACGCAAACAGTGGATGAACTTGAGCAGTAGGATGGTGATCCCCGAGAAGATACCTGCACGAAGCCGCCAACCTGCTGCTCCCGGATTGAGGCGAAATTCTGCAGGGTGAGGCCATGCTCCCGGAGGGCATCCACCAGCTGCGAAACCCTAGCCCCCGCCTGGACACGTACTCTCCGCGCCGCCCTGTCCACTTCGATCACTTTGTCCATGAGAGCCAGGTTCACCATGCCAGCCCGCTGCAGCCCGATCCCGTTGGGGGAGAGCCCCGACCCCACAGGCCTGATCTTGGATTTCTTTTCGTGGGCCTCCTTCACGACGGCCTCCAGCTCCCCCAGAGTCTCCGGCTGAAGGAACACCCGGGTGTGTACCTCGTGGGTGCCGCTCCAGTTGGAGACGGTGTGGAGGTCCTCCGGCAGAGGGGCATAGCGGAAGATCTCGGCTTTCTTGTGTTTGGCGTCGCCGGGGAAGGGGAAGGAGTAGTAGGTTGCGGCGCCGCAGCCCACGACGAGAGCGAAGTACCCCAGGTACTTCCGTACGTCGGCATCGGATACCGTCGAGGATGCGGCTCTGTTAGTGGAGAAGGGGTGGCAACGGAGTAGAGCAGAGGCGGCGGCGCCTGTCACTGAGGGGTTCGGGTTCTGGGGCCGGAGGAATGAGGCGGAGGAGGCGATGAGGGCGTGCGCAGAGCGCCTCAGGCCGAGTAGGCGAAGCATTTTTCTTTCCTCGCTTTTCTCTTGTAAGTTTTCTGTGATATTATCTCGTCAATGCCGGGCCTCTCTCTCTCTCCTTCCCCCTTTCCTCCCTCCCACTTGCCGATGTCGCCGGTGAGACCACGTATGGACGCGTCCGTCCAAGAAAAACAGCCGATCAATTACTCGCCAGCTCGTCGGCTTAGCTGCAAACGACGCAATTTCGACCCGCGCGTTTGTGTCATCGACGAATTCAGTTGTTTCAATCAATGAAGAGCAAAGATGGTGATTAGCACTACATAATCAATATGAATTCATGAGGTAGAATATGGGTTTGAAATCCAACTCACTATATACTAGATATCCATGATGATATATCCTTACTTTTGAATGGTTTTGATAATGAATAAACTGATTGCATTCAAACCTCTCACGTTAACATTCAAGCTTTTCTGAATATTTACAAAGATTATTTAGAAACTGATTTTAAATATTTTTAATCACCAAAGTTATAATTTTGTATACTGATATTATTAGTTTATCTACCTTCTTGACTATCAAAATTTGTCTCAAGTTATTTGGATATATTTTAATTGTGAAATCATTATTTTAGTCTGAGATTTAGTATTGATTATATGTTTTGATAATAATGGATCCTCTTTAGACCTGTTCAAACTTATAAGATTTAAATATATACCTTGGTTACTAAGGAAACCATATTTTAGTTTATCTTAGTGGTTTCTAGTCATTCAAATTCTCAACTCATTTTAAGATTTGAGTGCTTAATTTCTCTATAAGTTTAGCACTTCTCCACCAGCTAATTAGTTTTGAACAAGCAACTTTGAGTCAATTGTCATCTTAGGGGCTCAATTGATATTTTCTAGAAAATTTTATGTAAATTTGAGAGGCCTTTATAATGACAAGTCATTGAGTCAAGGAACAAATTTAAAACTCCATGAGATATTCCTCAACCTAATCAAAATAGCACTATCTTCAGTTAGTTTTCATAATGAAATGAATTTGAATCATCATCCTCTTTATTGAATTTATGGACACATTCAAAGTCAATAACAACCTCCAAAAATAAACTTTTGTTAAATCTTTCATTATTTTATTTGAGTGAACTTGTGAATAAATTTTGATTTAATCACTCAAAAGAAGTTGAAACATTTAATGCTTTGTTGGCTTTCTAAAGCCATATATCTAGAAGAAAAAATCGTGGTAAAATTAGATGGGAACTAAGCTCAATAATCATTGGTTGTGTGGTTAATTATTAATAAATAAAAATAAAATATATTTAAAATTCACAAAAAAATATATGGGTGCAGATGCCAAGATGACATCAGTGCTCGACAAATGTGAATCGGATAGAAATAGAGTTATGTCTGGTGACTCTTACATAAATGATTATAGGTAATTGAATTGATCAAATTAAGATCTGTAAAAGTTAGAAGAATTGTAATTGAATGAAATATAATTTGATAAATTTAAATCACATAAATTATCACTAAATAAAATAAAAATTAAATTAAAAGTAGAAAAATAGAGTTTCGGCATTGTGGTGGTGATACGTCGACAATGCACCAGAATCTTAAGTGTTTAAGAGGATCATCATGTAGTGTTTACAACTTTGAAGGCTCTCTTTAAATAAAGATGATGTGGGTAATCTCTAGATCTCCTTGTGAAGTCTAGAGATCAATGAAATAGGTCGTTGAATCATCTTCGACGATTGTTACCCGACAGAGAGGAGCTAGATAGAGATGGGGCATGTGTTAAAGAGCTTCATCTTTAAGTCCGCATAATAAGAGGAGGCTCTTCATCGCATTTGATATGTTTTCAGCAGACGGTGGCTTGTCTCTTGATATATCGTCTTCTTCTCAATAACGGCTTATTTGTCAATCAATCGGAGATGATTTACTTGATAGATTCATGATTCTTTTATCGTAAATTATTCAGTAATTTTAATAATAATGCTTCGCGAATCGCATTGATGAGATTTTTGCTGATGATCTAGAAATTTTGATGACTTAATCCTTCACTGACAATCTATAGAAAAGTCAGAATAATTAGATAAAAATACGAGTTTTAGCTCTAGGAGAATTCAAACCCGCATTAGTTGATTGCCTTCAAAGCCTTTCAAGGGAAGGTGTGATACAAATTTAGTCCCACATCACTTATGCATCGAAGTTTTGGATGAATAAATATTAATATCACATTTTTAAGCAATGAGTCTCTTTCTCCTACATGTATGACCACTCCTTGCCGCATAGTTAGTTGGCCATTAGTGACATAGAAGGAGAGTGGCACACGCATGCCTACAATAGTCCTAGTTGCTCGAGCCTTTACTCGCAGCTCCCTTCGATTGTGCTTTCAACTTATTTGCAGGATCAACTAGCCAGCGAGTCCCCTTGTTTTACTATATTTTTATTTTTATTTATTTTCCTTCATTTATCTCAAAAATAGAACTATAAAAATCATATAAATTCATAAAAAATTACATAATTAGCCAAAAAAATATATTAATCAATTGAAAATCACTTTTTATAATTTAGCATAAATATAAGTATATTTATCATGAGTTAAGACTAAAAATATATTATTTACTAATTATTAACTCATGATAATGAAGACTTATCAACTAGTCTAGCCTTGTTCTAAAGAAAAATATCTTTATTGAACTTATTTTTCAAAAACTAATTTGTTTCTATGATGAATATATCTAGTTTCTTATATTTTTTCTAATAAAAATATTAACTTAACTTATTTGTATAAAACTACTTTGTTTCTATGATGAATATATCTATTTTATTACATTTTTGGTAATAACAAAAGGGTGAAAAAAAGGTACAAGGTTCAAAGAAGAGGAGCTATACAATCTAGAGGAAGTGAGAAAATTTATAAGTAAGAAATCATGAACAAGTACATTTGAATCTCATAATGTTAAATTCCACAATTTAATTGACTTCTATTCAAAATTATTATTTTGGTTATTACCATGAGAAGTGCTAATATTAAAAAAAATTACCACTAATGAAAAATAATGATTAGTAAATATAAATCAACAAAAACTATTGATGTGAAATATAGGTATGAAAGTTTTCTCAATCTACTAGATGCTCACGATGCAAAATCATTACTTATAATTATTCTTGATATCAAGTTATCCTAGTCAATGTGAATTGTTTAAAATACTAAAAAAATATTAAAAATTATTTTGATATATTGTAAGCAATTGATGTGATGATGGTACATTTTGAGATACTGATTTAATATGTCAATTTTTTATTTGTGATTTATTTCATATGAATTCAATTAAAAATGAGTGAAAAATCATTATTTCATTTTGAAATGTATCTCAACTATGCTCTAAGAATTTCAGATTCTTACTAAAAACTTGTTTGAAGTGATAATTTTTGGGCATAAATGTTAGTGCTTAACAACTACGTGTACTAGTTTCTCTAAGAGGATAAATAAATCTTTAAAAGTCATGTCATATTACTTTATAAATGTTCAAATCTTCAAAAGATTTTAATATTGAGCTATGGGGGAAGTAGGAGGCAGTTGGGATGACATTTCTTAAAAAATTATTACCTTGCCATCAATTGGTGGGTTATGAGTGATCACCTCTTATCTCTCTACCATATTAAAAGTTGTTCTAACATTTTTTGTAAATAAATACATGAAAATTTTAGTGGTCTCTGAAGCTTAGTCAAATGTTGTCAAAATGACAACTTGAGGAGGGAAATTTGATTGATTCAAGTTCTTCCTCAATCTAACTAAAGTGCTAAAGTCTTCTAGAACCTAATATTTTCTCAACATGAAAAGGACACAAAATCAAGCACAATGCATTATATTCTTCATCAATTTTGAACATTCTCCAAGTCAACATCATCTAGAAATATTGTATGGTGAAATTCTTCCCTTATTTGTGTGGAAAATACTTGTGATTAAATATTCATTGGTGCTTGAAACTATCTTATCATTCATTGGTGAGCCTTTTTAAGTTTTGAATCTATAAGAGAACTTTAAAATGAAATTCTACAAGAGTTGAATATAATAATCAATGAGTGTTCCATGAATATAATAATCATGGAAATAAAGAATGCAATGTTCTTGAAAAGTGAATGTAGACAAGGGACCAAACTACTATAAAAGTCATTGTGTTCTAGAGTAAGATCAATTAAAATCATATGAAATCAAAAGCAGAATCATTGAAGTTCAAAATAGTTGGTCAACATCAAAATTAGAATCTAATCAATTTAACACCTCTTCTTGGTCTAAGTGTGAACTAAAATCTAATGAAGAATATTTTTAATCTAGAAAAATAGTATAATTCATGATAATATTGATCTTATATACCCTACCCCCATATTATATCATATATCTTTGTGTCCATCTATCACTCATATATGTTTCGTAGTGTTGTGCCTATGAATAATTTATAAAAAGTTAATAAGTATTTGGTGAGCCAAAGCCTAAAAAGCTAATTTATAATCGTTTTAAGACAATGAGTGGAGTACCTCTCGATAGTATGAATTTTTATGATTTACAACCATTAAATAATGAGTATCTCATTGCATGCCTTTCTCATTTGATTGTCTTGTGTACATCTCCTTGTTGTTCAAAATCCTGCACCATCTATCATTATTATACTTAAATTTCATTCATTTTTTTATCTATATTCAATAACTTAACATAAAATAATTTTCAGTGTGTTCATTTTATATTCTTCATTCAAGAATAGATACAAAATGGTTTTACACCAAGCCTATTTGATTGATTAATTAATAAGAACACAAACTAGTAGACTAATTATAGTTAGATTCTCTATTAATTTTATTAAATAATTTAAGTAAACTAGAACCGCCTTACCTTAGCACAGTTAAATAGATTTACTTGTGCTTCATTACTTGATTGGAGAACATGTATAGAGAACTCTGATCGATGTACTTAGGACTATTTCCAATCCATACACTCTTATTGTGCACAAACACCAATTATGCTAAGAATTTTAAATCTCTTGTTATGACCAAATTAAGACTAAATTGATGTGAGCGACCATGCACCTTATAAGAATTATATAAAGAACATGAGTAATACAATCTAAATAAGACAAAAGATTTAGATAGATGAGAGTACTAGTTGAGGAGAGAGAATGAAGGTAATGAGACACTTCAAATGATCAAGAAAGAAAAGAGTGGGATATCTTTTTAGTGTGTTGGATGCAAGGATGAGGGATAAGTAGGCACGAGCTATGATGCTACATCTATAAGGGGGAGGGGGAGGGTAAAGGTGGGAAATGTGGTCACATGGTGTGTAGAAGCATACTATACTATACAGTGGTAGCAACCATTAAGATCTTTAGGTTGGCACCACTCCACTTTATATATCTAATTCAATTATCAAATTACACCAAATCAAAAAGCTTTTAATGCAAAAAATGTGGGCAAATGTGGGTAACATCTGGACACCTTTTCCCCAAATGGCATCATAGTATATAAAAGTGGTCAATCCCATGCCATTGCTTTAGCCATTATCTCTAACATAACTACCTAAGATTAATAAATTCATATTTGAAAAAATAGAGTTACGATCAATTTCTACCAACCATCTCATGTCATGGAATATCTTAACAACTTGATTATTGATAAATATTTTTATTTGTGTATATATAAACATTTATTGAATAAATGGTGTTGCATATACATTGAATTCAAATTCCCATAACATCTTTGGGCTCCCATTCTAGATTCCCTGCGAATTGGAGGACGAGTAATTTAGCAACTCAAACTTACACCGATAACTGTGATTGGTCATCTTACATTATATTTTTAACTTAAATTTGATATTTTTATGTTTATTAAATATGCGTTATTATAATCTGATTTATTATTCTTATTCCTATCAACATGTCATCCAAATCTTGTCCTATCAACGTGAAAGAATTCGAAATATCCATTAATGTGAGCCCCATGGAGATGAAAATATATGACTTGACTCATTAAATCCACGTTTTCATGTTGACCAAACCACATGCTTAAAATTCATACAATCCATTTCACAGGCTTTTCATGCCATCTTTGTGTGTCCTCTCTCTCTCTCTCTCCCCCCTTCTCCCTCCCTCTCCCTCTCTCCCTTTGCGATCCCCACATTTATTCCGAGCCCAGAAAAGGGAGGAAGGATGGGTCAAAAAAGATACTTTTTTGGCATCGAATTTAAAGCTCGCCAGCTCGTGTTAGATTCGCATTTTCTGCACAACGTGGCTAGCTAACTATACCAGACCGGCGGGCACTCTTCTTGTTCACCTGTACAATCTCGAGATGTCGGGAGATTCTAACGACGTCCCACATGAGGTACACGCTGACTATGCCCATCACTATGCACCCCCAAATAGATACCGACTCCAGATCGGAGAGTTTTGTTTATCGACTTAGGTGGTTCTCGATGTCTGACGGGATGGTATCTGTTTACCGCCTTGCGGGGCCCGGCAGTGAGGCGTAGCTGGCGTCAGCCGATGGAGCAGAGCCGAGCTCCGACGGTCGTGCAGGGCCCCGCTGGCTGGCTCGCCACGGCGCACCAACCAGCCCACCACCTCTGTAGACAGGTATCGCCGATAGGAGCAACGCCCGCCGTCCAATCACAAGCGCTACGCTGTCTTCTGCCACGGCCTTCTCTCTCTCCCCTCTGGGACTATTGCGACCAATGGGAGAGAAAGATGGGCAGTCTCGGGCCCACAAGGGATGGGGACCCCGCTTGCAGATACAGCCCGCCAGCGGTTTATGCCGTATCCTGTCTTCCAACATTTGATCTTAGAAATTACAGAACTCGGTTGAGAGACAGACAGGGAGCGGGGTAGAGCCCTTTGGCCTCCCTCCTGCGACCTCCTCACAGACAAATCAGAGACTAGGGGTGTTGCCGTTTTTGTTTCTTCTGGTCGGTGGCGCAGCCAGAAAGGCAGGGACCAGAAGCTGTCTCAGGAGGAAAAGGGTCCTGCTGTTTGAGGGGGGAAAGTGAAGGCTCTCTTTTTTCTGTTCCTTCCTTTCGATTGTTCATCTGTTGGTGGGGGAGGGAGGATGGGATTCTCCAGCGACAATCTGAAGGGATTCGTGTTGGCCCTCTCGTCCAGCGCGTTCATAGGGGCCAGCTTCATCATCAAGAAGAAGGGGCTTCGCCGGGCCGCTGACGCCTCCGGTATCCGCGCAGGTGCCCCCCACCCTTCTTCTCTCTCTTAACTGCCCTTGACCAAATTTCCTTATGATAGCATGAGCTTCTTATTAACTTGCTCTGCAGGCGGCGGCGGTCATACTTACTTACTGGAGCCTCTCTGGTGGGTGGGCATGATCACGAGTATGCGCTTGCCCTCTTCCTGTCTTCTGGCTCTTCTCTGTGGGTTATGAGGAAGAAGAGTTTGCCATTAGTTTCTGCTAAATTCTCCAATTACTCGAAAGTTGTTGTTTATTTAGGATCTAAGGACTAGTCTCCGCTATTCTGATCAAAATTAACCCGGAATATAATTCAGTGATCGTCGGGGAGGTTGCAAATTTCGTGGCATATGCGTTCGCCCCGGCAGTCCTCATCACCCCTCTGGGTGCACTGAGCATCATAGTCAGGTAAGTTCTTACAACTGAATGAACGAATTAGCTCTGCTCAGGCAACAGTTTCTTGGGGTCCTCACAAAACTGAAATACCATCGTCCCTACAGTGCGGTATTGGCTCATTTTATCTTGAAAGAGAAGCTCCATGACCTTGGAATTTTAGGCTGCATTATGTGCATTACGGGGTCCATTGTTATAGTGATCCATGCTCCAGAGGAGAGACCCATCACCTCCGTAATGGAAATTTGGAACATGGCCACTCAAACAGGTTGGTAATATCACGCGTTTCCCTCCTACAAATATACATGTAAACTTATCTATGTCGTTTTACCATTAGAGCATATGACTTACTGTGTTATTTTCTCAGCTTTCCTGCTCTATGTGGCATCGGTGATCGTACTGGTCTTCGTGTTGGTGTTCCATTTTGCTCCTCTCTATGGACAGAGCAACGTCCTTATTTACACGGGCATTTGCTCTTTGATGGGCTCTCTCTCGGTATGTGCTATTTGCTTTTCTTGATCATTATGTTTCATTGTAATTCTAACCTGGATTCTTGTTTTGTCTCCCCGCAGGTAATGAGCGTGAAAGCTTTGGGGACTTCCTTGAAGTTAACATTTGAAGGGTCAAATCAGTTTGTCTATCCACAGACGTGGTTCTTCACTCTGGTAGTGCTTACTTGTGTTATCACGCAGATGGATTATCTCAACAGGGTTAGTTTACAAACTTTTTGTTCAATTTATAATTTTCCCTAACGTGAAACAGCGAGTTGGGTGCACATATTCTTTATGGGATTATTGATCGTATCATGTTGCATGTATGTCACACTTATCAAAAATGACGCATGAATGTTTTTAGTTTAGCTGGAAGTATTATGTGTTTCGTATGTCATTTATATGGTCTCCTTGCCTAAGGTCAGGAGTATGTGTATGACTGAGGATCTTATGTTACCCAGATGTGATTGGGCATCTGACCTGCTTCTTTTAGCAGTTTCAGTATCTAATTCATTGGATCTTTGTGTCTGCTGGGGTTTTCGAAGAATTAAAAATCGGAAAAGTATTAATAATGCTGAGGTGATGATTATTGTTGTAAGAGCCTCCTCACCCCAGACAGATCTACTAAGAGACTTTTAAGAATAATCGATCCCAATTACTAAGCTAAATATAGAGGGAAGATCAAATCGAAATAAGGTCGATCTATGGTCTAACTCTTCATCAAGGCAACATCTAGGCTTCACATAACTCACCATCTACATCAGAAATAATGGAAACTCGGAAGTACAGAAACTGAGATGATTTTCTTTGAGGAAAGCCCTTCACCATTTTATCCTAGCAACTACTGATTGCTCTCATACTTGTGCGAATTTCCTAAGTCGGAACCCAAATCCCAAACATAGATAAGCTTAACAATCCTAAAGATGATACTCTTCAGCTCTTAGAACGTCATTTGAGAGATTCTTAAACTGTTAAAGACTGAAGAAGTAGTTACTTTTCACCTTCAGCTCCTGCTGGCTTGTGCTCCACTGTTCCAATCAGACTTTGAGCCACGACAAAGTGGCTCCTATGCAAAGTCTCTGACTGTTATCTTCCACAGGACCTCTACAGTCCCAGTCATCTTCGGATTGGTCAGCTGCTTCTATGTGGGTTCCACAAAAAATCTTACTGGGTTCGCTGTCTTTCCTGAATTATGCGGCTCAATCATGTTGGAAGCTCCTTCGTGTGCTACCCCATTAGTATCCTCTTTATGATTTTATAGCGAAAATTTCATTGACAAAATCTAATTTGTTGTCCATCGCCAGATTCTATATTGGTTCCCCATTGAGCTTGGTATCAGTTTTGGTGATGAATCGTATGGCCTTTGTTTATATATTCTGGAACTATTTAATTTAAACGATAGTCGAATGCCTTCCCGTTTGAGGGTGCCTAGACTCGTGATAAATCTACAGAAATTTAGCCCATTGAGGCTGATCTGGACACCTTTGATTCTCCCAAAATCTTGAATATTTTTCATCCCCCAATTGGTTACACAATTTGCTTTCAACACAGCTGGCTTCCCAATTGGTTAAAATGAATGGTTCCATTTTAGGATATATAAATTACCGTTCTTTGTCAAATCCACTCCACGTTTCTTCCAATGACTCAGTGATGAGGTTCAGCCGTTCCCCTTTTTGGTAGACCCTTTACAAAGAGGGAACCCCTCATTACCTCAATCCTCTTCTTGATAGTTCCGGGTGTATTTGCTGGTCTGAAATCATAGATGAAGGTAGGTGGGGCCGACTTGTACAATTTGGGCCATGATAAATTTCCCTACTCTTCACATCTGGAAGAGTTTGAGCAGGGATCCCTTCCCCTTCTCAGCAGATTGAAAGTCGTCTTTTTGCGCTATCCTATCATATGTAAATGGACTGAGCTCAGTTTATGGGCAATTAAATTCTGAGTAGGGGACTCAATAACTTCGACTATGATATAAAGGAAATCGCAATACAGAACCCAGACAGATGATGGTTTTCCTTCCCTCCTGAGGATAATGTAGACCGTTGCAGTACAAATTCCTACGCCATCAACCTGACGTTCGATTAAGACCCACAGGATCAGATTATAAGGGTTTTTAGTGTCGATTGAACTTATTTTTGTCATAATTTTAATACCCGATTCTACTTGCTGGAATACAGTAACACTCTTGAGCAGTTGAGAGCCATTAGATGGTCAACTTTATTTGCTGCATCAGAGGACCATCACTGGCTTGTCTTTGCGCATCAGAGACCATGTCCCACGTCTCACCCATGTTTTGCTTGGTAAAGAGCACATTTTTTAAAATTCTTATTAATATGAAATTTATGGGATTATTCTTGAAATTATGTTTTAATGGCTTCACAATTTTTCGTTGGGAAAATAAGGCACACTGCTTGCTACTTTCTCGTGTTACATGGTGTTAACCTTTCAGGCTCTTGACACCTTCAACACAGCAGTCGTCTCACCAATCTACTATGTGATGTTCACCACCCTTACCATCGTTGCCAGTGTCATAATGTTCAAGGTATCATCAGTATGGCGGTCTTCTCAGTGAGTCTCTCCTATGGCTGTCTAGAGCAAACAACAGTCACGAAACCTAACTCTTGCCTCCGTTGGTCATTTCAGGACTGGGATGGCCAGGGTGGGGAGAGCATCATCTCTGAAATCTGTGGCTTCGTCATCGTGATCTCAGGAACGATCATACTGCATGTGACCAAGGATCTCGATAGGAACCCTTCAAGAAGTGCGTACTGATATGATACCTCTGCACACTTACCCAGCCCGTTCTCCACTGAACGGACGGTTTCTTTCATGCAGGTGTGTATGCTCGGCTATCCCCGTCTCTGTCAGCCCATCTCTGTGATGAGAATGGAGAATCACTGAAGCATGTTGCTGGAGATGGGACATCATCCGACGCCATCTTTAGAAGACAAGAGCTGTATTGAAGACTTTTTAGTTCTGAACATAGTGTGGATGAATGGTCCAATGGATACTGATCAGAGAGGAAAAGGTTTCCAGGAAGACAGATGCTGACCAGGCCTTGCTCCCCGTGGAGCATCTGCACAGCCAATCGAGATCCTTCTATCTGGGATTGCTATTTGTCTTCTAATGTATGTTTTGAGATGCAGAAGAGATGTGACAGGAAAGGAGCTGGACTATGCGTCCTTGGTTCTTCTCATTGTGGGCGCATTGGGTCCCAAGGATTCTCAATCTTTACTCATGGATCTGAGACGCTCGATCTTGGGAAGAGAGTGGCTGTCCTCTTCATCAGCTTGCCACCGAGGCCGATGGGTGACCTTGAGGACCCTCTCTGCAGATGAGATTGTAGGCATCAGTCACGGTCTTTCCTTCCTTCTCTGCAACTTCCTTGTACCCAGAGACGTAATCAGCAGATTTTGTACTGTAGGTAGACGCCGCCCTCTGTGCCTAGCCACAAGTCTACCATGTTCATCTTGTGTTGCTTGTGCTGTCTATTCATCTGTAAATACCCTAGTCAGAGAAACGCTGTTTCTCAACTTCTTTATTCATCCTGACTCTTTTGTGCATCTGTATTGACATAGAAATCACTGACTCATCATGTTTCTGATTGTGAGAGAATGGGCCCATCCAGCGCGGGCCTCTGTCTTCTGCACCATTAATCCACATATTTTCCATTCGGCCAATATTTTGTCTCTGTGAGGCGTAGACAGCTGCTATATAATGAGCCTAGCTATTAACCATGAATTCTCTTAAATACAAGGATATGTTGCGCACGTCTACCCTGATGGATGTGTTGTGTTATGCACATGCCTGTATTTTATTTACTAAATTTCGGAATACATAATATAAGAATAATGTCAAATGGGTTCCTGACATTTTCTCTTTTTTTTTTGGTCAATGTATGGGGATTCTTTATCGTAATACCGCTAATACTGATGTTATTTGACAAATGAGTAGTATTGAAGTCATAAGAAAATAAAAAAACTGAAAGAGGCTGAAATACCTATGTGCTTACAAAAATTTCCCTCTCAATGCATATAAAACACATGTTCCTCTGAGTACAGAATATTTTACTTCTTGTGGAGTATATCCATATATTGTAGCTTCAGATCACCACATGATAATCTCCAGCCCAACAAAATAATAAAAATAATTGGCATATGGAGATGTCTCACCGGGCCCAGCTCGAGTTCATCCATCTGTTTCAAGATTCAGATGAAGAAAAGCCATAAAATAATATTTTTTCTGTTTTTCTTTTATTGTTCTTTGTTCTATGGGCAGTTGATAAGTCCAGGACGAGAGAGTTTCCTCACAGACATAAGGCATAGCGGCGAGACAACCCAAATAAGGTAATTACTACCAGTATTAACAAGAGCTTCAGCCCAGCCAGTCGACCCTCACTGGTAAGCAGCCCATCTGTCCTCGAACCGCCCAAATGGGTACTCCATTGCAGGAACTTGGGTCAAATGGAGAGGGTCGGGTTCTATTCCATAATCCGTCAGCGGCCTGTGTTCAAGAATGTCATCGTGAATCTTGACAAACTCTGGAATATCAACCTCGCCTTTTTTTATGTCCTCCCAGAGGTACTGCAGCCTGCTAATGTACTTGATCTTCCAGTATAGTCTGCAAAGGTGAGGGCAAAGTGAGAACAGATGCAGAAGAGAGAGAAAGAGAGAGAGTTCCCTAGGATTCTAAAGAAATGCCACTGATATGTTCTCAGCATAAGTCAGTAAAACGGCTAGTCTCTCTGTAATCAGCCGATCTTAGGCCGAGTTAGTACATAAATAGCCACCTTGGCCTGATTTTATGGGCCATTAAATACTTTCAGGGAATCCAAATTGCCTCAACCTCCACCCAAACTGAGGTCAAACAGTTTGTTCTGTCCATAGATATCCAGAATATCTACACTCTTGCTGCCACAATGTCTCATACTTTGTGGTCAAACACTCTTCGTGCTACTGTAATCAGTGGTCAAACACTCTTGCAGACTTTTCACTCCTGCTACTGCATACTTTGCTCCCAACTTATCTACCCTTCGTGCCCAACACAAACATATAGAATCCCAGAACCATCAACGTCTGAACTTATCATTAGTCGCATCCTCAAACAAGCAGGTCCCCATGCTTGTCTCTCCTGATTCGCTCACCCCTACACAGCAGCGATTCCCTTTGTTTATTTAGTACATTTATCAAAAGATACACCAATTTGAGACGTGATCAAATTTAACCCGAGTTTTTCGCACTGTCAAACTAGAGTTCACAAATTCATCGAATGCATCAAGTAGGAGAAGGTATATCTAAAATAGTTGGAAAGGCTTTAATCAGAAAGACAAAATTATATTTGGCATATTCGCATGCATTTCTCTATTTGATGAGAAACATTTCATCAATACTAAAAGGTATTTCAATTTGACATATTCAAATGAGAAAAACTTTATCTCCTTGCATGCCTTTCAGCCTTGGACGCACAAAAGCTCAAATTTCTCATTTGAATCGTAAAAGTGTTCACAAATAAAGCAAAGAAGAGTAATAGACATTGAGGAAAGAGGCAGATACTCACCCTTCACTCAGGAAGAAGCGCCCTAGAGTCGCAAGAGCAAGCCTCGATCTGAGTCCAGGGTGCAGGAAGTATACAACACGTATTCTCTCCTTGCAGTCGGGAGGGAGTTCTTCATAAATCCATCTTAACATGGAGAGGCCCGGACAATTATCCGCCTTCTGCACTGTACTGTGCATGTAAACAATGCAAATGGGTACTTCGGCCAGTTCTGTCAATACCTTGTGACTGATATACCTCTTCAGTCGCTCCCCACTAATTACAAGAGCTAGTAATTTACAAAGCACATGAAAAAGGAGTCTCAGTAATAACCCCAAATTCATGCGAAATTCATCGATCAGCGAAAAAATAAACCGCGATCACCAAGGTAAGTCAAAAATTTCACCTAACACTTCCCGAATGACATAGAATATCAGGTTCAACTAATAGCCAAAATGCGTGGGATAAAATATGGGGAGAACTTCGACGCGCGGGTAGAGAGCTGAGGAGCGAAGAAACCAAAACTGATTCCCAGACGTTTGGTAATAAACGAGGGCAACCAGCACCTGGGAAGAACTTGCCGACGATGCGGAAGATGCGATTGCCGGCCTTGTCGGAGCCTTCAACGCGGAAGGCCTGAAGTGCCTCGATATCGGAGAAATCTTCCACTTCGGAGCCATCCTCAGCACCCCCGAGATGGTTCGGGGGGCAGTCGTGCCACACATCTTCGGAATCGCCGCCCTCGCCAGGACCTGAGGACCGTGGCAGCAATGGCGAGAGGAAGGACTGAGTGTCGACGCCCAGATCCGACGCCAGCACCACCACAGAGAAGTCGCGCGGCCGCTGCCGATCTCCCATCCCCCTTATCCCCAGCACTCACCAACCAGCGATGTTCTCCCCAGAAGCAGTGGGAGAGAAACGAGGGGGTTTACCGGGGGGTAGCCCCATCCTCCTGGAGTGGAAGGGATGAGAACCGATTGTGCGGAAACGTGGCACAAGTGGTTCATCGGACAACCGATAGACTCCGCGACTGTCACGTGCGAGATGACGTGCGCGATGGTTGGGGCCAAAGGCATACAACAAAGCGCACCTTGTCATGGGACATTTTCAGGGCCCACATATTATTATATCGGAGACGGGGGACGGGGACGGGAGAGGGGAGAGCCAGAGAGGGAGGGGAGTAACGGCAAACTTGTTCCACATGCAGGCCGAGTACCACACCCAGGCCCGGCCGAGATGCGCCCCGAGTTCTTCCGATTCATCGCCTCTAGGAGACCCCACTGCCGCCTAGCTTGGGACGTCACCACCGGCAGCGGGCAGGCCACCGCTTCCGTAGCGCCTCCACTCAATCCCATTCTATCTACCTCTCCATCTGTCTTTGACCCTCTGGCTGCTGTATCTGCCGTTGTTCTCAACTTGCGAGCATCTACGAAACCGTGATGGTCATCGGCGCCAGTGCCCAACAGCGGGCCCAAGCGCCACGCTTCCCAACGCCCGCTGCCGACACACCCCGCCCGCGATGGCCCCCGAGGAGCTCCACCTCCTTGTGGGAAGAAGAGAGTTTTATTTTACCGGCAGCACCCAAAAAGGATTTCTCACGCACGCTCTTTTTCTTTCTCCTCCTTCGAAGAGGGTGATTTCTACAGTGACTTCTCTCTTCAGCAAGCCAATATTTGGGACTCTAGAGATCACTATTGTAGGTGGGGCTGTTATTGCAATTCAACATGAATATATAACTGATAATACTTTGTTATGATATTTACACTTGGGTCATATGAGTAAGTCATATATGTAGAAACTCTATGCACGTAGATTGATACTTAGAGTTAAATTTTGTAAATTAGATTTTCATAGGTAAACAATATAACATGATGTCTAAGACGTACTCAATTATATTTATTATAATGTGTAGGTAATTGTTAATATGATGTATATTGATGGTGCTCATTATTTATTGATCTTTGTTGATGATTTTTTTAAAAAAGTCTCAACTTACTTGTTGACATATAAGTTTGAATTATTCTTTTGGTTCAACATGATGTAGAAGTTAAAAACTATATGCAAAGGATGATCAAGTGTTAAAATTAATCTCAATGTGAATAATGATATATATGAATTGTATATTATGAGGATATTATTAAATTAATCTCACTTAAAGTGATTCATTAGAGTTTAAATATTTAAGATTACAACCTCTCTTGTAAGTATGAGTATAAATATAAATGTGTAGAGATCAAGTCTTATTCTAATTTTATGATGGGTTATATTGAAAAAAGACATCAATAGATTAATCACTTGTTGTCTATAAATAAGGGGTCATAGTCTTTGGATCACACATTGTGAGTGACTTTTAGAGCCTTCCATCTCTCTAGAATAAATCATTAGATGATTCTTCTATGTTGATCCAAAAGGTCATTTTCATACTTATGCCTTCATAGATTCAGGTATGGTTTCAATCTATTCTCATTATATTTTATCATTCTCCATATATCTCAATACAAAATCCTTCAGATCTTTCATCAAGGTCTTACAAATTGACAATAAGATAAAATTTAATAAATCTAAGTTTGATCAATTTTGTGTAGAGTATGAAATTTGACATCACTTCACAATAAAGAAGATTCCTCAAAAGATGGTGTTGTAGAACATATGATTTATACTATTGTTGAGAGAGCATATTGTTTGTGGTTGAATGCTAATTTACTTAAGAAGTTTTGGACACAAGATGTCTATATGACAATTTATCTGATTAAAAAATTACTTGATTCTTATCTCACTAGTAAGGTGGCTGAAGAGGTATAGATTGACAAACCTATCAATTATTCTAATTTTCTTGTATTTAGTGGATTAAGTTATGTATTAACTCTTGTTGATGAGTAATCTAAGCTTGACACCAAGTCCAAGAGGTGTTCTTCTTGGACTTGGACTATGATGGAGGAATGAAGGGCTATTAACTCTAGGATCCTGAGGCAAAGAAAATCATGCTCAATCAAGATGTGATATTTGAGAAAGATCATATGCTAAAATCCTTCCCTACAAAGGCATCTCATATTTTCAATGACACATGTTGAGAGGAGGACATGGGTGGAGGTGGAGGAAGTGTAGATTCCACCCAATTTATTTGTTGAAGGTGAAGATATAGTTGATGATGAGAAGTATGAGAATATTGCTAGCAAACAATGTAAATGTGTGACAAGACCTCTTGCTTGTCTCAAGGATCATGTTGCTTTTTACTTTATTTGTAGGTGATGTGAACTAATGGACTTCAAAGAGGTAGTCAATTGCCTAGAGCATGAGAAGTGGTTGAGAGTAGTGTCCAAGAAGTGAGAGTCCTTAGACAGAAATAAAACAAGGGAAGTATGATATTAGATGCAAATGGATGTTTATAAAGAAGTTACTAATAATGTCTAATGCACAACTACCATAATACAAAGCAAGATTAATAACCGAAAATTTTACAGAAAAGTATAGAGTTGATTATAATAATATTTTCTTTCTTGATGTTAAACTTGCATCAATACAGTTGGTTTTAATCATGATTGAACATGAGGATATAGAGTTATAGAGTAGTGATACAGGCCCATTAAGGGTAGACATCATGAAGAAGAAGAGGAAGACATGTCAGCCCACTTTGGATCATCATGCATGTGACCAGCCCCTTCTTAAAGGTGCAGAGACAACTGAACTAAGGGAGAAGGATTGAAAGTAAGAAACCATCCTCCTCCTCTATTTCCCTCCCTACCTTCCTTATCTTATAAATCCTTATCCTTCTCTATGTCCTACCCCTTGCCCTGATCTAGGACCCCTTTGCTGGTGGCCACTCCCTCAAGCATCTTTCACGGACTCACAACTCACCACTGCTCTCCCCTCATTCTCTCTTGATCTCATTTTTATCTTCTCCATTTATTTTTTTAGGAACTTAGACATTTTGCTTCATAAATTGAAGCATTATACATTGAGAGTACATCTATGAATTGAGATTAGTTTGAGACTTGCATCAAGTAGTTGGATGTGAAGATCATATTTTTCTATGAGGATCCAAAAGATATAATTTACATGCAGCAACCTAAAGGCTTCATTATACCAAGGTTTGGAATCTTGTTTGCAAGTTGAAAAAGTCATTTTATGGGTTGAAATAATAACTGAGACAATAGTACTAGAGCTTGACTCCAAGTTACAAATAGACTATACCATGAGTCAATTTGATTGTTGTGTTTATGTGAAGTTGTGTGAGGAAGATTCTCACATTATTTTGATCCTCTATGTACATGATATGTTCATTACTATTAAGAATATGCATGAGGTTGTGAGGCTAAAGTCTCTATTGAATATGAAGTTTGACATGAAGGCTAAAGTCTCTATTATTTAGAATAGAGATTCATAAAGACTAAGAAATGAGCATATTGTGATTGACCCAAAATAACTACTTGCTAAGATTGATGATCTATTTGGGATGAGGGATGCTAAAATAATTAATACTCAAGTATTTTAAATATAAAAAATCCTTCAAACTAGTGTCATGGGTTCTCTTATGTATGATATGATCTATATGAGGCAAGGTGTTGTCTATATAATTGGGCTTGTAAATGTATTTATGAAAAATTCAAGTAAAGAGCATTAAAGTGCAATGAAGTGAATTCTTTGATTTCTAAAAGGTTTGGTAAATAATATAATTTTCTTGATGAGCAAAGTTTTTTTTTATCAAATGATTTCGTTGGTGCTGACTTTGCAGGTGATTTAGATAATCAAAGATCCATGACTAGTTATATGTTTATTGTGGCTGATGAACTTGTAAGTTGGAAGTCAATACTTCAATCTACTATCTTAATATTTACCTTCAAGACAAAGTATATGACATCTACGAAAGTAGTTAGTTAAGCCTTGTGGTTCATGGGATTGATGAAGGAACTTACGATCCAATAAGGTATAGTTCCTCTGTTTTGTAATAACTAAAGTATTACTTATTTGGTAGAGAATTAAGGTTATCATGCATGGTCAAAATAAATTGATATACGGTATCATAGAATTCGTGAGTTGTTGAATTTTAAAGAGATATCTCTACAAAAAGTTCACATAGAAGAGAATGATATAAATATGTTGACGAAGATCGTAACTGTAGAGAAGTTCAAACATTATTCAGGCTTGATTCATGTTACCTGGAAGCAAGTGGAACACTAACAACATAAAGGAAGGTTGACTTTAAGCGTATTTGAGTTGTTTGCTAAGTGATATCATAGCAGATGATATCAAAAGGCCTTGTCACGCAACTGCCTCATTTGTTAGTGATACCGTTAAAAAAAATCATCAACTGTATCTTGACCTTTAATAATGGAATTAGCTGGACTTTGCACTTTCTCCCCCTTCGAAGAGGGTAATTTTTGCAGTGACTTCTCTGTCCATTGACAATGAAGAACTTCTATCAATGGTTCACCTTCACCTGTAAGGCTCTTATCAGAAGTTCAGGGTTTCGTACCCTTATGAACAAAAAAAAACCAAAAATAATCCCGTCGGCTGACAAAAGGAGCAGGCCCCTAATTCACGGGCCCACTCACGTGACTCCACGTGGCTTGTTGCCGCCTGCACCCTCCTGGACCCAGTCTCCTTCGGTCCGCTGAGATGGCCGACACGCATCCCAAACAGTTCTGCACTTTAGGCTTGAGCAGCAGTTGCCCTTCTCTGCTCCCAGGGCATGTGAAAGCTGACGAAGATTCCAGGCTGGCATCTCTTCTCCCCATCGCCGGGGAATCATCACCGAGGATGGCGGAGCTTATCTGGCTAATAGAATCCTGCCGTTCTTCATCGCCGCCGCCACTTCTCGGCTCGTCCTTCGTCTTCTCCGGCTGCGCCGCCTGGATCCTCATCCTCCCCCCCTCGCGGCCCCCTCCTAGCCCGAGCTACGAGAACCAGTCGAGTATTTTCTCGTACCGAGCGCAGACACGAGAGTAAATGGGCGAGTGAGGGTGCAGACAGAAGGAGCGGGGTCGCAGCTAGCAAATTTCTCCCTCTCAACATCATAGTCGAATCGCCAACCCGCCAACAGCCCCTAGATAAGTGCTCCTAAGAACATCCTGAAGGCTCAGGCCAACTAAGTCAACCGGGGCCACGAGATTCCTGAATATGCATGAAGAGTTGGGCTGAGGAATGCTCTCGAAGAAAACGTATCAAAGAACGGGGCTTTGGAATGAGATGGCCCATTAGGTTATTGCCTGCGAGGCCTAATCCCCCAAGTCCAGCCCAGAAAGGGTGTCCGTTTGCCGCGCAACCCACTTGTGATAATAAATGATACAAGAGAAAATAATAATTTCGAATAAATTTATTAATAATATTGAGAAAAAATTAACTTAAATTTTGAACTAGTACATTTTTACTAATCTTGACCATTAGCGAGAGAGAGAGAGATCCTCGCTTAGAGAGGACATTTATTTCGAATGTACCCTCTATAAATATTACCCTAATTGTTCTACTGTCGGACTTCTATCGGAGTTTCGGTTCTGCGTCAGGCCACTGCAACTTCTCCGGCTTGGGCAGTTGATACAGCGCGCAAGGGGCAAGCTCTTCCGTTGAGTGGAGAGGTCATCTCCGACTGGACGTCGGGGTGGAAGATCTCTGGCTGAGTGGAGAATGTTCTCTGCTTTTCGTGGTAAATCACTGTTCCATCGTTTCTTCGCTCTTCTTCCTTGAGTTCTTGGGTTTTAGATCTCACCTCGGCAGGAAAGATGTGCCATCTTGTTACGTCTATGCTGTTGCCAAGAAAGTATCAGATGGATAGATTATTAGCAGTTATTGGATTCTTGGATTAATCCCTCTGGTTGTTGCTCGGGATAGCCGCGGCGAGACGCATCGTTCTGGATTGGTTCTTTCTCCTGTTGAGCGTTCGTTCGATCTGGTCCCTCGTGCAGTTCTCGGCTGTCCCCCTTTGGATGATGTCGGTCTTCTTCCTCTTCACTTTTTTCCCCTGGGGGAATTCGAATGCTTCTTTTGGCGTTGCGTGTTTCCTCTTTCTAAAAACCCTGTAGATAATTGATTGACGAGAACAAAAAGAAGAATTCCATGTTAGTATCCAATGGATCACAGCATCCACGATGGAGATGATGTATTCCTCCGCCGGTAAGAGGAATGATCTCCATGTCAAAATAAGATGCCGATATAATTGAAGAACGTACAGGATGTAGTCGATATGATCTCCTGCGAACCGTCCTACTGAGCGACGGTCTTAAGGTCGTCATGTGTTGATTCGGCATGCTGTTTCTTTTCCGAGTCCATTCCATAATTATATCGGGGTTTCGGGATGATTCTCATCTCATTCACACAGAGATGAACCTGTGAGATCTTTTTCTGCCAATTATATACAGTTCTCTGCAATATTCAGCGAGCTCGCTTTCTTCTTTGTTCTTTGTTCTTTGTTCTTTCTTCCTTGTGCAGGATGCAGTGGATGGCTGGTTTAGTATCGCGACACAACCCTGTCAGTTCTTCCGTATGTCTATGTCCACCTTCAGCTGCGGGAACGATGGAGAAAAGCGGTCGGAGGAGACAGGAAGATCTTCTGTACTCGAAGAAGAAGAAGCTGAAGCAAGCTCCGCCCCCGCCATCCTCAAAATCCCATCCCCAAAATCCCAGCGGGACGCGCGGGGAGCGTGAGATCGCTTCCGAAGGGCAGGAAGAATGTGGGGGCTCCGGCAAGAGGAAGCAGGGTAAATGGGACGCCGCTCACTTTGATGAGAAATGCGGGGCCAACGATGATGCTCCTGCGACAAAGAGGAGAAAGACGATATGGACGGAGGACGAATCTCGGTTTAAGTTGCTGGGGCCGGTACAACTTCCTGATCTGCTCGAGGGCTCGGGAGCTGCGTCCGACAATGATCCAGAGTTCCAGCAGCTGAATCAGAGACTCATGGATATTAACAGAAGGTTGCGGTCGCGGTCGCGGTCTCAAGATTTCGTCCACAGGCGCCAGGAAGAAGAAAGTCCTCCTCCTGGGCCTACAAACTCCAGGGAGCGTCGGATTCGTGCAAGGCTTATCGAGCAGAAGCAAGAGATCATGGAAGAATTGATCGGTAGGAACCCTACGTTCGATCACCCGTCCGACTGCAAGCCGCGCAAGAAGCTCTTCAAGAAGCTCTACCTCCCGGCGAAGAAGTACCCCTATTACAACTTCGTCGGCCTCATAATCGGGCCACGCGGGAGGACGCAGAAGAGGATGGAGAGGGAGACCGGGGCCAGAATCCAACTACGAGGCAGAGGCTGCCAGCGGAAGGACACGAGGCCGGATCCCTCCGGGGGGGAAGACCCGCATGTGCTCGTCGAGGCGGACAGCCAGAGATCACTGGACGCCGCTGCGGCGCTGGTGGAGAGGCTGCTGCTCCCGGTGGCGGAGGGGAAGAACAGCCTCAAGCGCTCCCAGCTGAGGGAGCTCGCCGAGCTGAAAAAGAGGCCGAGAGGCGATGGCGCCCATCGCGCCCCGCCCTCTCTGTCGGAAAGCAAGGCGGACGAGGTCACCGGCCGCCGCGACAGGTGCGGCGGCGGTGGCCCTGGGAGAGGACTCTCTCCAGAAGCCACGAGCACCGAGCCGCCTCCCTGCGGTGGTGATGATGATTTCTTCAGGAAGGTGGAGCGTGGAGATGTACGCGTGGATCGCCTGCCCCAATCTGTGGATGTGGGGAGGCTGGTGCCGTTCTCTCCTTTGGGTTCCCTGACCTACACCCAGCTGGTCAGGGAAGATGGCGCGGGAGCAGGCAGAGGCTGCTGCGGCTTCGTGAGCTACAACGACCCTGCCAGCGCCGCCGAGGCGGTGAGGCAGATGAACGGGTACAGGACGGACGAGAAGAGGCTGCTCGTCGGGGAGGCCAGCGACGTCCGGCGGGTGGCGCCCCCGGTCATCGGCTTCCTGCCTGCGTGTCCGGATTCCGCGCTGACCTCCTGGCCCGGCGTGGCAGGAGCGAGCAGCCACATGGTCTTCGAGTCCGCAGCTCCGAGAGGAGCGTCGCCGTCCGCTTCAGTTGTCGCCCTTCCAGAGCACCTCCTCCTGGGCCTCGCCGCTGCTTCGGGGGTCTCTCTGTTTTCATGAAGGCGGTGGCCGTCCGGCCCAAGACCATCTTCACATTTATGACCCCGGCACATTTCGCCGCGTGCCGGAGCACGTAAATACATACGTGCGCTCATCCCGCGTTTCCCCAAAGCTCTCTTTCTCCCTCCCCCCCCTCCCCCCCTCCCCCTCCCCACCCTTCCTCTCTCTCTCTCTGGCTCTGTGTCAATCTCCCCTCTTTCCTCTTCGTCGCCGTCGTGCTTGCGGAGTCGGAGCCAAGGTCGAGGTTTCCCCTGGAGCATTCCATGGGCTGCACCGCCTCCTGCGACCAGGCGACGCCCTTGGCTGCCTCTGCCTCTCCCGCCGGCGCCGCCCCGTCCCGGTCGCTTCCTCCTCCACAGCCGATCCCCACTCCGCCACCGCTCGCTACGCTGGAGACCATGCGCTCCGCCGCGTCTCCCCTAGCGAGCGTCGGCGGCCGCGTGGTGGTTCACCACCCGGCCGTAGGCCTGGGCGACTCCCACCACGTCGTCTCCCTGACCTCCACTACGTACGGGTACTCCCTTCTCCCCGCTCATCGCTCCTCCTTCCCCCCGCTGCCCCATCCGTCGCCTCCTCAGGAGAAGTGCATCCTAGATTCTCCTTCCTCCTCTCCGAGTGCCGTTATCGACGCCTGGGAGCTCATGGACGGCCTGAACGAGGAGGCCTCACCGGTGAAGAAGCCTCCTCCCTCCCTCGTTGAGGAAGACCCCAAGAGAGGTGGCTCTGCGAGGCCCCTGTGGATGCACCTCTCCGAGGAGTCACTCCTGGCGGACCTCCATCCCTCCGTGGCATCCGCTCTCCGGCAGTCCCCGGACCACTCCGCCGCCGCCTGCGGGCCCAAGGTCGTCTTCTACACGACGTCGTTGCGGGGCGTCCGGCGGACCTACGAGGACTGCCGCGCCGTGGGGAACATCCTGCGGGGGCTCAAGGTGGCGGTGGACGAGAGGGACGTGTCCATGGACTTGGCCTTCCGGCGGGAGCTGCAGGCCCGCGTGGGGAGAGACCTTCCCCCGCCGCTACCGCAGGTGTTCGTCGGGGAGAGGTTGTTGGGGGGCGCGGAGGAGGTGCGCCAGATGCACGAGGCCGGCGAACTAGGAAAGCTCCTGGAGGGCGTGCCCCGGCAGGATCCCCAGCTCGTCTGCGGCGCCTGCGGCGGCGTGAGGTTCCTGGTCTGCGGCAGCTGCAGCGGCAGCAGGAAGATCTTCTCCGAAGAGGGGCAGCTGCGGCGCTGCTCCGACTGCAACGACAACGGCCTGGTCCGGTGCCCCGGCTGCTGCTGACGGGCGCCATCATGGCAGCACCGACGGCCCCACCGTCTCTCTCTTGCTCAGGGCGTGGAGTGAGTAGGTAGATGTGCGGTGGGCCTGCGCCTACCTTCGTCTTTCCATCAGACGGGAGGCCTCCTTTCCAAGCTGCCGGAGGTCTCCTTTTCTTCTCCTTTTTTTCTCACGGCGAAGGCGGGGGACCGGCGGGCGGGGGACCGGCGGGCGGGGGACCGGCGGGCGAGGGACATCCACCATTTCTCTAGAAATTTTCCCTCTTCCGGCAACCCCATGCTCGTCAGAGGCGTTGCCGCTGGCCGCTTCCGTTCTTTTCCTTCCCTCTTCCTCAAGTAACTTGGGTCTCTGCTTCATGAGCTTCTCGAGTCGTTGGACAAATAAAGAGAGACTTGCTGCCTTATGGGTTCTTCCTTTTCTCCTCTCTTTTCTCCTCCAGACGTTCTAAAGATAGAGAGAGCGACGAGAGAGATTGGTCGACAAAACAGGGGACTGGTGAATCATGGTTTTAAGCGATCATCCAACTCAAGAGAACTGTAAAATGAGGGGTCCATTGCGTTTCTTATACAGCAAGGGGATCAAGAACGAGTACCTACCTGTCCGGTGGATGGCGCATGTGAAAGATGTAGTGTTGCTTATAAAGTCTGCAAGTTGGCTGCTTTGTGGTTTCCGACTTTTCTATCCCTTTTCTCCAAAGTGGTGCGAGAAGAGAGAGAGAGAGAGAGAGAGCTACAAGTCAACAAAGGTTCGGGTTAGGACGGGTGACAGGCGCATCATCACCCTCGCTCAGGGGGTTGACCGGGCGAGAGGTGATGGTGGTGGGCAGAGGGCGGCGGGGGTAATTATTGGCTGAGGGGGACGCACTCGAGCTCAATCTCCAGCTCTCCGCGCTCGACGTTCTGGAGCCGCAAGGTCATCTCCTGCCGCACCCGCCCGTCCACGAGGGAAATTACGCTGTCCTTGCCGAGGGTATTGTCTTCGGAGGCCAGCCATCTCCCCAGCTGCATGGGCTCCGAGATGCCGGAGCTCTCGTGCGCCTTGGCGGCGCAGACCAGCGGCTGGATGTCGATCTCCGCCTCCCCCATCCTGTCGTCGGTGGTGAAGGTGTCCTTGTCATAGACTTGCTGCCAACAGAGGAATATCTACTTTAGTTTGAAAACCAAACCCGGAGAAATCTTGGCCTCCATTTCACTCAGTACAGATTCATGCAATCAGAGATCTACAGTTCTGGGAGCAAGCTCCATCCAGGGCATGGTGCTTGTTTCTGGGCCTTTTCATGTAAACTGAAAATAGAAAAAAAATGGTGTTTGCCAATCTACAGAGCTACGCGTTCCAAGGAGATAATCCAGCCATGACAACAAGCTCAGATGCCAGGCCTTTTTTCTTTAGAGAGAGACTTAAGGAGGATGCCTTTCCACTTTTGCAGGCACTCGGCAGAGGCAGCTGAGAAAGGGAGAAGAGAACTGCTGGGCCGCATGGGAGCAGGCCAAAGGCAGGAGGGTGACTCTCGTGGTGCCCTATTCAGCAAACAACACAGTTGGGCGAGGTGCTCGAACTGCTCCACAATACCAGGACATGGGAGAAGAAACTGTTGATTGCTTTCTAACCTTAAAAAAACGTCAGTGTTGCACCAATTTTTATCTGTCAAAACGAGATAGCCCCTACAAACAGTAGGGGTACGATTTTGGCCTTCGAAAAATTCCTTGTATTGAGGGGAAATAAATCAATTACATACATTCAGAAATATGCGACATTATGACAAGAAATGAATATCCCCTTGTCCATGCCATAAATAGGAGCCGTGCTAGCATATATATAACGATATACTAATGCAAGCAATGGATAAACAACAGGAACGGTGACCATAGGATGAATGGAATCAGTACTGGAACAACAATAGATGGATCGTCTCAAGCAGTTCAAATCACTCATTAATTAAATCGATAATTAAATGAGGAAGATAAATTTACCAGCTTCAGGGGTGGAATGGAATCTGGAATGGACAGCAGTAAACTTTCATTCCAAATCGGATTTAGGCTGCTCTTTATCACCCTTGTCTTCACCGACTGGAATTTTTTGGATGGAATGAACTGTTATTGCTCAAACATTGGAAACCAACAAAGTGGAGGATGTGTGCGTTCTAAGAGAACTTACTTGGTGCCCCAAAGTAAGCATGACGTAAGGGTCACTGCTCACCACATCCCTGATCGCTAGATTGGTTCCTCTGACGACATTAACCTTAATCAACCCAACGAATTCAACCATCCCTCTCTGCATAAGTGATTTTTAAAGCTGAGATTCCAGCAACATTATTCTCAAGTGATACGAGATCCAAACAAGAAAATAAATCATGCTAGTGAATACTCTAACACCAGATCAATCTCACCGCAGAAAACTTCTTTGTTGACTTTTGCTCAGGTTCCTTTCTTCTCCAGCTGTTACGAAACGCTTGACTTAGTCCTTGGCGTATGCGAGTTTGATGCTTTTCAGAGCTCTTCTTACCCTGAACGGAATCATGATTACTATTTGGCTGACTGCTCTCTCCTCTTAGTTTCACACCGATTGATGTGTACTTCATGACGCATGAATTTATGTCCAAAAATTGTTGCAGCTCATATTTTCTCCTGAAATTCCAGGGCATCGTAATAGGTTTAAAAAACAACTGGGATAATGTGAAGGGGAACAACATTATCAGAAACACACCGAATGAATTCTGAGCGTTCTTCAGTTGACGAATCTGGTCTTGGTTTTTTGGTATTCTCTGGCAAAAAAGCTTCATATCTCATATTTACTGCAGCATTTCCACCACCATTAATCAAGGAATCGACCTGTTCATCAGTCCATTCGTCTAACTTTATAGACAGGACCTGGGGAGCATAAGATGTTGGAGCTCAGTTTCTTTTAAAATCAATATGACATAATATCAATTGATATGAGTTTCAGTTAGTGGAACATACGACCCATAAACAATATTGGACATATTTGGACATCGTCTGTGGGAACGGAAAGGGGAGAATTTCGTGGGTTAGCCCCAGGAAGAGAGATAGTCCTCGCCATAGACTATCATCTAGTTCTGAAGTCCGTGTTCTACGGTTCTTATCAGAGCCCTAAACAATCAGTTTTTCTAGTTTCTTCCAGTTTCTTTGTATCCCCCCCGCCCCCCAGTGGAATTTCTCAAGACCCCTTTCTTCTCTGGACCTCTGGATGGCATATCTGTCTTTTTCTCCTGGGGAAATTTACCTAAGAGCCCTTCTCTCTCTAGACCTCTGGGCGGCATATCCGTCATTTACTCCTGGGGCTAAGAGCCCTTTCCTCCTTGGCTCTCTGGTGGCACATCCGTCTTTTACTCCTCCTGGAGTATGCAAGGCCCACCGGGGGCCCATCAGAAATTCACTTTTCCTGGTTAATTACAAATATCATGCATGAAAGCAGTCACGAAAGAGGAGCGCATACTGCTGCAGCTATGACAATAAAACTAGAATTGTCCGAAACTTAAGTTAAATAAGAAGAATGGGCTATCTTCTAGTACCAGTTATAAAGTAAATCAGTATATAAATAAGAAATCATCGCATAGTTCAAAATATTCACAAAGAAATAGGAATGAAAAGTTGTGCAGCACAGAAGGGATCCTTGGTTAAATTCTGCTGAAGTGAACAGTGCACATTCTAACGGGCTGTAGTTGCCATTTGGGGACTGGAATTAGTGATTTATATATCTGGATTTGAGTCAAACGAAGTAAACTAGGGTAATGCCCGGGCTGAACCTGACAGGATGGATAGGAAGTTTTGCTGTGTGTGTGTCAAACGCGCAGATGATTGGTCTCTTAAGCCAATTCCAAATGGTTAATGTACCTGCTAAGGAGTGATGTCAACTAATAAGTTCGAGTTTTCAAGACCCATGGATAGACTGAATTAGTGGATCAAAGGTTAGATCGGGCATGAATTCTGGCAGAGAACTGTTTAAGATGGACAAAGAAGGAATTTAGCTGATGTCTAGATCTGAAAACTGTGGACGGAAAAAAAAAAGAAACAGAGGACCAGTGAATTAATACTTGATACAATAGATGTCCCAATGAGATGGACCTGACCTGAGACATGAAGACTTGATACAATAGACTAGTAATTGGGAAACTAAATGAAAGATGGCTTAGGTGACTAATATGGGTTATTTTCGTTAGGTAATATGAGAGGAGGTGATTTTTGTCCGATTATGCTTTCACGTGAAAGTGATTTCAGTCCTTATTCTGTCATAGATGAGCCATTAACTATTTTTTCAACCAATTAAGCACCCCATCAGCATATAGTCTAAATTACGAAGCCCCATTTCAGTTCCCCCTAAAAAATTTCGGCAGTATCAAATACCTTTTATGGTTCTAGAAATTCTTCTAGGTAACCCTGCTTAGGGTACATGCTGCTTGGAAAGAAATGTTACCTAATCGTTGTCATTGTTTTTCCCTCTCTTGCAGACTTGGGCTATCCTTTTCGTTTTTTTCTTTCCCTCCTCTCTCCTTCTTCCACAGTAGGAAAATAATTCTACTTGGATAAAAGGCCAGGATGGGTAGCACAATGATTTTTTAAGATATAAAATTTTCAAATAATGATGCAGTCGTAACTTCTTTCTCCTAAGAGATAAGAGATGACACTTCAAAACAAAAAATCTTAAGAAACTCTATTTTATGGAATCAGATGTAAAAGAAAGGTTGAGGCTTCCCTGAGAACCTTATTCCAGTTCAAGTTTTCTTTCAACTGCTATGAGTTGGCGAAATGATACAAAAAGAAGAAAGGTTTTCTGTAAACTTCTATTTTCGGAATGATCCGAAAAATAAAGGTTTTACTATTATTGGAGGAAAAAAAATCTGCACCTTGTCACTGTATTGAATAGCAGCGAATCTGAGAACGGAACAGTAAGCAGGGGGATGTTGCATGAACCGTAAACCAGAAACTGATTAAAAGATGTTTTCCATTTTAGATTAGAGGATTTTGAGATATATCATGTTTTAAGATGATAATTTTCAGAACAGTACAGTAGTAAGCATGTAGCTGCCTGATTTATTGTTTTCTTATTTTTTATTCCATCACATTAAGTCACTGTCGGAGATGGAACCTTTTGAGTAGATATCATAGTTAGTGCAACTTGTTATAGTGAACTAACAATTAGCAATTGAAAGCTCCATATTTGGAACTTCACGAAGACACTAATAATTATTTAGCTATAATTTTGATCAGGTCTTGAGTAATCAAGAGGGAAAGAGTTATCCACACCAATGCTTACATTTCTTAAGTTTCTTCATGCATTTTGTTTTGAAACATTTGGTTGTCGCATTGACGGAGAGCTATTTTGGGAAAAGTATTACTTCTATACCCTCCCTTTCAAACAGTCTAATACTTACCAAATTAACTTCGGAATATCCACTCTCTACATAACAGTAGCCTGCATCATTATTCTATAAGTTCCACTTTTTCCAAATAATTGGCTGATGTAAAGAAATAAATGGGAGCATTCCTGATCATTTTCCTTATCCTTGGCTTATTCTGCCTGAGATGATAAATAAATTAAAAACAAATTAACAGCAGCTGAAAAAATAAATTAACAACAACGATTAATATAAGGAACAACAACAGCAGCTGGAAAAAAATCACAAAGATAAAAACATTTTCATAATGAAAAGACAGCCAAAGTTATGCATTTTCTATTTTTTTACAGAAAATACCTTTGATATGTGCACTCCAAGGCTCCTGTGGATCCCTGAACATTTGATACAAATAAAGACGCCAAGATTGAAGGACCTGATTTGATCAAATGACTCAATATGAGGGATACAGTAGAGCCACAGAAAAATTAAGCCACTAAATAATGAAAAGTGAGATATAGAGTTGCAAGCCCTTTTCAAAAAGATGATACTATTGCTTAGAAATTTTAATGTAATAGAATATAAAAATAAACTCATGGCATGCTGTGATGAACTGAAACCAGTAACACAGTGAATGTTTGCTGTAACAGGGTAGCCATGCGTCTTGAGGATATGGATGCCTGTCAATCACTATGCACTGACATCAGAATCTAAAGTAAATTTTCCTATTTTTCATGTAAAATTTTCTGATGCAATAAATGAAAATTTGATGAAAGTGAAATAGCAAAAGTTTTTGTTCATTCTAAAATACATCTTATCAGAACATAAAGAAGGTCCAGCACTACTCACACTCAAACTGTTAAATACACTCTTTTGGATTAACTCAGCCAAGAATGTTTACTCATAGCAACTAGCTTTGGTTGAACTCTTTGGTATGGTATCAAAGCAAGTCCAAGGCATAAGAATGCATTAGTGCCATGAAAACCAAATTGGAATCCATGCCGATTCAGATTGTTATTTTCGTTACGTTTCTCTGATAGTACCTACATTTATAGCAAGTCTATTGGAGTCTTGAATTTCACTGGGAAAAGAAGTTAACAGAAGGGTGACAGTGACTCAGGACTATTCTGGCATTTAGGAGCGAAAGTAAAGCTAATTATTTCCATGATTTGATCAATTCACGACTAATTTTTTTGTAATGCAAATTTTATAGGCACAAGAGTCAGATCACAAATAAAGAGATTTGAGGTAATTTTAGATCATTTGAAAAAATACTCATAATTTGTGTAAGTTTTATAGTTCTGTACACTACAATTATGATAGAGTTGATGCACAAAATAACTAGCCGTTTTCCAATGGAGAGGTTTGAGCATGGTATATCACAGTGCAAACTGCCTCACATTAGGAATAGAGAGAAAACAATTGATTACGTAGTTAAAACAGACAAAAAGGATAGCATATTGTTTTAGGAAAGTGGGAATAACAAAAGAAAGGTATAGAAAATAAGTTTTAGGGATAAAATGATGGTAGAAAAATGTTCTATGCTGGTTGACAGCATTTTACAAACGAGTAAAATATGGTCATTTAAAAATGAAGATATTGAATGAGACTATGAAAGCTAATAAGACCAAACTTTCTGAGACCCAGGTACATACACCCATTTAGGATCTGGAGCACCACAATCTGCACAAAATCTGTTATCTGGTTGGTTCAATAAATTTTCCAGCCTTTCCAGTGGACCTGCCACATGGGAAACACGACAAGCAAAGAGAAAACGATATTAACCAATTTAAGGCTAAAGTGTAAGCTTCTATTTCCTTCAGGAACAAAAAGGATATTTTTCCCTAGAAAAGAAGTACGATAAATGTACATCCACTCGGTCCAATGAAAACATAAATATATGATCCGTTCTGTTCAACCATTGTATGCAATAAAATTATCACAGTAAGGATAACAATAGGAACTAAAGCACGGTCAGTGTGGAGTTCTTGAAACTATCATCTCATTACATGTAATAATCCACTGAATATGAACATAGACCAGCATATCAATCTTGAACGGTTCCAGAAGGTATAAACCATGAAAGGTTTAACACTAACGTGTACAATGCTTGTGTTTTTAATGAACATCACGATTTCTTAAGTTTCTAAAACTTATGACGGTTTTTAAATTTTCTGTGCATTAGTGTCTTTGACTGAGAATATGTCAAATATGCTTCTATCCTGGCTGGGTACGACAAGAAATCCTTTATGGAAAGAACCAAAATAAGATTGCTAGCTGTATTTTTCCCAAGCAAATATGTTAAGGGAAAATGAAACAAAAAGTAAATCAATTTTAGCTAGAGTTGGAATCGCCTGATTGTCGTCTTCCACATCTGATGAGCATGACATTTGTCAGAGTTTCAGAGAAGCAAAAGAGTCATCCAATGTCGGTAACTACTAGATGGCAGAAACTCTGCCAAGGGTTCGAAAGGCAGTTGACAAACAAAAGAAACATTTATTCATTTCACTGATATTTCACCAGGACACGGGAAAACGATGTGGAGTTTTATGCTAGGTTAGGGGATGAGATGTCGTCATTTCACTTTTAATTAGCGTTTATTAGTTCCCATGGAAAATAAGATCTACTGTCGCTTTAAGTCACCTTTATTGGCACCAGATTGATTAAGACTCCACGAATTAGGATTTAGATAACATATGTAAACATTACGTGCAACAGACTGCTTATTCAGTGTATGACTTAGCCATTCAGTATCAAATGAACGTCAGGTTCATCACTGTCCTGTCAAGACCTCCCACATCCAACGCCACTTAATAAAAAATGCGAAAAAAGGAAGAATTTCGAGCAACTTTCAGGCATAATAAAGGCATCATACAGCGGAAAATCCACATGAGGCAATCACGATGGTCACCACAGGTTATTTGACCCGGTAAACTAAAAACTAAGACCACCATGATGCAATGCAATGGGAAAAATAATTGACCTGGATAGGTGATGGGAGCGGGTTTCAGCGGCAGAGTGCTCATCTACATCCACATAAACGAGGGAGCAATCACGGAAACCACCCCCGGAGATTCGTTGGCTGTCAAAATTGTTTAATCGACAGCAAAAAGTCAATAGGACCGTTTTCCAGCGAACGCCGCGGTAGTTGTCGTTTAGATTCAGAAAAGAACTGGGCCAACACCCCGTGCGTACCTTCAAGAGAGAAAGTGAAGAGGGAAACCAGAAGCCCGACTTTCGGCGGGATTCTCTATGCTTCTGGGTCCACCGACTCGCGCATCGTCGTTCTGCATCTCGCCATCATCCCGCCTCCCCTCCTCTCCCCACGAAAATGTAGGGGTTGTGGTGAAAGACGCAAACGGGGGAGAGAGGATGGAGACCCAGAACTGCCGGGCTTTCGCAAGCATTGACCATCGTTTGGTTGCCGACACGCCGTCTTGCCGTCGTAGGACGGGAAACAGAGCTAACAACGGTCAGTCGGGGCTTCCTTCTCCCCATGCCTGCCGGCCCGATCCGGGCCGGGAGTCGCCCAGTCAGCTCTGATCTCCGGGCCCACCAGCCCATTACCACAAACCCATTACCACGGAAAAAGTGGGCCTAGACCCTCCTCATTAAGTGACAGATTTCGGGCCCCAACCAGGCCCAAATCGGGATTCATTCGTAAGATTTAGGAAAAAAACATTTTTTTATTTAAAATTTAATGTAAAGCACGGTCATTTCATTTATACTAAATATTGAAAAGACCTTAGGATGTGGGCTTTCAAAAATAAGGTTGTGGCTGGACCATCTGCTGGTCTTGCCTCCGGAGCTACTTGAAGGGTGTGAAGCCCGAAAATGTTAAGTCGGCCCAGCCCGTTTGTGAAAATATTATGATAATTTCGAGATATAATATATATATATATAGTGACGTCATCGGAGGAGAGGACTGCCGGAAACGCCGCAGTATGGGAATCGGATCCTCTGGGCTTCCGTCGGCCCGAATCTTCGTATTCTCTCGCTGGGTTTCCCGAAGAGGACACCACACGGGCGGCGAAGGGGCAGCAGCCGGGTGCGTCTTCGAGCTCGACGGGGGAATGACCCATCGTCATCCGCTGAGGGAAGGGAGAGCAGAAGCGACAACCGGCGTCCTTCTCCCCGCTCCCCTCTCATCCTCTTTTTTCGTTTTTTTTTTCCCATCTCGGGTGATTTTCGCCCAGGCGAGAGATTCCTCAGTCTGTAAATTGCACACCTCGTCGCGCCCGACTCCGTGACCATGCCGGACGTGCAGGAACTTGTGAGCGATCTCGTTCTCAAGCTGAAGCGGCGGTATCTCCCTTTGTTTCGCTCTGGTTTTGTTAACCCTTTAGGAAGTCCTGGTTGGAAACTGAAGGGTTTCTCTGCCCCATCTCTATTTGCACGTTGTGGCGATTCTTTTTTAATTGCGTCGTGCTCTATATCTAAATCGCGTCTCCGCTCGACCTTTGCAATGGCTGATATGCTTTCTCTCAGGAGGATTGAGGGGTCGCACGCCTGCGCTAAGCTGACAGCCGAGTTGCTCCGTCAGGTGGTCTCCCATCAGAGAGTGCCGTATACAAATCAGGCTGCTGCATTGGTCGATGCAGTTAAGGCCGTTGGTGAGAAGCTGATCAGTGCCAACCCTGTCGGTATTTCCGTCACCCTTATCTCCCTAAAAAATCTATGTTTTTAGTCGTTGCACAAGTCTTAAGACTGGTGTTTTCTTATGGGAATGTTTCTAATATCTTGTATCCTTGAAGTTGAATTGTGACTATCTAACACTCGCTTGACTTGAAATTATGCTATGAGATAGAAGTCGTCATATGCACAGGCTCCTCTTTCACAATGTTTATATCATAATTTGAAATGATAATCCTTTATTAAGTTTATTACTCCACTTTTCGATTTTGCATTATTGAAGGATTATGCTCACTGTGCATCTGGCTTTTGGATGTAGAACTTGCTGTTGGGAATATAGTAAGTCGTGTGCTGCATATTATCAGAGAAGAGGATATTGCTTTGACTTCATCTGCCTTGGAAGGGCTCGGTTTCTCTGCTGGTAGCGATGATGATGACAGCCATGCTGAGCGTGATGACCACCACGTGGGTTCATCGCCGGCAGTAGTGGCTGCTGCTGCAAGAAGCACTCTGAGGGCTCCCTCTTTGCACACACTTCTGGAGGGTATACCTGATTCAGCTTCAGTTCGCTATCCTTCTTCCTCTGGCGGTGATTCTGAAGGCAAAAGCAGATGTATGAGCACTATTTCTCTCTGGGTGATAATTTTCAAAGCATAAGTTCAGTAACTTTAGAATAAAAGGAGGATGCTGCAGATAGGTTCTTTTGTTCAATAAATACAGCCTGTGAGATGTACGGGCAATTCATATCAGGTGTTCCTTGACATCTTTTTTATGCACAGCTGATAAAAGCTCAAGGACGAGGAAGTTAAAGCATGCTGCTATTGAAGCTATCAATGAACTAATCAGCGATATTGACACTTGCCATGAGCAAATATCTGAACAAGCGGTTGAGCATATTCATCAAAAGTATCTTCTTTCCTTTCAAAATTTACAAGTCCTCTCTTTTCAGTTATTAAAAGAAACCCTAAACTGCTTCGATGCAAATGTTCATAGTGCAATTGCGTTTCCTTGCAGAAAGTGATCTCTTTGTGGACTGTCCATAATTATCAACTTAATTCTTTGTGTGGTCTGAAAGCTCTCAGCATGCTTTCGTTGTGTGGGCTTTACATTTTCCCATCTGTAGGGTCGCTTTACATTTGCTCATTCCTTAGATCGCTTTAAATTTGTTATCAATGATGTGTCATTTATTCCTCTATTTTTGAAACTTTCAATTAGAACTTTTAGGAAATCTATTTGCTTATAATTAACCTCTTACTTTATGAATAAGATGCAGTTATCAGTTAATCGAAACATTTTTTTTTGTCTCATTTCTTACTATGATTTTATTTCTTGACGAGGACACACAAATGTGAAGAGATACATTTACAGTCTCTAGAGAAGATAAGATAAACCAGATCAGGCTTCTCACGTTTTAGGGCTTATAGCAAATAATCATGGGCTGGTTTTGCAATAAGCTGTTATTGAAGCTTACGGTAGATGTGCTTATGCAAAAAACAATGTCACTTACAGAGAGCTACGTCTAACTTTGTTTGACGGTTCTGTCCAACTTGTGCATTGATGCTTAATTCTCCAAGCTGTTGCTGATCCATGTTGCGATTTGGTGAGCTGATAAACCATAGTCAGCAAAAATAGGGGAGGAGTCCTATTTGATTCGATGTGAGTTGGAATCGCATGATGGCTGGGGAGAATTTGGATTAGTTTTGTATTCTTATGTATTAAAAATGTGATGTATATAACTTTAAAATTTCAAGAAGTGTATCTGAACAGTATTCATCTGACCTGGTTTTTGCGTGAAGTCAGAATCTGTAAGCCCTAGTCTCTGTAGGCCCTGTAAAATATTATTATAGGGGATTAAATTGGAAGGATATAAAGAATTTTCTTTTTCTAGTTCCCAATCATGGTCTAGTTATATATTCTCTTGAATAGTTAAACAGTATCGTAAAATCCAATCTCTCTATCTGAGATTGATGATTCTGGATCAATTGACTGCAATTTTGATCATTGAATAAATGGTGTATAATAGATAGGATGAGCCCGGTAAGGGAAATCTTGTTTTGGTGTGAGTGACCCAGGATTTCTGTTGATTTGTTCGTCTCACTTATAGATTGATATCTTCTTGTAAGTTGCTATGGTGTGGGCTGTCTTGGGAAATCGATGGTGCATGCTTTCACTCAAGATATTGTTACATCAATTTTTTTACTTTTCGATCATTGTGTTATCATCGTTCACTATTTCCTAACTCATGATAGATTTTGAGTTTTTATATATTCGCACTTAAGAACTTGCTGGTTTGCTAACTTCTGATGAGAAGTTTTTAATCGTAGAACATTATGCCTCCTCAAAGAAAAGGGTTCCATGCGGTGAGACTGGGTGTTCGTAGGTCGTAATTTTATTTTGTAGTGGGGAGTCCGTGGTGGGGTATTGTACTTCACAGTTAGGTATTTTGTATCTGGTATTCGTACACACTGGCGCAACTTGAGACTAGGATTGGCAAGTAGTTCAAATGGTCAAATGATAATAGCCATGAAGGAGAAGTGCTAATGGGGAGGTCGGATTTCTACCGAACCTTTATTAGTTTGAACTCAGGTTTTTGAATTGCTAACTAGCGTGAATCGGACCTAGTGAATTTCAATGCTACTATTCTTGATATTTTACCCAAACTAGGACACATCGGACAATCTTAGAGACGTTTTACGTGTTGCTATGGGACAGAAACTATGGACAGTTTAAGAGACGATGCAGTGAAAAATTGGGAGAAGAAATTTGGAAAAATTGCTGCAGCTGGTATTTTCTCCTCTTTTAACCTTTTTGTCCACCTTTTTTGGTTTCTCCCACACAGCCCCCAATGCCTGTGAAGGGGTTAGAATAAGCTCAACGGGTAGATGAAAACGAAGGGCCTAAAAATTGTATTTTTTTAAATTCAAAATTTCTTCCTGAAAACATTTATAGTTTCTTTCACAAAAAGTGTACATGAACATAACTTAAACTATAAAAATATTATTATTTTCCTTTTAATAACTAATCGTGAGCTGGACTGCAGTGATTTATACTATGTTCAAGTAGGTAGCTAGTATGGAGAGATTATTTGGGGTAAGGGATGCCTTCGGTCTGTTTATTCTGAATAGATGTACCCTTTGTTAGTTCTGATTTTAGAAAAAGTTAACCATCGGGATAGTATTCCCTTTTCGACTCGTTTAAGGAATGCACAGATAGTATAAAGTACTTTTTATCAATGTAAATGCCAACCCGTTTTCAAACATTCTGCATTGCCTTTGTGCTGCCGCAGTCCTATTGCCTCAAAAATGTGCAGACATGTCACGCTATGAAAATAGTGAAAAATAGGCTCTCTATCGATCAAATTACATACATGCCCGTTATATTTTATCTACTACTTCCGATGTACATGCTACAACGTTTACTACGCAGGATATTGTCATGGCCTGGATTTACACTCCCAACAGCAGGGTCTGCTCCCAGCCCCATGACGATATTAACTAAATATAAAGGAATAAAAGATCCACTTAGTATCAATTTTCTTTTGGTTTAGTTGGCCATGTTGTGTGCCTTTGGAAGTGAAGGTTATGTGGAATTGGGAACCGGGCTCGGATTGTATGGTTGATTGCAAGCTACAGTCTGCCCACCCTGATGTCTACCCTGAACCTTCTCTGTTTCTCCATCATTCAATCAACTTCCTCTACTGTGACTTTCTATCAGAAAACTTTTCTCTAAAGTTCAGAATTGTTCAATTCCTCTTACGTTGAGTATAAGATGTTTCGTCGGTCAGCACCTAGTTTGAATCCTAGACCTTGTTATTGTTAGCCATGTTGTGTAACTATACATACGAATCCTATACATATGACTTTCTACTGTGACTTTCCATCAAAGAACGTTTCTCTAATGTCAAGGTTCTCCAATTCCTGTTACGTTGAGCACATGATGCTTCATTGGTTAGCACCTATTATGAATCCTTGACAATATTGTGTTACTGTAGATATTTGCCATGGGTGAAAAGGAATTTGTCATCCATTGTAAGGTGTAACTATCAAAGAATCGAACTTCTGTTTGAAATTTTCTAAGAATAGTAAATAACATGAGGTGACTTCAAACTTCTAGTGATTTGCTTGGGTAATATTATTTTTAAGTTCGTCTTGTTGTTACTTAAGTTTCTATTTTTTTTCTAGTGAGGTAATAATGACCTTGGGACGTTCAAGGACTGTCAAGGAATTCCTTTGTGCAGCAAAGGAGAAGAACCGATCATATCGCGTATTTGTTGCAGAAGGTGCTCCAAGGTCCAATTCCGTGCATTTTTCTTGCATATATCCATTAATTTGCATTGTGATCCCCTGTGAATGAATGGGTGTCATATTTATGCATCTACCTTCGTCTTGTTTCTTTGTGATGTTGTCATAAATAGATATCAAGGACATGTTCTTGCAAAAGAGCTTGTTGCCAAAGGCTTGCAGGCAACAGTCATTACTGATTCAGCAGTTTTTGCAATGATTTCTCGGGTGAACATGGTAATATCAGACATTGTTTCATTTTTGCCGTGTTGACTTTTTGTAATGTAACTTGAGGGTTCCTATGTAAAAGGTAATAGTCGGAGCTCATGCAATCATGGCCAATGGTGGAGTCATGGCGCCTGTTGGTCTAAATATGGTTGCCCTCGCTGCACAGAAGCATGCTGTTCCATTTGTTGTAGTTGCTGGCAGTCATAAGGTGCGATACTTTATTTCGTATAGAACTTTATAATTTTCATCTTTCCTTCCTGAGCAAATGGAATATACGTTGCTACTGTAGAAAATGACTCTTTCTTTTGGTTTTTTTTAAAGAATTTCTGCTATAAATGGATACCATATTGAAAAGGAAATACTCCTGTACGGTCCTCCAAGATTTGGAAGCTAGAAGGCTTCATTTGCATAACCTTGTGCCTCCACCTGTGGATCCATGTTTATCATCTGCCTCCATGGCTGTTCATAAATATTTATTTTATTATCTCACTCATCATTGTTCATTCGCCCATGGTTTTAATCAAGCTTTAGTTTGGATTTGCACCATGTCTGCAAAATTATGCAAAATTCTGCAAACCTTTAGTACTTGGAAAATTTTCCTTTTCTTACTCATTCAAAAAAATTCCCCCCCAATTGGAGCAACATATCTGAGAAGTAAACTCGACACATGTTAAATGTGTTGATTTTCCTTGAAGATTGATATCTTACGGTGAATACCATAGTAAATAGCAGCCTGCATGCTTCTGTTAGGCATTAATGGACACTACCCAGTAGGGCAGATTATCCTTCTTATAATACCATTTATATTATTTAGTTTCCTCTCGTGATTGCTTTCAGTTTGATTTTCCTGCCTATCGAAAATAGATATTGATTCATCTTTCTGATATGATGATTATTTGGCTGTGGCAGCTGTGCCCACTCTATCCGCACAATCCGGAGGTTTTGTTAAATGAGCTGAAATCTCCATCCGAGTTGTTGGACTTCGGAGAATTTTCAGACTGCATGGATTTTGGAAGCAGAAACGGCGCTCCTCTCCTTCATGTTGTCAATCCCGCATTCGACTATGTCCCTCCGAAGCTTGTCAGCCTTTTCATTACTGAGACGTAAGCTCTTCCCTCACATCTTTTCCTCTGAAGAACTTCGTTATATATGCTACATCATGTGGTGTAACTGAGTCCGTGGCAGAGTTAAGTTGAATATTCTTGACTTACCCTTTATCATAACAGATAATATAATGACAACCCACGAAATCTTGTTGACTTTTCTTAAGCAATTGGAAGAATATCCTGGTCAAAACATTATTCCATCAATCTTTATTTTTTGTTGGATTTTTTTAAAAACTTGTGGCTTCTATCGTTTCAGGGGAGGTTACAACCCGTCATATATGTATCGGCTCATAGCTGACTACTACTCCGCGGATGATGTTGTCATCCAGCAGCGGAAATCAGGCTCTGGGAATTAATATACTATTAAATTCATATAATCGCACAAGCTCTTCTGTTTATCTTGTTTCCAGATTCTGGTTGACTTCATATCCGGAGATGGCGAGGTCTGAGGGCGGCGTAGCGTTTCCTCGCAGTTACTTCCCTAGTTGCGTCGAGCTGTCCCGGATCAATGCAGCTCAAGACAGTGGAAAAGTTTATTTATTTATTTATTTATTTACGTTGACTCCTTTGTATGGCTTTTGATCCCGTGTGGATGGATGGATGGCTGCAAGAGCTTCCATCTGAATGGTAAAGTTAGATTCTTCAGATTCCTCGGTTGACCTGAAGATGTCTCACATTTTGAAACCCATACCGATGAGATTATCTTGGAGAAGCTGTTTGTTGTTTTGGTGTTTGACTTACCCTTATAATGAGATTTATCATTGACCAAGTTGGCATGGTCAAAATAACTCAACTTTATTGTGAGTTGGGAAGGGGGAGAGTTTTGGTCAGAATGGGCATTCATGGTTGACTGATTTTTTGGCATTGTCAACCATGCTCATAAATTCTCTGCAAATTTCAGTCAGAGGGTCTTTTCGTTCATGAGCAATGGACCCGCAGACCATTTTAGGGCCCATTTCCATGACCATTTGGGGGCCCCGCCCGGCCCGGCCCGTCATCGTGTAACCCCAACCGACCGACTGGGGCAACCGATGGCGTGACGGCGATCGGTCGGGCCGGAGCGAAAAGGACTGATTTTTATTTTTTTTATAGACGCCATCGGAAATGAGACCGCTTGACGGCCTGCCCCCTTTGTCTCGGTCGCGTAGGTGGGGCGTGCGGAGGTGATTGAGAGGGGGATCTACGAGAGACCCACACCCACGGGGGGGTGAAGAAGCGAGAGGATCTCGCGTAGAATCCCCCCCTCCTAGATGGCAACGACCATCGCCACTCTTCCCGCTCCCGCGGAGGCCGCGGCTGGGGAGGAAGAGTCGGCGATATCGAAGCTGCCACCGGCGTCGGGGGGCAGATGGAAGCGGACAAAGAAGGGGTCACCAACCGCCGTCGCGCCAATCAACTGCCTCGACGATGGCTGCCTCATGCACATCTTTAGCTTGCTCAGCCCTATCCCCGGTTCGTGGAACCCTGTCCGCCCTTCCTCTTGTGGATTAATCGATTTTTTTTATTCCTTTTGTTTTCTGCGAGCTGTGACTGAACCTTATTGTTCACAATTGTAATAGCAATGCTCTCTCTCTCTCTCTCTCTCTCTCTCGCAATTGGGTGCGATGGACCTGTTGATTTCAGATGCCGTGAGTTAGGATTCGTGGGTTTGATCGAAGAAGATAATTAGAACAGTTACTCGTACCGTGGGAGGCTTTAGCAAACGCTCCCTGTAGAGTTTTTTCCGTTTTCATACTAACCGTGAAGCCATTTTCACCTTATTTTATTGCTTTCTTAGGGTTTAGTAGCAATTGAACCTTATTTGTAGTTCTCCGTGGGCTCCCCCATTGGAGGCTTTCTCATATGAACTGCTGGAATTTGTCTTCGGAGTCCCTGGATTGAACTACCTATAGAATTTTTGTGGCAAATTTTAAAATAGCAGCGTGCAGCCAGTGTTGTGATCTCAGTGAACTGTGACATTGGCCTTGTGCATAAATTTCTAGAGCTAGATAATTTAGTAGTATTTTCAGTGTTTTTGTTGGTTATCTAATGCCATTTACTTTGCCGGAAGAAGTAATGCACTTGGATACCTGTTGACATCAGACTATGTGACGAACGACGTCAATTATTGCTGAAGTTTTTTATTAGGATCTGTTGTGTATTCATACTGAATCTGATTCATAATCTGATCCTCTTAAATCCCTAGTAGACGATGTGAAAGATGCACCATGGGTTTTTCTTGAGAGATAAACTAGTGAAGCGCATGTAAAAGGGACAACGAAGAAGGGAATCCTTGCTTGGTTGAGCAGGAGGATGCCATGAAAGGATCCTTCCAGTGCACCTGTTCCCATTGATCATCACACTGCATATCAGATTTTGAGGTGTTATGGCTGCTTCCTGATAGGAGAGAATAGGTGGAGTGTCTCAACATCAGAGATGGTGAGACCGAGGACTGGTAACGCTGATATTGTTGGTCATGAGAATTTCTAAATTGGGTTGCAGGGAGGAAGAAGAGCAGGACGGAGGAGTCTACCGGATCAGGCTCCAACGTGCTTACTCATGTAAAAGGAACAGTTAATTAGCTAGCACGTGACAAGTCATAGGCTTGTCAGCAGGCAGCTATTTGCTAAACTGCTTATGGGTATATTGCAGCAGGCAGGGTTCAGCAGAAGTGGTTCCATTGATCTATCATGTTTCAGTTTGGGAGTTGAGAGGATAATGGAGAGAGGAAAGGACTTAACAGTCTGGCCTTGCGTTGACCCTTGCTGTGAGGAGTAGACAGAAGACATCTGCATGTCCATTGATGGAGAAATCAGCACCCCACCCAGTGGATAGAGTACCAGACAGATCAGTTTGACGGCCGTTTTTTTAACCCTTGGGAAACCTTTGGCTTGAAGTGCATATGGGGGACAAGAACCAGATTTCGATCATGTTAGGTAGCGGTTTCAAGCATTGAGGGTACGTTGTACTGGTGATGGCCACTGATGCAGAGGATCATTCAGAGGGCGAGGGTTAGTAGAGAACATTCACTTGAACAATCCAAGACCTTCTGCCTAAGAGGGTAAGGGATAGGGTTTATGTGAATCCTCAAACGGCCATATGACCTGCGTGAGGTTTTGAATGCTGATAATTAATATTAAAAATATTTTTCTGCATGCTTCATTTTCTTAGATTATCATCAATGCTTTCTTAGATTGGGATATCCTGAGCTTCCCTGGTCAGAATTTCATAATATCAATGTCTGATTTTATCATACGACTCTTTCTACCATCTCTCGGACTTGCAGATCGGTACACGACGGCCCTCGTGTGCCACAGATGGCGGCACCTGGCCTGCCACCCACGCCACTGGTTGCGGGTTGAGCGGTCCATCAAATGCGCTTCCCGGCCGGGGGTCTTCCCAGACCTTAAGACCGCAATCTCTGCTGCGAGGTTGGCATTGCTTCTGATTTTTCTTAAGAGTATAGAGAAGGCATGTATGGTATGTAACCCAGAAAATGGTCCTGCTGTTTGAAGGCCGGGGGACACCATTCTGATTTCTGCTGGCGGTAGCCATCTTGCATCCGATATCCAGATCAAGAAGCCTCTTTGTCTTGTAAGAGAGAAGTCTCTCTTTTACTCTCAGACATGAATGGTTAGTGTGAGCTGCCCCGCCTCTCCACTGATCGCGTTCTTCTTCGTCTCCCCCAGGTGGGCGGCGGGGCTCTCCCTGAGGACACCATATTGACCTGCTCCCGCGGTTCCGACAGGTACCCACCTCAGTTTCTAGTTTTGTATTATGTACGGACTCGGATCAGGTGAGAGTGGATATATATCCTTTTCGGGAGAATGTTCACGTCGTCGCTGGTCGACCAGCGGAGCTTGTAGCTTGACCACACGCGGGTTGGTGTTCATTTGTTTGTGGGGGCAGTGCGATCGAGTTCCTGTCCACGTGCAAGGTGGCGAACCTGACGGTGAGGGCGGAGCTGGGCTGCTGCTTCCTGCACCGGAGCGGGCGGCTCACCGTGGAGGGCTGCGTGCTGCAGTGCGAGGAGAACCCTCTGGACTTCCTCTCCTTCCCCATCGTGAGCACCGCCGCGCCGGCGGCGGCAAGGGCGCGCGGTGCGGACCGCGTCACCGTCGCAGAGACCCGCATAGAAGGCGGCGCCAAGGCCGTGCTCTCCTGCGGCACGCTGACCCTTCAGCACGTCCGGGCCATCTACGCCCCCAAGGCGATCTTCTTCTGGTTCGAAGCTGTGGAGAAGTGACAGGCCGAAGTCCTTCCTGTATGCTTGTAATATATGCCCGCTCTTCGGATGAAGCCCCGGGGATTTGCGACAGGCCGCAATTCATTGATTGTATGTGTGGATCAGGCCCTCGTACGTAACACGCTCGTTCTGTCTGATATCTGGACTCTGCTCGTTTCACGAAACCAATGTCGTCTGTCGATCTTTGGACTTCGTCTTTTTCCGGTGGGGTGGCCGGAACCCATGAAGCAGAAGAAGCCAGGCACCTAGCACAGAATGGTAGGCAGAGAGGAGGTCCTCTGGATAGCAGTGGCTGGGCCTTCCCTCTCCGAACCCTAGTGGGTGAAAGGAGCTGCTTTGGGCTTTTCGGTATTGACCGATATGTATGTTATTAACAGCATGGACCATGAGAGAGAAAGGGTGGGGGAACAGAGAGAGAGAGAGAGGAGCTGCCTTGGGCTTTTCTGTATTAACCGATATGTGATTGTTCTTAACGTCATGGGCCATGAGAGAGAAAGGGGCGTTAGAGGGAGAGAGATGGGGGATATACGAGACCCGTGGCCGGGAGAGGGAGTTTTCGTACCTTACCCGTGGTCACGTGGTACTGAGAGGAACCCGCTGTTACGCGGGGGGGAGTCGACGTCCCTGTCGTCCGTTAGAAGTGTCACATTGTAGTAGTCGGCATTTCACTGGACTTTTCTGTTATTTTTACGTGCTTTTGGCGGGCGTTACTATTCCCTCAGACTATAAGTACGGGTTCACAGGCAGGAAGGAAGCATCTGCGGTGGAAGCAGAAGAAAGTCGAAGGGGAGGAGATGGCGACGCTCAGCATTCCTCAGCCCGTCCCGTCCCCCTTGGAGGACGCAGAGGCCCTCAGGAAGGCCTGCCAGGGTGAGTTCTTGAACTCGGTGCTCGCCTTTAGATTCTCTTGGAAAGGTTTCTGGATCGTGTGGCTTTTGGAATTCCCGGATCTGGTTTCTGATTTGTCCCGATTTGAGCTAACGGCCCCTGTTTCTCCGATCCTCTGCATATGATACCTTCAAGGTATCTCTAGCCACCGCCACGAAGTGTAGCGGATGATCATTCGAGGCTCGTGCTTGTAGTGTCTGGAGATGAATATTTTTATGGGGTTTAAACGTCGGGCGGGGGCTGTCTCTTGATGATCGATGACTGTGTACTGGACAGGGTGGGGTACGGATGAGAAGGCGGTGATAGAGATACTGGCACACAGAGGCGCCGTCCACCGGACACAGATCAGGCTGGCCTACAAGGAGCTCTACAAGGAGGACCTCGTCAAGCGCCTCGAGTCGGAGCTCTCCGGAGACTTCGAGGTAAGCCAACCACGATCAATTCTTGCTCCTAGAAACAGAGGAAGATCCAAGGGTCCCCAATCTTTTCCTTAACAAAGTAATTGGCGGCGAGGGGTTCTTCCGCTCTCCGAGTTCATGTTTAGGATGGGCGTGCGTACTTATTCCATGTGTGGATCCAGAGAGCGGTTTACCGTTGGATTTTCGAGCCCCTGGAGAGGGAGGTCATCATCGCCAACATCGCAGTGAAAGCGAGGATCGACTACCGCGTCATCATCGAGACTGCGTGCATCAACTCCCCACCCGAGCTCCTCGCCGTGAAGCAGGCCTACCAGGCCCGCTACAAGCGCTCCCTCGAGGAAGATGTCGCCTCGCACACCTCTGGCGACCTCCGCAAGGCATCTTCCTCCTATCCCACAGCACCCCAACCAGGTGCCATCCTATGTTTATATCCGACCCCCCTGATCAAGTGTTGCTTCTGCAGTTCCTAGTGCCTCTGGTGGCGTCGCACAGGTATGGTGGGGAGGAGGTTGATCCGAGCTTGGCCCTGACGGAGGCGCGGATCCTCCATGACGCCATCAAGCAGAATGCCTTCAACCATGAGGAGATCACCAGGATACTTACAACCAGGAGCAGGTTCCAGCTGAACGCAACCTTCAACCGCTTCAAAGACGAGTTCGGCGTCTCCGTGACCAAGGTCGGACGAGCTCTACCATCCATGGAAATCTCCAACTCCCAGACCCCGCTCCGCTCTTACCTTTCATCGAACTAACCGATAATACAGGGTCTGTCGAGCTCAGAGTGTCCAGACGATCTCTTGTCATCTCTGCGCGTTGCGATCCGCTGCATCAGTTCCCCTCACAAGTACTTGGAGAAGGTGATTACTCGTCACCAGCACTCCCCCATCGAAATATTTACCCTCCCCTCACGTTGGTATCCGTATCCGACGGACCACCCCGACATCTCAGGCCCTGCGCAACGCGCTGAAGAAGCCAGGAGCCGACGCTGACGTCCTCACGCGAGTGATCACCACCCGCGCGGAGAAGGACCTCAAGGTGATCAAGGAGCTCTACCTCCACCGGACCAACACCTCCCTGGATCATGCCATCGCCAAGGAGACCTCCAACGACTACAAGAGCTTCCTCCTTGCTCTCATCGGGAACTAAAAAGTTTGCGCATAGAGAGATCAGCTGGTTAGGTCTCCTGCAGCACAATTTCGAGCAAAGTTTGAATTTTTGTTCCTGTTTAATTCTCTGTTTAATGTAATAACGAACAAGGTAGTCACCTTTATTTATGGATCGTCTCGTTGCCCTCGTTGTGCTTTCCTAAGTGGGCTTCGGAGAGACGAAACCATTCACGAGAGAGAGAGAGAGAGAGAGAAAGAGAGAGAGAGAGCGGAGTGGGGGGACGGGGGGGGACGTCAGGCAGCGTATTCAACCCATGAAATAGAGCCGACGGTGCCGCCATTGACGACCAATCACCATGCAGATTAATCCTCTTCTCAAAGCACCACCACCCTCACCATATACAAACGGATAGATATCACCAACGACAGAAGTTTCTTCTCCACGAGAGAAAAGCTGTGACTCTTCGTCGTCAGCCAGACAGGCGAGCGGGAGTATTCCTCACTCGGTTCTGGCCAGGGCGGTCGGGCTCACTTCTTACGGACCAGAGCGGCAGCGACTCCGCCCACCACGAGCCCGACGGCTGTTGCGGCAATGCCGATGCCGATCACTCCATCTGGCTCCAAGGAAGAAGAAGAAGAAGATGATGATGACGATCCAGAGAGAAGCTATTTGCCTGCACAGAGGGATGGGAGAGAGGGAGGGAGGGGAGATCTCCTCACCTTTGGCTATTCTGTCCTCCACGGCTTTCTTCAGTGTCAGGGCCTGCCTCCAATCCGGTTGAACCTGCGCAAATAGAATAAAAAGGAAGCTTAGGAACTGCAGACGAGGAGAAGAAGAGTCGTCCGAGAAATCTACTACAGCCCACGGTTATTGTTGCAATGAAGCTCTTCCCCTAAGAACTGGGAGCTACCGGTTGTGGCACCAGCCATCAGATGCCCAGAGCCTGATTGCCGGCGATTCTTAGCTGTCTGTGCTTGTCTACGAAAATCCTATTGAATTCATCTCTAAAGCTCAGCAGTTTCCACAAAGAAGAGAAGGCTATTTACTACTGTTTCTCGGTTTCAGTGCTCATCAACGACCAGCATTCGACCCCAAGTGTGCCCTGGCCGTGGCCGGTGGGGCAGAACGGTCATGAGTGAGAGAGGGAGGGAGGCAGGGGCTAGATAGGTTTGATGCAGAGGAAACCACACCAAGGAGAACTGCAACGGAGTCTGTGGATCATTTAAAGAACAAAAATCAGGGTTGATTTTGCAACAAAAGTGTCCTGGACATAGTTCAAGTCTCCATCTTCGTAACTCCCATTGAAAAAGAAAGGTAAGCTCTTCACTCCCCCCTCAACCAGCTAATTATTATCCGTGAAAAATACACGAATTCTGAAAAAAAATATGGACCCTGAGTAGGGGTAAAACAGGAATCTCTGACCAAGGTACGGCTGTCTTGGGTTACCAATGGGATTAATACTAGTTCCGTTTCTTTGCTCTGATAAACTTTCTTCCATTCATGAGATACAAGCCTTGGTTGTCGTCCTCAAAATAACCCATGCGTCATGATTAGGATCCGGTCAACCAATCCATCCTGTTATATGTCTGAGAAGTACTACCCTTTTAATTTGCCACCAATGAGGGCACATAAGGAGACTTCTGGTCCAGATATCAGCGTATGCTTTCCACTAAGCCTTTGAGTTTAATTTAGTCAAATGTTAGAACTGACCACAATCATTCGCAGTGGTTGGGTACTTTAGGGATTGGGAAACTAATGTGGGGCATTTAAGTGAGTCCTAGTAGTATTCTCCCTGAGACTTTTGTGAATGAAGATTTCTTATTAGTGCTTGCGATTATCCCGGATAAATCATGGCATCCCCACAAGCAGTGGTGATTCTGAGACCAGAGCTTTAAGTCGTCAAATACGTGCAAATGAGGAAATGCTCGTGTATTTGAAGTAAGAAAATGCTTGCTTCCATCTATTTGACAAGGAAACTTTTTATATGGGCTAATTTATTTTAAGGATAAAAGGCCTAATTTTCTCAGGTGAGCAACTTCTCCAATGAGAACTTTAGGACCAAAAGTTTGAGATACAAGAGCTACGCAAAGGCATTCTGGAATACAAGGCATCACTTAAGGGCTCGTAAATAGACAGAAGAAATCGTTCAATAACTTCTACAGAAAACAGCAATAAAATACTTTTAGTATTATCAAAGTGCATAATGATGTCTGATTGAAAAAAAACAATATCATAAAAAATATAGAATTCATCAGAATAAATCCCTTTTAGTATTATCAAAGTCCATAATAATATCTTCCGTTCTGGCAATGAAAAGTTCCAATTAACTTGAAGAGTAAGTAAAAAAAAAATAGAATGTCAAATTGTATTAGCACGAAACTAGGAATTACTCAATAAACGTGCAGAAAACAGTATTATGTGTCAAATATCAAAATTTTAGAAGTTTAGCCAAACCTCCAAACACTGTTCCACAAGCTGCCGACTCCTTGAGTAGTCCCCACTTCTATAGTACCCGACTGCAAGAAGATAAAGGCCCTCTCTCCTCTGTAGCGTAGTGATGTTATTGCCTAAAGAAGCTGCGACCAATAACAAAAAGGAGAAACAATCAAGAGTAAAAAGCCTGTGGGTGAAATACAATTCGGAAAAAAAAATATTCAGAGAGAAAATAGATGATCATTGTATGAAACAAACATGTAGAAAAACCAACCAAAATCTATGCAAAAACCTTTATCTTTATTGATAGCATAAGCTCAACCACAGAAACTGACCAAATAATGGGGAAAACACATAATCTAAAACAAAGATTAGAAAAATAAAAAAGCAAATGCAAATAAAGCTCACTCTACCTTCAAGCATGGCAATACCCCTTTGCACATCCTCAGCCTGTCTGGAGTGTACAAGAGCCCAAGATAACCTCATCAGGCTTTCACTCATATTTTCACTAGATCTATCAGTTTCGCTAATTTCTCTTTCACAACCCTAGCCACAGAAAGGAAATTAGAAAATTGACGCGAAAATATTGCCATACAAAAGAAAACTGTCTTTCAGAAGGGAGAAGAAAAATAAAACTAAAATATCATCAAAGATATGTCAAGAAAAGTGTACAGTAATGCACATCCACAAGATGATAGTGACGATGGCAGCATCTAAGAATAGGTAACATCATAATTTGAAAAAAAAAATGATAGATATTCTTATGTTTCTTAGAAATTCGCCATCTGATACATACTAGAAGAAATGACAGTAATTTTCTATCCAGCTAATAACCGTTGGAAGCATCTAATAGATCGAGTCACATTAATGCTCAGAACCCGCCACTTTCTACTCAGCAGTAACAGATTAACAATATCTTTAAACCTGTAAGGAGCACAATATTTACCAATTTCATCGCAGAACAAGAAAGGGTTGAGATTCACACAACGTTAACAGCCCACAGAAGAAATCCACTATGACAGAAAATCTACAGAAAAAGTGCAACGAGTTGACCTTGTAGAACGCTCAGTGGAGAATGGACATGTCGCGGCAGAATAATATGTCGCGAAAAGATATACCGATTGAGCGGGTTGAGTACTATAATAGAGCCCCCAACCCCGACGACAGAGAGGAAACGGTGAGGGAGTGACGAGGGCCAATTGGCAGAGAAGCCCTAACGAAGATGTGATGGCTGTTAAGACAGGTCTCAAGCCTGAAATCCCCGGTGGATGCCACAACAGCAAGCCGTGACAGAAATTTAAATATCGCACAAAATAAACGAAGACAAGCGGACGAAAGAAGAACAAAGGGGAATTGGATTGAGGTTAGGAGCCTACGGCGATGATATCCCGGTCGCACCAGGGGATGACATCCCCGCCCGTGAAGAAGTTCCCGACTGACTCAAAAAACTTTCCGATCTTGGCCTCCATGATCGATGCCACACACTCCCCTCCGCACCGGCCTCCTGCCTCGATGGAGACGAAGCAGCGATGTTAATACACCGCCTGGAAGGGAAGAAGAGGAGAAATGATTTATTACTTCGGGGCGAAGCAAAGAGAGAGAGAGAGAGAGAGAGAGAGAGTGACGCTATCCACCTGGACAGGACACATAGGATAACCCTGTCTTTATTTCCAAGTATAGAGCTTGGTGACCAATCCACGTGGCGAAAATAATTTGGGCGTCATTTTTCATAATTCGAGAGAAACTGCCCATAATTGTACATGTGTCTTTCCTCCGACGTTGGTACCCTAAAATATTTCGAAGTAATTGTGCTATCCTTTCCCGCCGGCTGACTCCCTCTTTCTCTATTTTCTTCAAACAAATGAGGAAAGCAATGGCTGTTCATGGGCAGCTCCTCACAGGGTCCTGTCGTAGGACTGTCCCAGTCTGTTCATCCTTCGCCGCCGAGGGTGGAGAAGACTATGCTACTAGTGAGAAACATAAGGCATCCCGATATGTACAGACTATGGTTTGAAGGTTAAATGAGAGCTGGCCACATCCATTTTACATGTACAATGTTTTGCATACTATGCCCAAAACTGCCCAAATGTTTGATTAATTATATTCCCATATTTGGATATATTTTTTGCTAAGTTGACCATGGAAACCCCTGAAGAAATTAGGTATGAATAGAAAAAACTGTCATCTTTACAAATTTGTCATGTATGATAAATATGAGTAGTAATTCTTCAAGGGGTTGTTAGTCAAAGTCTACTTTGCTTATTCCACCACCCAAGTAGCCAACTCATTCTAGAAGTACTTTGCTTGGTCAAAGAGTTGTGTGCTCTTCTAATATAGGATTAGACTTATGTAGGAGAGGTCAAATGGTCAACAAGGCCACAAGTCACTACTATTTATGGGGAAAAGGTTTCATTTGTTTTATTTATTTCATTCATAAGATTAGCTCACCTTAGTCTTTGATGGGATGGCTTAATAATGTGGAGTAAAAGTATTGGTAATGTAATCATTCCTTTAATAAAGTAGTGCAATTATTTCTCTTGCTATGATGGTTAAATAATCTGAGTTTCTTATTAGAAGGTCAATACTTTTTCATCTCTTGAAGAAGAAACCAAGTTATAAATCTACATAGCTAGAGACTTCACCTTCTAAATCAATAAAGAACGACCTTAAATCTATAAGATAAAAAAAAATCATTATACAGAAAAACTCGTAATACTCCCACCCATCTTTATATTATAATAAAATATTTTTATATAGACTTAAAAAGGAGGTAAGACTTTGAATAAATATTATAAAATTTAAATTTCTATTAAAAAATACAATATTTTTTGAAAAAATCTTAAAAAACAAAAAAAAATATAATAGATTTAAAAGAAAATCAAAGTGCACAAATAACTTTTTGTACTTGAATGAGGTCCAAATTAGTTTCGGACCATCTTTTTGCGTTCTCTCTCTTACAACTCAATTCTAAGGTGCTTATAACTCTAGCTTTGGACTCTCCTTCCGCTTATGCATTCTATACTACATTATTATACTTCTCGATGTCAGACACATCAACACACGTCACGTGTTGCATCATGTAATTTCATATGTATGTTATGACGAAACACTCCCTCATCTCACTAGCCTCTCTAGGGTCTACTTACACTTACCCAAACCTCACTTTGCCATGGCATCATCCATGCAAATCGTGCGCAATTATGCATACGAGACAGATCTAAGCATGATGTTTGGAAGGTACCTCTCTCCGACGTCTTCTTGTGGGGAGGCTTGAGAAATCTATCTTCTTTGTTCAACAATTTTTCTCAGCCAGATATATTTACTGAAATTAATTTTTAGAATCTAAGCCCATCACATATCACTTAAACTCCGAGTCTCACTGGGGAGAACAAACCCTCTAGCACTTGTCTGGAAGAAAACTGGAGGACAGACCAGAGAGTAGTCAACAGGGCAGCTTTCTCATTAGACTAGAGCACCGCAGGCAGGCCAAAAAACACATTGCCTGAGCAAACCATGAGCACCAAGCGTTCGCCTCTGACTTTACAAGGCCGTGATCTCCAGTATAATTCAGTCCCCCCAAAGCAAAAATGTACATTCCTCACCCTCAACTCCACTCCACTTTCCTTCCACGGACCCCGGGGAGGTGGGCGGGGGGGGGGGGGGGAAAGAATCAAGAAAATAGAAAAAGAAAATGAAAACTGATGTTAGACACACGGACCTTTCTCTGTGTAGAGCAGACCCACCGCTTTCCCTGGGAGGACTTATTCAATGATGGCGGGGCCCCGGTGGCCGGACCAGGCATCCTCTCATTAGAAGGGACCCACCGGCGGGCTCAGAGGCCGCGGCAGCTGTATTTATTTGGCTAGGCGCTGACCTCTCAGTTTGACCCAAGTCTGATGCGAGGATCAATGGAGGGGCTCGTCATTTCCCATGCCCACGCTTGATCTCTCGACCATGCGGACATTATACTGCTCGTAAACTCTCGCTCGGTTCTCAGCCCACCACTGCTCGGCCTGTTTCTCGCTGAACCGCTTCCGACTGCACCCAGAAGACATTGGAGGCCAAGTCAGAGTGAGCAGTCCCCGACATAGCAATATATCGTGGATGCTCTGCATTGAAGAACATCGGTTATAATTCTATAAAAGGTATCATTTTTCACAAGGTTTCGTGACCCGTAAAAGGAGAAAAAGAATCAAAGAATGACCTATTTTAATAAAACGATAATATGGAAATAAACCCTCTTTGTTGGGTCAGATCTCTGTGGGTAGGATGTGGCTTCCCAAACATGATTGAATTCATCACTTTTCACCGAATGAATGAGAAACATGAAGGCAAGTAGTCATTAAATCATTTCTATTTAATTCAGTTTATTATTGGATAAAACATCATTACGGAATTCTGACATGCCAATGAGTTATGAATGCAATTTTTAGTAAGTATTGGAAAATGAGAAAATCATATTCATCCATGGTCTGCGAATCACAGTATCATATCTGTACAATGGAAGCTGTTGCCTACTTGCCTATCTTTGCAAGCACGCTCCCCTTTATTAGTCAACCTCGATTTATCTGAGGCTACCACTGTGTTTGCATTGACTTACGCCAGTTGGATTGCTGTCATAAGGCTGTGAGCCCCGCCACGTGCATATGCTCCGTCCCACAAGATTGGTCCAACTAGACTCAGTCTAGTTGAAGCATATGATCAACAAGGTTTGAAAGCTGATAAACGAGATTCAGCCGGCCAATTGATCTTTTCAATGGATTTATACTTTTTCCAGTATTCTCTCTTATAGGAAAGCCAATAATGACAAACTCTTACGAAGTACTTTCACAAATGATCGAAATGGAAATTGATACAACTTTTATCAGCTAGATAGTTGATTTATATTTTCCCAAGAAGGCTTGAGGTTTGTAATCTCCTAGGAGCAGGACATGATGAACCTGGCTGTAGTACTTCAAAGGTCTTCTATCTTGACAGAGTAACCATCGCAACAGAGATTATTCTCAATAATTGATTAAATTCTCAAGTGATCTCTGATATTATAACTGGTTTTTTTCAAATTATTCATTTTACAGTTGCATAAAAAAATTACTTAAGAATGAGATTATTCAATGCGAATATCTACTAATATGAAGCACTGAAAGAAACAAATTCTGCGCCAACATTGCAGATAAAATGGTGAAGTTTTCTTGATACTTACCTGAAGCGAACTCTCTTGAGATCTTTGGTCCCCCCAGGTAGTGAAATAAGGGTAATGTACACGCCAGGTTCATCTTGTTCAACCCATTCGGTAGTGGGATTGGGATCATCGTCCACATTTTTGGTTCCATTTCTAGTGCTTTCTGAATAATCTAATCTATTCCTGTTTCCTGTAGAGTCTGACCCGTTTGGAACCTGAATTCTGGAAGAATTTGAATCTGATTCGCGAAAAATAGTGTTTGGAATATCCGTTTGATCCATGGCTACAGAAGCAGTATCGCTCAAGCCAGCGCTGAAAGATGCAACAGAAGGTGGTTTGCCATTTCTCCCCACTCCTCCAGGCAGCCTTTCAGCCATCTCCTTCAACTGTAGAAGATAAACAGTTGCATATTAAAGACAGAAAAGCCATGCACCTGGCAAGGCATGAATTGCCCCAAAAAGATGCATACAATCAGCATTTTTTACCAGACGTTCAGATCAGCAATGAAGACAACAATGCAAGTTCACATAAGTATCATAGAAAAAAGATAAACCATGTTTAAAGTGGGAATTCGCGCCAGTCAATATCAGGCCTTGTCGCATCCGTTGCAATACAAAATACTCCCAAAATTGACATGGAGTACACACAATTTTTGAGAGCAGCCTTAAAATGCACTTGATGATTTCCTTTCCTTTGGAATAGATAACAGGTACGGGATCATGCGCATTCCAGAAAACAACCTTAAAAACTTGAATCCTATCACGAATGAAAGCAAATCAAGAATGTTGCACCTCCAGATGTTTTTGTACAATTATAAGATAGACAAACATGCCTCAGCCAGCTTTGGGCTTAGGAGCAACACATTTCTCAATCATTTAGTTCTTTGATGGCAGCACCTTTTGGGGCGGATTCTTAGAATATAAGAATTGCAGCAAGATTTTGGCACTGAGATTTAAATAAGGTAATGAAATCTATCAACAAAATCCAATGAACGGGTTGCTTAGTTGAAAATAATCGTGGAAGCATAAAAGATACAGAAGATTTTAGTTACTTCGTCTCTAAACGTCTTATTGTTTGAAATATGAAACCTAATCCCGCTGATTTACTGGCATTGCATTTAAACAGATTTTAACAGACTATATAATGAGAAATGGAGGCCATGAATATTTCAGACGAGCAGAAACATCTTTGAGAATTCTGAACGTCTTGATGCTGCAATGGTCTGCCCAAAAGATGTAGATGGAGAGAAGTGGAGTGGTAAATAAACATTATGAAATTCTGCAAATGGTGCACAGAATTTAATGGAACGAAAGTAGAAACTGAACGAACAAAGGTAGTAGGAAGATATCAACAATTTATCAATCATATCAAAATCGTTGAACCCCAAATTCCCTCTCTACTTTTGAAAAAGTAACATCGTAAGAGGCACTATCATGCTGTTTGGCAGGACAGAAGCAATCAGATCTCAAGAACGATCATCAATACACAAGGTAAAAAATAAATATCTATCAGAAGGAAAAATTTCAAGGAGATGTGGGGGGATTCATGATATTAGGTTAAAGAAAGAAAACTTGACATGTGCAAAAGTTCAATGAAAACCCTAATAACTGTACTCATATCTGACACCACACACAAAGACATCCTAGTCCGATGTTCTTCAAGCTAAAGAGGATAAGGAAAAGCCCAATATTGAGGCATCAACGACAATGCCATCATAATACCAAAATGGGTTAAACCAAAACTTAAAACCAGGTCCACAAGACAACAAACATTTCTTACTTGTGCGGTAAGTGTCTTGATAACTTCCTTCGCAGCTTTGCATTTTGCAGTCTCTTCCTCTGCTATTGACATAGCTGCCTTCAATTGTTTTGCAGTTCTCTCCAACTCAACTTCTTGACGCTGAGATTTAAGAGTGAGACTCTCTACCTAGACAAGAAATCAAAAATAAAAAAAAAAGAATAACAACTTATAATTCTAAGAAACGTTTATACGTCAAATGAGTTAAGAATAAGAATCTGCAGCACCGTGGTGTGCTTCCTGGCTACAATAAGTGGTTGGCGGTTAAAAACAGCAGACATTCAGATTCCCCAAACCTCATAGATACAGAAAATAAGTCGTCAAAAACTATATTATTCGTATTTATGTTCAAGTAATCAAATTAATTTTCGTTAGATGACCGATAAATAAAAGTGGCAACAAGAATAGTTCATTATGAAATTTTCACACCAGTAGCTTGACCAGGTCGTTTGTTATTTGCTTTAGCAGTAAAACAACGAAAACAAGACCATAGCTTCCCCTTTTCCTCATTTGTTGGGACTTCTGAAAAAGAGATCCTCAACCCGTCCATATTTTCGACATAAATATGGTCATAGCACTTCTATAATGAAATTTTTTTAAAATCAGCTCGGTGACTAAGTCGGCCGGTTCCAATTTTAATTCTAATCTGGAACAAAATGGACAGCCCAAGCAGATTAATCCGGGGGATTAAAAAAAATCTACCAACTTCTGTCAAAATCATTGCCAATTCTTATCAATCTACCGGATTACAGTCAAATCCAATGAGTTCTGCATGATTATTCTGTCTACCACACCCATCTTCAAACAGAGTCCACCAACATGTTAATCATACTGGGTGAGGTCCTATCTACACAAACGAAACCGTCATTATCAATATTTCTCGTTCATTCTTGCTTTCACAAAATGATCAAGACGAAATAGAAAACTAATAAATCATGTTACTTGAAGATTGAGGGTTATAGGTGTCCTGTAAATGAACACATAATATGATGTTGCGGAAGCCAAGAAGACCTCAGCAAAGAAGAATATCGAGCCTTGACGGCACAAGGAATGAAAACGAAAGTCCTTAAAACCACAAGGATCGAAAAAGGGGAAGGCTATAATCTATAAGGGGTTCCTCGAATCCATAATGAGAGAAAACGATCAAAATAGATGTGAGCTGATAAAAAATAGTACGAAATTGGTTCTAGATCCCTCATAACATAGGACCTAATAACAAACCAATTGATCTCCTAGAAAAGAAGTAAAATTCAACCAAAATAGCCTAATACGGAGAATCTGGTGCAAAGAAGATGCGGCAACATTTAGACTAACTTTTCACTTATTTGGACATTTTGGAGTGCATGTCTTTGGGCATTTATCATTTCCTGAGACTCTTTTCTACGGCATGATGTGATCCAGATGTTTCTGACAATAAGCATACTGTAGGCAAGAGAAAAGATTCAGGCGCTCATCTTAGTCCTATAAAAATGATATCAAAATCATCTGAATACACAAACTTTGCGTTTTGAATCGGCAACATTCAAAATGCAAGTTTTAGGGGAAATCCGTTTAGGTCTCGTCAGCACAATCTCCAACATACATAAAACTACCTTATTGGGATCCTGAGAATTTAATCCTTAAAATGAAACAAGATAACGGACATGCTCTGTTCCCAGCATCATTAGCAGATATGAATACTACCTCTCTGATTTGACTTGAAGAACTAAACATGTCCGTTATCTTGGTTTTACCGAGTCTTTCGGGTGCCCCTGAGTGATGTGGAAAAATAAAAACTGTGTTCACATTAACACATGATAATGATTCGGTAATCATGCACAAGATGGAACCATGGTTGCTAGAGATGTTTCAATTCTGTATTATACTTTTCAAAGGCATGGCTGGAACACCTGACATTATAAATTGAGCACATGAAAAGATAGGAAACTGATACTGACACCAATTCCGGACGACGAACAGGAGAGAAATCTGGTTGAAATAACGAGAAAATAACAGGAAAATAACAAAGAAAGGAAAAATAAGATTGGATTTCTTGACGGAGACCCTAGATGGCTGATAACTGTTCAAGAGGTTTATCTCTCTCCACTCAGGCCCAAATGACTTGTTCCCCCTTTCTCCTTCCATTCCCTCTGTTTTCTCCTCCAGTGTGAATATTGTTGAAAAACCCTTACAATTTGAGCTTTTCCCCTCAACCCCTCCTAACATCTGTAATACATGTTGAGGACCTATCAGAAACATACACTCTCCCTCCATAAATAGTGTGCCTTCGTCTATAAATGAATATTTATAAGAGCTTATGGTATCAGTACTTTCTAATAGAAGTGAAAAAAAAGGTGCATATTTGAGCTGCTCCACAAAATGCAATACGCACAGATACTCTCAGAATCCAAAATTTAGAGTCGATATAGAGGCATAATCCCAATGCAGAAAAATTAAGATCCAACATTTTCATGAAATCTACTTCTAGGGACAGAATCAGGATCGCCCAGTATAATCTGATTTGCAAATAATGTCCATTTAGAGCATACAAACTATTGTTAGCTCCACTGAGAGTGATCTAAATCAGTCAGCCTGGATTTAATTCTGCTTCTTTTCAAGTAATAAAAAAATTGGCTAGGGAGGCAACCTATTTCACTAAAACACCATTTAAGTTACTATCTGGAGCTGATCACTAATTGAAAAATCAATCTACAGAATGGATAACAGGTAAGTTACCGACCTCAGTTTTAAGGCACCCCACCGACAATGAGATAGAGAACCAGATGATCACGGTGTTGAGCAATACCCGTGGAAGATGAAAAAACCAGAAACAGCAAAAAGTGGATTAACGAATTCCAAAAAACAACCTCAAAGATTGAGACAACTATCACAGACTAGGCGTTAACAGGCAATTGAACTGTTGATGCTAGATCGTCAAGTTTGCTCTTAAGTTCCATCATTCCCATAAAAAGGAACAAAAAAAATATATTAGTAAAAACGTTCTCCAGAGATGAGATACCAACAAGAGATAGCTGCGGAGGTGATTCGTATGCTTCATTTACATTTAAGACTGTAAGTTGTTAGCAAACAATGTATAATGAATGTGTACCTGGGATCTTAACTTGAGAACTTCTTGGCTCAAGTTGTCATTTGTCGTTTTGGCATCATCTACCCCAAATCTTGGGGAAGTAAGTCCAGACAGGGTTGGTGTCGGTGTTGTTGAGCGAGGAGGACTGGAACGTCTTGATATGGGGGATGTTGCACGAGATACAATCCTTGATCCAGGAACAGATGCTGAGAAGAACTTTTTTGAAGATCCAAAGACAGGATTGAATGTTTTTGAAACATTGGTCCAATGGTAGCTTCCATTTGCAATATGAGATACACGACTGTTACTGAACTCTAACTTCTTGTTCTTCTTTGAAGATCTGACTTCCATCTGCTTGAAAGAATCCACAGAAGAAAACTTAGATGCTTGGACCTGAAGCTTGGGATCTTTCTCTTCCTTCTCAACAAGTTCTCCTTGATACACATTTGTTTTCCGAATAGCTGCAATTTGAGATGATGGTTCAACTTCCATGGCTTTCCTCAGTTTGTTAAAGCAATTATCACATACACGATGTGGTTTGTTGGGATTTGGTGCCATGGACGCCTTAAGAGACTTCTTACTACTACAGGAATGACAAAATAGAAGGGCACAGTTGTAGCAATTGTGGCGCTTCCTCTTAAAATTAAATGGCAGACGGCAGCCTGAGCAAATTGACTGGTCTACCCCGGATGCCCACTTATGGATACATATGCCTGCAGTAAAATTTGATCCACAAACAATGGTTCGGACTTGTTTGTCTCTCAGGGCTTCAACAAGTGAAGGAGAACTCCTGTCATTTGTATCTCCATGGCCTAATCGACCATTTGCTCCCTTTCCCCACGTGTAAACTTCAGTTCTTGATGTTAGAACTGCAACATGATACGCACCACAAGCAATCTCTTCCACAAAATTATTTGCAAGCTTCCCTTCAACACATGCAGGAAGCTTCCCGTCAGCCATAGGATTTCCAAGCTGACCATAGACAGTACTTCCCATTGTGTACACATGGCCAGATGTAGTAAGAGCAACTGTCATACTATGACCACAGGCAACTTGACAAAAGTTTGCCTCAACCAATGCAGCCACACATGTAGGCACAAGTCTTGGTTCCTTATCCCCATGTCCAAGCCGGCCTTTATCACCATCTCCCCATGTAAATAGTTTACCTGAAGAACTATTGCTCGAACTTGAATTTCCCGCCATAACTTCCACAACTGCAGCAGTGTGCCACACCCCACAAGCTGCTCGCACAGTACGCAAACCCTTTAAAGATTCAACCTCTCTAGGTATTGAGACACTTCTTCTATCTCCATGACCAAGAACACCAAATGTTCCATCACCAAAAGTAAATAATTGTCCCGAGGAGGTTACAACAGCTGTATGCCAAGGTCCACATGATATGGACGAAACATGTATGCCCTCAAGAGGTCCATTAACCCTTTTAGGGATCCAATGACTCACTCCATTTCCATGCCCGAGGAGTCCAAAATTGTAAGTACCATCCCCCCATGTATAAAGATCTCCTGACAATGTCACAGCACATGTATGATGTTCCCCACATGCTACAAATTCAACATTCATGTTACTAAGAGCATCAACGAGCTTCGGTTGTGAGACATCAGAATCCACTCCATGTCCTAGCCTGCCTCCTGACTCCTCCCCCCAAGAGTATATCTCACCTTGCTTAGTTACTAGAGCGGCGTGTCTTCCACCACAAGCAACATTCTGAACATCGAGAATTACAGCAGATTCCAGAGCCTTGGGGACAAGGGAATCCATTTTTATCCCGGAATGACTTCCGATTCTATGAATGCCACCACCAAGAACTCCATCACCAGTGCCTTCTCCCCAAATGAAAACATCACCCAGGGCATCCCCATCATCTTGACCAGAGCCATGACTTGATGAGCTTACAGCACTAGATAAACTCACCCGAAAAGCATCCATAGGAATTCCCCTTACATGCCTATTGATGTTGTCTAAGCCTCCAGATGATAAAGAGTGAACAGAGCTGTCAGCAGACCCCGTTGGAAAGAAGCTCCGATGAGGCACATTATATGATGTCACATCAGAAAATGGTCTATCTAAGCCATTCTTTGTGGGGCTCCCAAACGGACTCCTAAGCCGAAGCAGATCTCCATCCTGGATAAAGGTTATTAACGTTTCAAAAAAGAGTAAATATATAAGCATATAAATATGTCAATGGTCATACAAACCTTCTGCGTATCATCACTACTACCAAATGGAGAGCTTAAAGGGGAACTGCGGGTGTATGTTCTTGGACTGTTAGCACCTGATGAGACACTATCACTCCTTGATTCTATTCTCCATTTCCTTTGATGGCTGCGAGAAATCAATGCTTTCAAACCAGCAAACCAGACTTCAGCTTCATCCTTGTCCTTGCAGATCTGCAAAGACAGATTTTTACCAAGTCAGTGGAAGTATGCAGTTGTCAATAGAAACAAAAAGTGAGCAGCTCTTGCTCAATATAAGGATTGAATTTAGCACTTTAATACGGAGAGAAAAGGCAAACACCATAAAAGTTTATAGTAATGTTAACTGAAGTAATTAAAAAACTGTATTTAAGTTAGAGGAATATTTACCAAATCTAGCGATCTATCATTATACATAAGAGAAAATGACTGACATTCCTTTTCAGGGCGTGGATATCTTTGGAAGATTGCCTGCAGGATGTTAACAAAATGCTCACTTAGTACCTTGCACATATTATTTCCAGAGGGAAAGAGAGATTTAAAGAGATGTAATCTGTGCCAAGCAAGAATAATACAAGAGAAACATTTATGCTCATTCACCACAGAAATTGAAGTTCTACGGTAGTATTCCAACTGACAATACATTTGGTTATGAATATTCGTGATATTCATGGGTTCTTTAGAAAATTCTTCTCTTGATAGAAACCTATGTGATGGTTTAGGCATCGCAGCTGGTGATGCAATCTACCTATTGATGAATGGCATATATCCTCCAACCCTTCTCCTTCAAGAACCTTTCCACGCAAACCCAAAGTTCTCCTCCGAAATAAAAGAAGATAATACTTTCCTGATCTTGCACAAGATAATACTCCAATTATGTCTTGTAAAATCACATAGATATACGCAATTTAATAAAAATATTTATTATCCAAATAACTTAAGTTTTTTTCTTGCAAGCTAGTCGAGTTCAGTTCTCCTTTATGTGCCAAACATTTTTTTCAAAGTCAGTAAAATAGGCTGAAGGAATGGGTGGGAAAAGTGCTATAAAGCGATTTGCCTGCACAAATCGGAACAAAATCCTCTCGCATTGATCATACCAAAAACGTTTAAGTATACGTATGTGTCACGGAAATAAGTACAATGGACTCACAGTGCGTTGACCAGGTATAATTCTTGACACATGGCTTAACTTGAGATGCTTTTCTTCTTTCCCCGAGAACCATATCAGAATGGATTCGTCCTGAAAAGTTGAAATTTGTATCAACTAAAAAAATTCAAACACAAAGCAAAACATTATTCAAAAAAAAGGAATCGACGGTACATGAGCCAAAAACAAAGAAAGTTGATTGGGATCAGAACCGAGGATAGCTTATTCAAAAACCAAAGGGATTGAATGAAGTAAGCTGACTTCAACTGATACAGATTGGAATTAGTCATCATCATCAAGAAACAAGCAGCAAAATTCTTTTTATTCAATTTTCTGCCCTAAATCAACCAACATAAACAGAATTACACAATCTGTTCCACCCACATCAACCAGCCAAACCAGGTTGAATTCCATGAGCAAAACATAGGGAGCTAATGGATGCACATATCAAATGCTGAAAATGGCAGGTGATATTTGAAGAGAATATCATGATTCGCCAAACACAAACTATGAACGTCAGAAGCTGGATTGGCTTTTCAAGTCATTGACTTACACAAAAAAATCTACTCAGCAACAACTTTATATATACAGAAATACACAGTTCAGTCAAATCTCCCAAGAGTGTTGCTTGAGGTAACAATACAGTCTTCACATGTCCTTTGGTCAAAGGTAATAATACAGTTTTGATAAATAGTAAAATCGTTACAAGTTCACCCCGTAAGAAAAGCATACCGAGATCTTCGACAGTAGAGAGGAAAAAAACAATTAAAATCTGAGTAAGGCACCCACCCATATATGTGCCCTTTAATTCATCATTTATAAACGATAGTTCCAGACATGAAACACATGATTAGATCCCAACAATCAACTTTAAAATTCTTAAATAGCAGCTCAAACCACAGTACGTATACAGGAGGAGGATGATGACCTAGTGTGGATTAACTGGAAGTAAGTTGTTGTTGAGAAATTTTCTTGAACACGGTGAGAGATTTGTCTATAAAACGTACATAGCAGTTCAAATATTAAAGCTTAGTCCGTTTAACTTTTCCAATGGGCTTTTCATATATGATGGCTCAAACACAAACGTCTTGAAATTGATCCATCCAAATTTGAAATGTTCACATTAATTCTTCAAAGGAGCTACCCGCAGTGCCTGGTCTAAGGTTTCAGAACCTAGGCGCCTGAATGGAGATAGGTGCTACTGCACATGCACTTGAGCACACGTCACACATTCCAATTGTGAACCAAATTTGCAGCCCAAATCACACATTTCAATTGTGAAAATACAGGAATCTCTCAGGGGTAGAGGATGGGTCCGATGGTAACTTGGGGCCCCTACCTGAGCAGGGCCCTGCCTGGTCCATGCACGTGCAGTTTGATCATGAGGACCCTTCGGTGGGGTGAGTATCACTACGGAAAACAGAAAAAGAACAAGAGGGGGCAAAAAAAAGGGGAGGCGTCCATCAAAGGATTTAAGGTCGACATTTAATGAGTCAACGAATGCATGAGCCTTAGAGCGATGGAGAAGAGGCAATAGGGAAAGAAGTTAGAGCACCAAGTTGATGATGCTTCACCAGTGGAAGACATGCCAGTGGTGGGTGTGGGACTAAAGATCAAGTTCTTGGTTGACTTTCAAGAGGTAGAGAGATCCTCTCTCGCCCCAATCTATAGGAACTGGTACAATTAATTCGCCAGTTATCTCTGGTGTCAATAGCCTTAACCAGAGAAGGAAGAAGAATTCTAGGGAATCCACTGGGGCTTCAAAGTACATCGGATCACCCTTTGTGCAACAGAGGGGGCTTCAACATTGTTGTTCCTGTTGAGACGATGTTCGATGATGATTTGCATGAAGGTGAGAGGATTTTTCCATTTCATTCTTGAGACAGGCCTTATAAGTGTCCACAACTCTGAGATGACTTTCACCGGGTCCAATCTGAAGTTGGTGAATTGTGACAAGAGTAAAAGGTAAACTTACGGTGTTCCTAGCAAATAATTGCAATATTTGATTCCCACCAGTAAACCATCATGGGGTTCCTTCACGTAGTGACAGAACTACAAACTTAGGTTTTCATACATCAATAAAATGTGTTAAATTAGGAAGAAGATTTAAGATGTGCATTATGCACGCATACAAAGCATTGATCACTTACATTTGCCAGTCTAAAAGGACAAAACTTGGGTTTTCCTCTACGCCCATATTTCAGTAAGTATGCTCCTTTCTTCAGTGCAATAATGGCCTACAAGATTCCAAATACAACAAGAGTCATCTTTGGTTCTACACATTCAGTGTGCAAATTGTATGTGACGAAAGTACATTGAGTAGAACAAGCAACTAAACAGTTTATAAATAACATTGAGTAGAACAAGGTTTATAAGTATATAAATGTTTATCAGAAGATAAACGGTTAAACAGAAAATATAGCAAAAGCTGAGGTTCAAATAGAAAACAGAATAGAGAACAAAAGTATCCACAGTAACATTTTACACAATTACGCAGCAAATTATTAGAAGCCAATGAACAAGAGTTCAGAGAAGGTAAAAGCCATTTCAATTATTCATCTAACTTGGTAGCAGAATTGGAATTAAAGCATGATAAGTAAATTGCACTTTTCCAGCTCGTTGAAAACACAAACCGAAATTAAAAGAAGTTCGAATTTTGAGATACCAACGTGCTATTTAAATTCGAAGGATTCGACTTTAGGAAAAGATGAAAAAAAGGAACATTATGAGGGTTGCACTTATACCTACCGAAGGAGACTCAAATGTCTCAATATTTTCTGACTTTTTTTTGCGAAGCAATTATTAAATGAAACGATTACTTAACGTTTCTGTACATGTCAACCAAAAGAGCATGTTGACAAGATTGAAAACTGTAACAAGGGGCTGCAGAGATGAAAAGCACGCCACTTGTTGCATCTATTAACACCTACCTAGTGATTTGCCGGAAATTACTGTGTAATTTATACATAAATCCTAGGCATGGTCTAATTATTATTTTACTGAGATAGCACATATGTCTGCATGCGCACTCTTTTGTAGTTGTAAATAAGTGAAATACCTTTGGATACCTATCATTTGTCAGGTGTATTTATTGACAATTGGTGCATGTATTTGTACCCCAAAAGTTTACAGCTTGTCATCGATTTCCACTATCCAGGAACAAAATGATCACTGTTCCATCTTTCATATTTAAAAAATTTATTATCCTAATTAATCTCGCAAAATCTCCTCTGTCCCCGAACAGACTTCTTTCTGATCAGGTATAGCACAAAAATATCTCAATAAGTGGGGCGGATAAACGATTATTTTCTCTACTTCTTCGTCCTCTTGAACGATCAAATATCACCCCACCAAATTTCCAAGCCTTAATATCTAGCCAACATTGAGTCTTTTTATTTTCTACGGCATTAAGGTGAACTTCTTTTCTTGGCAGAACATCGCATGATAGTTAGAACTTAAAACAGAGAAATAAGCCCTCCTTTGCATTTTCCAATGTCTATTTCTGCTCCACAAGAACATACTCGACGTTGTTTGCTGAGATATCATTTTAAGAGGTTCTATAATTTACACAACATAATTCAAGGATCCAAATAGACCGAGATGCAATGGGGATACAGCCCAGAAATATGTTATGTGGTTATGCAGTAGGCTAGAATCATGCATGCAACGTTGTTAGCCAATTGGAGTAATAGGAGTGCAAGGATGTTTAATAAAAATATTATAGATCCATTTGACAGCAATGATAACGCTTCCTTACCATCTCCTTAACAGTCAATTAGATAAAAATCAGATAGAATTTCCTATTCACAGTCAAACGGGGCACCGGTATGAATAAGTGAGAAAATTTTCCCGTTTGAGGTGAGGTGGGATCAACATAGACCATTATCATCTTGCTTGAGAGCATCGTCTGCATCATGTTTGACTTCGGTGATGAATTCAAACTATACGCTTTCTCTTTGCCAGATGACTCTTAGGATCGTGCGCATCGTGCTTCGTTTTTATAAATGAAATATGGTCCCTAAAGATTGGCATAAGGGTCTAAACTGGTTCTTTCTTATGGCGGGCTACGAGAAAAAATCCGAGGTCTCAACGAGTCTTTGACAACATCCCAGCGTGTTGCCACCAAAATCATGATCTCCTTGAGAAAAAAAGATACGGCAAGTGCGTACACCAAGAAAAAGATGCATAAAGAGCATTTTGCTACCAAACGACAATAAATCATGACCGATTATAAAAACATGAGGATGACATTCATGACGCTGTTACCCGACTCTAGGTTGTTTGAAAAACATGTCCAGAAATAAACACCAATTTTTTCAGCAACCCTTTAACAAGTACCTGCTCTATGTCCCGCTCAACCTGGCAAGACCGCGCGTGATCGACAGACATTTTCTCCCGCTAAAGCATCAGAGCATGACCCCTACGCTGTACGAAAGTCTCAGCGCATCACCCATTCTCGAAGTGAAACCCTTGCATTCAACCGTTCAGCTCCGCTCCATCACCGGGACCACACCACACGAATGCCGCCCCTCCGACGGATGGGTAGTCGTCCTCAGGCACTGCGGCACACACTGCAATCCATCTCACCATCTGTCCGCATCACCCTACCACGAATTCGGGAAGTCGTCAAACAGTACAGCTTTCAGGTCTGCCGCCGCCACCGCCGTCGCTGCCTCAGAGGGAAGCTTCGGTTCAAAAAGCAGGATTCTAACCTCGGGCGCTCACAACCATCAAGCGCGGCACCGGCAGGATCCCCCGGCCTTCCGAAAAGAGACTTGCCTAGAGCTCTCCCACGAATCCCCTCCTCCCCCACCCCCCGGAAGTGACCGATGGGAGGGCAAAAGCTGGGCTGGGTGCAGAGCCGCGAGAAAAGGAGACAGAAGAAGGGGAGGGGGGCTGAGGGCAAAATACCTCAGTGGACTCGGACTCCGCTTCTGGGGCAAAATTGGAAGCCCAAGTACACGCGAGCACAACGTAAGCACGTTGCGCTTTGAACCGCAGTGACCGAGACGAGCACCACCCTACAAAAGACGTCTAATTCCTCTCTCTTCGTTTTATTTACGAAAATACCGCGGCGCCGTCGGACATGTGACGGCACAGCGGAAGCCCATACCACCCCCCAGCTGCCGGCAGTCGATTTATTTCTCCCGCACATTACAAGCAGGTGTATAGACATGGGTGCATGTTTCTCGATGGTGACGTCATCGCCATGATGGTGATCATGGGTTTTGAGTAGAAGATTGCCGCACGCGCGACTTTGGCCACCCACCCAACAAGCCCACCATCCCCATTGACGGCGGGGGGAGGGGGGGGACTGAGCTCCATAATCAGAGGGGCAGGTAACCTGATCCGACCCAGTCTCCGTCCATAACGACTTGAAGCACCTGACTAAGATAAACTTGGAGCAGACCGAGAGCAAATCGAGACCGGAGACCAGCCAGTGTATCCGTCCACCGGCTTCGGAAAAGCTTCCTCTTTTTTATGATGAGTGAGTGGTGAAAAGCGGCGGACCGGCCCACGCCAATCAGTCGGGCTCTCTCTTGTGGCGTCGACACCGCCGACGACGCGGTGGCTTCTCTCCGCCTCTTCTTTTCTCGCCCAAGCCCACATGAGCGGTCTCGCCACCGGCCCCCACGCACGTGGGATGTGGGTTCTCGCCCGGCGGTGGCAGATCCGTGAATAGAAGGGAATCCAGGGGTGACAAGATACGATTAGATGATGCAAAAGTCTGCGCGGAATTAGTTCCTCCAGGGCGGGTGAGGTGGGGCTCGCTCGCCGTTTCCGGCTTCACCAGCCCAGGGAATCCTTCGATTGCCGGAGCTTGGCGCTGTACGTGCCTTCCAGCTCCTCCTGCGGGAGACCGACATCGTTGACTATGATGGTTAGATGGTCTTCCCCTGAATGGTAGCTAATAGGAATTGGCTGACTCTAGGGAGAAAATGAGACCTTGCAGGATTTCAGCAGCGGCTGCAGGAAGGATGACCGGAAGAACCTGATGTACCTGCAAAGGGAGGTCCTTTCCCATTCTGCCAGAAGCCCAGCGATGTGGGAAGGAAAGGATCGATCATCAGAAATATATTGAAGGAAACGAGTGAATCGCAGCCGGGGATGCGTTCGTACCTTCCGCCGGTAAGCCGCTGCTGGAGTCTGCTCTCACTCTGTCCATGTCGTTCAGCTCCCCCAACAGCTGCACATATTCTAAGTGTTGGACATATTATATATATATAAAAAAGGAATATCACCAGTTGGGCAATCCAATCCTGGTGGCCATGGTGAGGATCGATAATCGCCCACAAGTAGTAGACATATGAACGTGGCTTTTAAAGAATAGAATCCGTCATAATGAGGGCTTAAGTTCCAGCAACAAACTACGTTTGCTAAAAATGTGTAATCTCGATCAAACAGAAGCGTCGTCACAGGTGCTACAATGCTGGGCGGCATCACTTGGGTTTCCGAGGTCGGTAATGTTGAGCAATTCAGTTTTAGTAGCAATCACGCAGAGGGTTTCATTACCTCAGAAAGAGTCGGTACCTTCCCAGGGTCAAATTCATCACAGCGTCTGGGATCAATCGGAACACAAACGCGTCCTGAAACAGCACACGAGGCAATTCTGAGATTGAAAGCCCAGTCCAGTCCAGTCCAGTCCAGTCCAGTCCAGTAGGGTTCAGAAATATCATATATAGCAACCTGTCTTGGGGTGTACGCAGAACGGAGCCTTCAACAAATGGTTCATGCGTTTGGAGACCTGCATGACGCACAATAGATGAACAGGGTGCGCCGAGAAAAGTTCCTGTTATGAGCTTGGATGAGTAGCCTCGTACCTCTATGTCCAGCCTTGGGTACGTGTAGGAGAAAACGATCTCTTCGACGCATCGGCGGAGGCCCTTTTGGACAAAGAAAGCCATTAGTCTCCGTTATTTTGTCTCTTTGGAAAATTTGGACCCACCAAGCTATGGCAGATGGATGACTGCCACTCATCACAGTTTGGATCGTACCTTCTGCTTTGAAGATTGCAGTGCATGCTTTAGTTGCTCCCACCGAGCAGTGTTAACATCTTCTTTGGAAATAGACGAGCGGCGATTTGAGTTCCACTTATCCCGTATCTCAGAAGTTGTAGCTGGAAATTTCGATCATTCGCAAGATAATCAGAGAGGACCGGATTACATACAGCTCATAGCGTCCACGGAGTGTTACTCACATTCGTCAGGGATGAGGTCAAGTATCTTCTGATATCTCGCTTCATTGGCTAATAAGCTTTGAGAAGGGAGCATATCTTCCTCAAAAAAGCTCTTGAGAACATCGTTATATGATCTTCTGCAAAACATAGACAACACCACCTGTGGCCAGTCATTGGACGCTGCCTGTGTTATCAGATGCCAGTTGATATGAAGAACAGATGGAGGCTCACACAAGAAAGGGATGCAACGCTGGACCAACGAAAGATACTTTCTTCAGCCCATTTTCGTGGCCCTAGAAGCAGGAGGAATAGATTGTAAGGGTGAAAAAAAGGGTCGATGTGCTCAAACGTCGAATAAGGTATATTACCACCTTGTAAACACGGAAGTAGTCGGCGACTGCTGATCTCTGTTCATCACTAAGCCTGAACAGGCAGGGTAGTAAGGCGAAAGCATGGTCAATGATGGGCTAATTTCGATGGAAGCTAAGGAAAAAAAAACTCGATGATGTGGACGCACCTTCTTGCTCTTCCATCACAAACCCAACAATGGACACCACGTCTACCACTGAAAACCCAGAGGATGTGGCTAAAACCGAAATCGTCTGCAACAAGAATCTCAATAATATCAGCCAAAATGCATAGAGCCACAACAAATTCTAGGCGCAGGCCACATGTTTTTGCCAGTTGTAGTTCTGTCTCCTTGTTCGTAAGGTTATGGAGATCGACATGATGAACCTGAGTGACTATGAAAAAACCAGAGTGAAGGCATAGTTCCAACCCCTAAGAGCAGTGTCCATCACTTTGATAGCAGCTGTCATTAGAGGCCAGCAGTCTGAGCAAACATCAGCCCCAGAACAGCAGTGACGAACGTCATCATAATCTGACATATCCTGCAGAAAGCCCATCACATCATCTGCCAAACCGTACAGTGGTCTTAGCAATGCTTCATAGTGGTCTAACTTGAAAACTTACTATATCAAAAACGAGTTCCCGTTCAACAGGTGTGAAGACATTATTCCCTGCGTAAGCGTGACGTTTTGGAGGCTGTTGTATGTGTGTATCAAGAGACAGACAGAAGCATTCGAAACGGGATTAGAAGAAAAATAAAGTGCGATGTGAAATAGCATACGCTTCAAAAAAGTGTGCATCGTACATCTACACTGTAAACAGCACCAAGGTCAATCTTGAAAGGACATTTCTCTTTAATAGCATTCTCCATCTCTGTTGCATTACTGAAGGACTGAAAACGTATATATATGTCATTATCTAGAGTGAAGGAAAATTCTCTCCGGCCAAAGTAAGATTGATCACACGCTGGATGCTTCCCATCTGAAAATAAATGTCATAAGCATGTTGAAAAAAAAAAAAAGAGTCGAGATGCTAAGGAAACGAGAAATGGAAAACAATGAGTCAAAGCAGAGTACCATTTCCATATGACATCCACTTGAAAATGTCAGCATGTGGAAACAGCTTGCCTGCCAAAAAAGGACTGCTGCTCAGCTCAAATAGAGGTCATACCCAATGGACAAGACATGATAATGCGGGAATCACCAAAATGTAGACAGTGATTATAAGCACCAAACAAAACAACTACGAAAGGCTTCGATTCCGTGTTACCGAATGCCAAGATGCACCAGAGGAAACATTCCACACAAACAAAAGCCAATAAAAAAGATTGTCTACGAGGATCATGAACCCAAACTTGAACTTTTTTCTTAGACTGTGAAGATACCTGATATGTCAACAGAATAAGCAAAGTGGCCTAAGAAAAGCGCACCATTTTAATATATATATATACATATAGGTACAGTACTACATTTCAAGTAATACTGCAGTAATGATTTCCTCGCCAATTTCTAATAATACAGCTTTCAAGGTCATACAAACAAAAGCAAATATACCCACTTGATATCTGACTCTATTTCAACCATGAAAGTTCAAATAAATAATTAAGACGAGTGAAGATTCATCAAGAACAAAACCACAGTGCCCTGATCAAGAGGATCAGACAAACGTTAGCATAAAGAAAAGCTAAAATTCTTTTCCGTACCATGTTCTTTCTCTTGATCCTTGTAGATAGTTGATTTGTCGTCACAGATGGACTGTATCTAAAGTATGTATTCAATTCCAGAGAGGGGGTTCACTAGCTCTCCCGAAAACAGGGATGCAAAAGGATAACTCTTAGTTATCAAGTCATTTTTAAAACGACACTCAAATGCCTAGCCTGACATCTATTTAAATTTATAGATTATCTAATCTCAGTCACTTATTTCTAACCGACATCTGATATAGTGAGCAGCATGATGCATGATCAGCATTCAATATCCCAGACCATGGTAGGCATTAAATATCCAGACCATATCCCTTGATAACCAAGGTTACAAAATCGACAGCATTACAGCTGATCTAAACAGTGAAAAGAGACAAGTTGTCCATTCACAGTAAGAAACAGATTACGTTCCTAATGTTCCACCATGGATTCTGCAACCCCATTTGTTTTCTGAATGTAGATGTACAAAAGCTTTAGGAATTTAATTGAACTTTACAAATCAATGGAGAAAAGATGCTTTCAGCATCAAGTTTTGGAGTGGGCATGCATGTACTGTGCGTTCTCTGAAAAGATTATAAGGATATAAATTTGATTGAGGCGAAAAGTAGAGGACAAAGATCCGAGTTGATTGTAGCTCATCAGATTTCAAAAGTGGAAGATCAACATCACCTAGCATTGAAAAGAGAAAAAATACAACAGAACTTGCCAAGAATCGGCTAATCCTCTTGTATTGAATGACTGCCGGTTTGATCCAGCATTAGGCCCAGAACCGGAGCGAAAAACTGGAAGGCCTGCACTGCACTGAGCTGATGAATGGGAGGCGAACAAGCAGAGCATCCTGGGAAGCAGGAGGTAGCAGTGGGCGAGAGGTGATGCAGTTGGCACCATTCAGTTTGCACCAGAATCTTCCTCAGAACCACTTGGCTACTATACAGCGAATTGAACATCATCTACCTCGGGAAAGCCAAAGGGCGACGCTTTATCTAATATTTTGTAGTGTTCTTAAGGGGGGATATTAATTCCATATTCTTGAATAATCTGGAACAGATTCTTCTTTGAGGGAAGCACAAAATGTTGATCACAAGACATCAACATAAATAATAGCTGCTGTGGATGATCTTCTTTTTAGATTTCAGAGTGTCTAGATCATGAAGAAATGGCCAATTCTCTTATATTCTTTCACTACAGATATGTTTTCATGTCTATATCATAAGCTAAATAAGAAATGAACGCTTGGAAATTTCCGCGACCTATTTATGACCTTTTCTTGTCACTAAAGCTCACTTCTCCCTCCCTCAAATCAGTACAGTTTTGATGCTGGCGTCAAAGGAAACAGAATATGTTAAGACTGAGAAAGCAGTTGATGTCCAAGTACAGCTGATTTAAATGTGTCATTGCCAATGAAGCGAGTGTCATAAGCACAATCCACATCACCAAGTACGTGTATTGCGGATATCTCGGAGGAAGGTAAGACTGTCAACCAGCAATCCGGAAATCACTAATATCATCGGTGATGATTTCTAAATGCTATTCACAACATGAGACACCGGATTTCGGTTGATGAGGTGTGCCGAATCGAAAGAAACGAAGTGTATACTTTGTCGGCGACGCGAATAATACCATAGAAAACCTTGAGATAGTCAGCATGAAACCCTTCAATTGACATGTTGGGCTGCCGCTGCTCCGGTGGGCACACATCTATCTCCATTTCAGCTGTTTCGTTCATGTCATCCTCCCTCGTCATTTTCTACGAACTGAGAAATTCACAGTTCGCAGCAGAATGCACCCTGAAACGAACGTCGAAACCCTGGGTAATGACAACTGAAGCAAACGAGAGAAGAAAAACAGTGAAATCCGGGGATTCCCCCGGCGATGAGGGAAAAGGAATCCTTTTGGCTTGGCACCTTCAACCTATCTCCAGGTAGAGCTACTCCCGCCGCCGTTACCGACCGGACAGTGCCGCGTCCCCCCGCCACCGCTGGCAGGGAGGAAACCGTGGATATCTGAGAAAACCAAATTGAGAAATCTTCAGCGAACACCAAGAGACGGCGATCCTTGGCTCTGCAGATTCACACCGAGGGCTCTGAGAGAGAGAGAGAGACAGAGAGGCGGGAAAATAGGCAGATGTTGGCGCGAAATGGAAGTGCACTCCTTTGACGGTGATCCCATGAAAACCCCGGAAGTTCACCAATCTGACGGACCAGATGCTATGATGACTTTGGGCTAATTGTGGGCCTCCATGGGCCTCAAATCGCAGCAAGAGAGGGAGAGAGAATCCACGAGGAACTTGATCTCTGCGAATCCACCGAGGCTTGTCATTATCTTCCGTTTATCATTTGGTAGGAGTTTATGTGTGAATAAAATAAATAAAAATAATTTATCATCCACTGGGTTAATAATTTTTACGTGAAAATAAACCACGTAGCCATTTTTCTATGGAGCTGCGTCGCGTCTTACCTGCGTGATCGATCCTCTGCGTGGGCTTCTAAGGGGTCTGATCTTCGTCGCAAAACGGGTGCTGGCCAAAGGCTGCCCCCACAGTGAAAGCCCTTCAGTAAAGGTCGATCGACATCCTTATGGATGATAATTTGTGCAGGGAGCTTACAGATATATTTTTCTGCCATTTATTCGAGTGGAGATGACCCATCAACACCCATTAATGTCCTGCCCGTTTCATTCAATCACCAGACTTGACTCGCAGTAATCCTCCCCTAGGATCTCGGGCGGACCCACATCGAAATACACAGAGAGAGAGAGAGAGAGAGAGAGAGAGAGAGAGAGAGAGAGAGAGAGAGAGAGAGAGAGGGGAGGGGAGGGGAGGAGAGATCTAATGTTCATCTTCATCTTCATCTGATCTGAGCGGCCATATCTTGGATACTGTTTAGACCATCATCGGCTGGCCTCGTTGTTACCTTTCTGAACCACCATCGAACTCATCCGGGCTCAGGCGCAGCAGACGGGGAACAGGATCTGGAGGACGACCCCGCGGCCCCCCACCCGCCATGTGCAGTATTCATTCCTCTCTTGGTCTCAGTTCTCGCCCTGCGGCAGTCAAAACCAGGGGCGGCCCAGCAGCCGGCAGTCAGGTTCGATGAAATCCAGACAGAGAGCAGGCCATGTGCTCGCTACTTTCTTCTCGTAAGGGCGGCGCCAGGGGCGGCCCCACCCACTGATGGCGCCGGGTCCGCCCACGGCTTGCTTCACAACCCTCCTTCCCCTGCTCACCCGTGAATGAAGACCTCCTAATCCTTCTAGACAAAGAAGACCGTCTCTTCGCCACGGAGCTTACCTGTTCAACTTATTCATCCCCACATCCTCTCACTGGATGAGAGAGAAAGAGAGAGAGAGATAGCGAGATGTTCAGAGCTGGGGGGCCCTTGTGGATTCTGAGGGAAGACCGAAATCCCGGCGACGGTAACAGGCGATCCCCAGCTGCTAGTATTCGAGGATGTCGGGCGAGTGGGGTCCCCTCCTCTTCCAAACCGGGGGCTACTGGCACGAGCCAGCCGCAGCAGCTCCGCGTCGTCTCTCCTCCGTTTCTTTCTCGCCATCTTCGTTTTTCCTGCTCCCTGCTCCGGGGGGGGGCATTGATTCGCCATTGTTCGTGCCGTGGTGGGGCTCGCTGCCCTCCTCTTGTCCGGTCCTCGGACCTTCGTCGCCGCGCCTGCTTGCCGTCATGAACGGGCAGGCAAGGCAGTAAGTAGATGGATGGGATGATGGGACGGGGACAAAAGGCCTCGGCGGGGCCGGGGAATCCTCCTCCGTCGTCATCGAGAGAAGCCACCACAAAGTTTCGGAAGATCTCCACTCCGCCTCCCCAACCAGACAGCAGCTTCCTCCGTCTTCATCCCGTGGGCCCTGCCGGCAGACCCACGAGGAGGAGCAGCTGCAGCTGCAGCTGATTTCCCGGGTTATTCTCGGATTTTCATGGTTGAAGACTGTCAGTGCACACGCGTGCGCACCCGTGCGCACGTCGAGAATTCGAAATCACACACAGTAACCAACCGCGCCTGCCTGCCTGCGTCTCGAATTCACCTTACATCACGTGTTCTCACGTGGCCTACGGAGCCACCCCATGCAAAGAGAATTGACATCGTCGGAGTTGACCTCGTCGGACGGTGGCGTGATCTCCAACGGTTCGAGGTGGAGATTTCCATCGATCTTACGGTTGTCTTGCCTGATGGTCTTCTCCCATTGGGTAAGGCCCGTTACGTAACTAGTCCTCTTCTTAATCGTTTGCCTGAGAATGCCCGGCCCCTGCTTTTTCGTTGACCCAGAAAAGGCGCGAAGGGTAGAGATTTCCTGCCGGGCCCCACCGAGATACGAGCATATATTGTGGATACTCGGACCGATTCGGCGATTGCGATATTTCTTGAGCGTAGTAAGATGGCGGACTTGGGAAGCGGAGACACCAGTCCAACGGCGGAGATCCGTTGATCGCTGGTGAAGCGGACAACATCTTCTTCTCGGGCAGTTGCGCTGTGCGAGGGGGGGGGCGGCTGCCGTCGATTAAAGGCCACGCGTCTCTTTTCATCGTGCATGCCGGCGTAAAGAGGCCCGATCGGCCGCGACAGGATCCGCTTCCTTAATCCGGAGAGGATCGCCCACGTGAAATGGGTAAGCGCTCCCCCACATCACGTGATCCTTCAAGAGCGGCCTCCGAATCACCGTCGGAAAATCCCCGAGCGCGCCAATGGAGTTGATGGGAGCAGGAGCGGCATGTAAGGACCGATGGATGGGTGGGCCCCGCAAGTGACGTCACTGGATCTTTCCTGGGATCGGGAGGAGCCCACCGTCCGTTGTCGGTCTCCTCTGCTACGTTGGCGTCGTCCCCACGTGGCGACAAACTCCTCCTTGTCCGCGTATGTACACAACAAAATATATTAATTCGGATTTGAATAGGGTACGGAGAGAAATTTATGCAGCCCCCGCAGACTACCAAACCGAGTCCAACCCAGAAAGGGTGACAGTTGGATTGCGAGATAGAGAAAGGTAAGAGAACGAGAGAGAGAGAGAGAGAGGTGTTGCAGGGAAATCATTGGTGCCGGGGTGGGGGGAAGGCGAAGATTTGGGGGAAATCTGGGCGGATCTTGCTTTCCTAGTCGTGGGATTTTATAGTTGGTGGTGGGGTTGTACTTCTTCCCTCCTCTCCACCCGGTTGGCTCCTCGTCTATTCCTGCTCCTCACCCGCCGTCCATTAACAACCCCCACCTCTCCTGAGCTCCAATCCCTCCCCCCCTCCCCCCCTCCCCCCCCGGCATCTTCTTCTCTCGCCTGCTGGTAAGGAAAGAAGAAAGCCAGAGAAGAGAGGACGGAAGCTGCTTGATTCCCCTCCGCCATTCTCAGTCCATCCCATTCGTTCTCGTTCGCCGCTCTTTCTCTCTCTCTCCTGTTACCTAGATTGCTCCGGGAGGGGCCATGGCAATTGCTGCCGAGGCGAAATTCCACGTTCTGGCTGTCGATGACAGCGTCATTGATAGGAAGCTGATCGAGAGACTCCTCAGAAACTCTTCCTACCAAGGTGAGCCTCGGGATTGATGGCGATGAATAGGGTGGAGTGAGAGGAACCAGAGGAGATGCGAGACTTCTCTCTTTTTCCTCCTAATTCCGTTCGATTTCTCCTTTTTAATCTGACTGTGGGTTTCCTGTGTTCCAGTTACCACTGTAGATTCTGGAAGCAAGGCTCTGGAGTTTCTAGGACTACACGACGAGCGCGACGTCTCCCCCACGGGGTCGCTCTACCATCAGGTAATCGATCGATCCATGTTCTCCGATTGGAGCTTGCTTCGTATCATCCCTTGTCCATATCAGAGGTTCAAATCTTTGAAGCCCAATTCTAATCTTGATCCTGTTTCCACCATCTTGTTCTTCGTCACTGCCAGGAAATTGAGGTGAACATGGTGATTACGGATTACTGCATGCCGGGAATGACTGGTTACGATCTGCTTAAGAAAATTAAGGTACTTATTTCTCAGAGCTATGGATTGCTGCGATGATCTCTAATTTCGTATTCCATCTCCGCCATCGTTTTCCTGGAGAATTAAGGAAACCCTTCCGTTGTTGAATCAGGAGACTTCACCCCTGAAGGACATCCCCGTCGTGATCATGTCCTCTGAGAATGTGCCTTCCAGAATCTCAAGGTGAGCGACCAAGAAGCACTTCTTCTTACACACTCTCACCGTTCTTCTTCCCCCGCTGAATTATGATAATGATTATTCATCAATGGAGTAGAGAAAATCTTGAAACCATTTCTGAAACACCCCGAAATCATACTCCCTTTTTAGTTAATGTTTGAGATCTTCTCTGAACTGAGTCGCAAGCAAGATCACTGTCCTGAGATGTGAATGGCTCTGGGCCGCAGGTGTTTGGAAGAGGGCGCCGAGGAGTTCTTCCTGAAGCCGATGCAGCTATCCGACGTAGAGCGACTCGCCCCCCACATGATGAAGGGCAAGCCCACAGAGGAGCCCCCACCGCCAGCACCCGTGGCGGGGGGGGCACAGCATCCACAGAGCAGCTGCAGCGACAGCCCCGCCATCGCCGTCGCCACGGCGCACAGTCACGGCAGCAGCGGTAATAAAAGAAAGGCCGCCAGCGACGGAGTCCCACCGGAGAGCTCGCTCTCACCAGAGCGGACGAGGCCGAGATTCACAGTAACAGCCTGACTCTGATCTGATCTCCTTCTCTTATAGTGAGTAGTATATGATCGTCATTCTTAGATAGGAAGCTCCTTCACACGTCTCCCCCAACCCCCCCCCCTTCCCCTCTCGCAACTCCGAAGCCGCGGGAATCCCGGAGAACAGACCTGTATATACTGGAACGGCCATCTCTGGTCGGTTTGATTTTGATGCGATTACGGATTCACGTCCGGACACGTTGAAGATTTCCACATCTGTCTCCTCTCTGAGTGCGTTCATCTCCTGGCAACAATCGCCTACTTGAGAGTGAGTGCTGGACAAGATGGGGAGGAATCCATCGATATGATGGTCTCCGAATCCAAGATATGGGCTTTCGCGATAGGTTGGACGGAGATTTGAGTGCGCGAACGTCACGGGTGTTTGGGGGGAGGAGAAAAGCAGATGGGGAGGGGCGGGGCACGGCGATGGACCCATGCGGAGGGCGAGGCCCGAGGCGGAAGACGGGTTCGCCGGACAAGGGAACCCTTGAACAGAGATCTTCCTGTGGAGCGTCCGCTGGGGGGTTACCAGCGGCGATTTCTCCTCCCGTCTGGGTCTCCGGCAGGACGGGAAGTGCTTGCCCGTCCCCGGGACTCAGTGCGCACGTAAACGGCGGCGGTGAGGAAGATGCGGGCTCGCGGACTCTCCGGTCTCCAAGTTCTTTCTTCGTTTCTTTTAACTCCCTCTTCTTTCCAGCTCCACATGGCCGGACCAACTCCGGTGGGAAATCCAATGGGGGGAGGGCTGGGCTCAGACGGCGGCTGATCGACAGGGCGGCGGTCGGAATTTGCCGCTGAAGTCGTGTCGGGTACATTGCAGAAACGGATAGTCTGGTTATCCAATGGGGCAGACTGGTGACCCAACCTTACCTTGTTCGGCTAGATGGGTCTTTCTGAAATGGCCCTGTAAAATACTCCAATGGGCCAGATTGACTTCCGTTCCCGGGTTATCTAATATTGTTTGCTGGAGAAGCCCATCCGCATAGCCCACGGGCTGGCCTAAGATGAGAGGGGCAAACGGCTAACGGCTGGAGGCTTCCACCGACACAGACGACGGCCCTCCGCGTCCATCTTCCACCCCGCATCTACTACCAGCAAATGCTTCTCTCCACGCCGACGAATCCGTGATTCGGCCGGCGGACGCATCCTCTCTGTGTACGTCTGTCTTCCTCTCTCTGATGCCTACCCTTCTCCTTCTCTGCGTGGATTGATGTAGTTTGGGGCGTCTAGATGCCTACTTGCCCACGTGAGCTTGTTCGGATCTCTGTGTCTGCATGTGCGAAGTGAACCACATATCTCCCTCTTGTGGACGACATCGCGGCATATCAGCCACGTCGCTCGACTCTTGGCTGGCACCCTTCTGTGAATTTCCTGTGTATCGACTTCATTGTATACATTTTTATCTTCTATTATCAGAAATGTGGAATTAATTTTTTCACTGGTGAAATGTCGTCCTAGCTCGATGGATTTCTGTACTACGATAAACATTCTGCCAATTTTTTAGTTTTGGTCGTGCCATTCATAGGCTAGGTTGGGAATCCATTCGAGTTATTACACTGTTTTCTTTCAGACGCTCTTTTCTTTTGGAACGAAACTTCAAACGTCAAGACAAGAGCTCCTTGCTAATGGCGGTTTTCATTTTCTGATTGGACTGTTATGGTGTTTATGTGGACTATTAGCGGTTCGTATTTATTTCCTATTTTTCGAACCCTTTTTTGTTTTCCAATGCCAAAAAGATCCCTCCGTGCAATATAGTCGCGAAACCCAGTTCAATGAAGTTATAATTAATATGCATATTAATTACTGATTCCATATTAATTAATATGCATAGAGAGCAATGAGAGGTCAGACGGATGTGTCTTCGTCAATATTTTGAATTGTATGACTATGTTTCTTGTAACCTTTTATTCTGCTTCCATGCAGGAGTAGGAATAGTGATAGGATTCTCATCATGGTTTTTGTCCAAGAATTTGTGCCATTTCTTTAATATATGTTCGAATAGGATTAATGGTTTGAATCCAATTAGTTAACGTATGAAAACATTGGTTTCGACACTTTTTGCATTTCCATGAGTGGCTACAATCCGTTTGAAAACTTGCTGTGAAAGGGCCTATCTGGTTAGTGGTTGCAATGCTCACCACCAATGCGCCATGTGAACCGAGATAAATGGCCCTTACATGGTTGTCTGACATGATTTACTTTAGTCACTCGAAGCACATGATTTCAATTTTAAAGTTTTGGGTCTCTGAAATGCGCATGGTAATTGAAAAGTATGAGTTTTCTCATATGCAGGTTTTTCCAATATTCCAAACCTCATAGCAGCTAACCGAGATAAGGAGCATGCTGTGTGGTAAGATGGCTCTGACCTCATTTGTTGGACAACTCGTTTGCCCATTACGTGAAGTTCACAAAGCCTGGGAGGATCCATCTATTATTAAATGGAGAAAGCGTGATGCCCATGTTACACTGCGCTGCCATGATACAGTGGAAGGTGATAATCTTTTTTGTGTATTCTATAAATTTTATTTGTCTTTATTTTACTGCGTCCTGCATCTTGATTTTCCAAGTCTTGAAGGTTTATGTTTGCATCCATCTAGAAAATACGCTATCATATGACCAAAATAAAGAAAAATTCTGTCTAACATTGTTTTTTTACTGTTGTTAGGCTGAAATTTAATTTCAACGAAAGTTCAGGAAATGGGTACTATTTGAATCACAACAGCTCTCATTTATTTGTGGTAGCACATATTAATTTCATGGTCGTAGGATGGAGGATATTCAATCGTCATTCAAGATGACTCCATCTTCTCTGAAAACTAACTCCTGGCTATGAAAAGCTTATGACATTTGGACGAGTCCATGGATTGGTCTTGTGCTGGTCAGCTAAAACTGGTTTTGACTGGGTGATCCAAGTCACAGATGATTGAAAGAATTGGGAGGGTAGAAAAGGATTTGCCTTGATTCCAGTGATGAAGAAAACCAGTCTCAGAATCAGGTTTCCATTTATTCCGGGTGCAGAACCATTTTATAGTAGGATAACAAGGTATTGTTAGCAGCTGGATGCAGTAGCTGTGATGTCACCGGGAGCCATCATTGATCTTCTATTATCCCTTTTTACTCCTCACTGTCTTCTCGTTACCTTAAGTGAGTTGAAATGCCAAGCTTCAAAGAGGTAGCTTATGACGTTGAAAGGTTCATGGTTTTATTATATCCCCCAGATATATTCATGTATGTAAGCTACGGGAAATCTAGGATTCAAATAACTAAGGCTTTTTAGTCATTCTCGGCTCAATGTCCTTCGAGTTTCAAACAGTATTATTAATTTTTTTAATCTTGTTACCATAGAATCATAGGTTGGTTCAATCTTTACAGAATACTTGCAAGCAAGCTATGCAATGTTCCTATCATACGTGGTGTCAAATTTGTTAATTTTCTTTTTTAGGGTATTGGAGATGTAATGATGTTGGTTTTCGAGTGTAGTTTGATACCATGACAGTACACTCAATTACTCTACCGGAAGTTGATAGCCATTTCAAGTTTTCTTGCGCTTAAATATGTATTTCCCTCCCCCAGTATTGTTCTCTCTTGTTTTTAAAAATTGCTCTTGTCTGACATATATGCTTTTGTTTTCCTAGTATTTTGACTACCTTTTCCATATCTCAAGGATAAGTTCTATGGTTTTGAGTCATAGTCATCTCTTATGGGTCAATAATCAATGGGAGATTGTTGGAACTCAAAGTCATTGTTCAGATTGATGCAGTCACTACTGATTGGAGAGTAATGGTACCCTGTTGAATGATGTGCTTCTCTTAAAACTGCATCAGCTTTCTGTTTATCAAGATGGATAAATTGGCTGGAACTACTGAATAGTTCCAGCCAATTTATCCATCTTGATAAACAGAAACATTTATCACTGTAGATTTAGTGTAATCCTTCAACTATCATTGAGGTTTTGAGTTGATTTCTCATCAGATTAAGAAAGAAGGCAAATATTAATCCAAGTGATGCAGTAAAGGTAGGATGTTCATTGTGAACACAGATTACTAACTTTAGTGCATGGGTTACAGTATATGATCTGGTGCAATGATGAGCAGGGGTCAGCCCATTTCTGATCAGCATCAGACTTGAGTACATGTGTTGGTGCATTTCTTCTTTCTAATCAGATTGAGAATAGCTTATCCAATCAAAATAGCCAATTGTATTTATATTCTTCTTAGACCCTGTTTCTTGGGGAATCATCCAGGTTGATGCCTTTAAAGCTAGAGCTCTGTTAAACTTGTTGTGACGGGAAGAGTGTGGACTTTGGCAACTGCCACTAGGGGACTATTCGTATTCTATTCTTCAGTTGGACTAACAGTGTAATCTCGGACTCTATGAAAACCTAGAAATTAATAGTTTACCTTTCAAACATTTATATGGAGCCTATGATGCAAAATTATGCATCGATTGAAAAAAAATGAAGAATTGCATGGATTGTAGAGGATTGGTGGAGCAGTCTTTACTCCCCAGATACCTAGGCAGACCTAAAAATGATACATGCTTAGTGGGCCCAAAGGTGGCCCCAGTCGGTTCAATATCCACTGACCCAAACGCCCTATGACCCTAACTACTTCCCAACAGTTCTCAACAAAATTAAAGTTATGATTGTGAAGTTTATTTTGGATAGTGTATCACCCCCATGCATAATCCCCTGCTAATCAGGTCAGATCCAATGAAGAAGCAAGTGATGGCATTGAATCAGATCATATCATATACATTTTAGAAAAGTTTTGAATTTTTTGCATCAGTCCTTCCTCTTTCTCGTTTCCTCTTCTTCCCCTTCAGTCTTTTCTTTTTTGAACTCCAACAAAGTGGAACCTGACTGATTGATGCTTAAACAGTTCTGAATCGTTTTTATTACTATCATTTGAACCAAAAAGTGCATGATCTGAAGATTTTTTTTTTGATAAATAATATCTGATAATGATTGGTCGATTGATGGATAAGTGTTCCTTTGTTAGGTCAATATTATTTATTCATCATGCGCATATATGCTCATTGATGATTATCATTTTTCATGAACATGCTAAATTACCTTGTTACAAATCTTCAGATTTCGGTATACCGTCGTTGTTCAGGGTTTGTGGAGATTTGACTTTCTCAAGATTGCAATTGGTCACCAACATTTTTGCCTTCTACATTAGTTTCATTCATTTATATCTATCAAATGATTCTTATTGACCGAAACATGCTCATGGATCCATGATGCTGATCATTGCGGTTGTTTCTTCCTAACTCTAGTTGTCACTTTATTGGTGCTCAAGGGTTTGGATTAATTGGCATGGCAGATAGAAATATCCAGACTTGAATACACAAAGCTCAAACTTGGATGAAGAAATCAAGTTTTGAATCCGCAGAACTAGAGTCCTCTACTCTTGAATGCACAAAGGGACGACCTTGAACCTACAAAATCAAAAAGAGACTGTTGAATTCTCAAGAGGGCACTTAAATCCACAAGTAGAGACAGAGGGTAACCTCAATCTCGAGAAAAACTCGAGATACTTCGATTCAATCCATGGGGTTACAATAAGAGATTCTTATATAAGCCTTAAAAGGTGGGACGTCCCAAAAAAAAGGACGAGATGCTCCCAAAAGCATAAGACACTTTGAACAGTGAAACAGACTCTGAACTTAATCACAACAGATTCTGAAACAAAAGAAACATACATTAGAAATTGGAAAAGAAAAAGAACAAAATAGACTCTGAACGACCAACTGAGCTTGGACCAAGCTTCTCGTACTTTATTGAGGCCTGATAGGTTCTGAGTTATCTTTTCACATCTCTTTTTTACGGCCCAAATCCAGACATTCTAGGCTACATCATTAATGGTGAATTGCTCATATAAATTTATCGAGTTATTAGTTTAACTAAGAACTGTTTACGTATTAGCTATTCATTGTAAACATATTCAAATGGATGACATCCATAAGGATTTTAATCGGTGCACCTCAGGTGGAATACCTTAGCATAGCATGTGATTGAATGATTGTTTTTTAGTATGTATATTTTTTAAATGGTCAGATTCATGTAAATCTTGTATCCTTAAACTTCTTATCATGCCACGTGTTTAGTATCACATTTCATGGATTCTTTTATGACTTCATTTCTCATGTTATAATTATTATACTATCTAATTTTCTAAACAGCAATGTGCCATGTCTTTTCTCTTACAGGTTCTTTGAAATATTGGTACAACCGATGCAAAGTTGATTTTACTGTTTCTGATTCAGCCACGTGGAATGATGATGCTATTTCCACTGCGCTAGAATGTGCTGCTTACTGGGTGAAGGACTTGCCTTTTGTAATGTCATTGAGTGGATACTGGAAGTTCTTTTTAGCACCAAATCCTGAAGCTGTTCCTGATAATTTCTTTGATGACTGTTTTGATGATTCTTCTTGGGTGCCATTGCCAGGCAAGCAGATTTTTCAGTGCCTTTCTATGACTGCATATTCCTTTATAATTTCCAACCTTGACAAATTTATCTAATAAAAGGTTATTAATGTAAAAACCAGTGTCTGCCCCATGTTATGATTCAGAAAAATGCCCCTTTTTTTGTTTGAATTGGGTTTGCGTGCTATTCAGATCATTGGCTATTGTGCCTGAAACACATGGTAATGATATGGGAAAACACTGATGTGTCAAAATAGTCAGTAAGTATATGTCAATGGGAAAACACTAGTGTTGAATCAACTTTCCCTTTCCTTGTGTCATGTTGAATCGAATAGGCCTGTTTCATATCTATTGGAGGATACCTGATATCAAAATGAGGAGGTCAGAGGCCCGAATGTAAATGATAATAGAGGCTTTCAACAGCAAAAGATTCTTCATTCAGCACATGACCAGTGCATGTATTGGAGGTATCTGTGGACAACCAATGAGGGACGGTCGTAATAAAGTTTACAAATCACTTTCTGGTATGATTGAAGGCAAAGAGGGAAGATTCTTCAAGACCCTGGCTTGTAGGATTGCCAAACCTGTTGTCCCTGCAGGCATTCATTGGGGACTTTTTGATTCAGAAAGAAGCAGGACAAAATGTCATTTAACTAGGGATCGTGAGGAGGGATCTGATTTTATGCCAGCTCAGTTTGAATTTCTGCTCAAAAGTAAACTTTCAAACAAGTCAAGGTTGGAAAATTTTCTTAATGTTCACATCTAAGAAAGCATATTTCTTGATACTAATCTATGCTAAGCCACCTGATCAAGCAGACAGAATGGGCTTTCTCAATGGTATGTGTTACCGTCAGGATTTTTTAAATAAACCCTGTACTTTCATATTGGCAGATATGCCCTGAATACTTGTAATCGTGTACTCTCAAAGGTCTAGTATAAATACTGGACCCGTCTGTCTTGTAAAACGGATTCTTGTTTTTCATTCAATAAAGTTTTTCCTTCCTTTCCAAAAGTGTTGCGGGATCTCCAGCACACCAGATTGAGGACTGCCATTCTACATGGTATCAGAGCCAAGGTGAGGGTTTCGAATCCCTCTCTCTTGACGATCTGTGGTTAGTTGTGAGGGAGGTACCACTGCTGCTGGTACCACATCTATCTAGCGAGGGACACACCGTTTCTGGTGTCCCTTCATAGAGTGAATATCGGTGCGATCGCTCTAATTCACTTCTGCACTTAGTGATTCTGATATTACAGTCTTTCTACCGTTCTTTGAATATTCTTGTTCAAGATTTGGTCACAAAATCAGTTTTTCGTCGGGTAGACTGCTATTTCTTGAAATGGAAACTACAGGAGATGTTGCTTCATCTTCTGGGGCTGATTCAATCTCCACAAGCGAGGTTAATCTTGTTCCTGTCGACACAAATTATTGATAGAACTCCCTGCAATGCCTCTAGAGTTTAAACTTATGGGATATAATTTGAGACAATGGTCAGGATATATATGCGAAGTATTAATTGGAAGAGGCATGATACACCACTTGAGAGAGGGGAAACCAAACCCAATGTCATGATAACTTGGTAATGGGGAACCATGATTCCCAAATCAGTCGTGATATTTTCTTCTTAGCCACTGTCAAGGACTTGTGGGAGATGGTTCACACCAAATTCTCACAGAAAAATAGTGAAGCTCACATATATGAACTGGAGACAGTCAATGTCAATGATGCAAGAGAGTAACATAGTGATGGAATATGCAGGAGAATTAAAGAATCTATGGGTGGAACTTGACTATTATCCTAGTCTTGACATTGAAAAACCGGTTGAAATTATTGCATTACGAAATTTCATAGATAGAAAGAGAGTGTTCAAATTCTTGGCTGGTCTTAATCCTATGTTTGATCAGGTCAGGTAACAGATATAGAGCTGTGAGAAGAAAGTTGAGTTAGATGAACCTATTTTGATCATCTTAAATGAAAAAAGTCTCAGGAAATTAATGATGTCAGGTCCAGAAATAGATAATTCAACATTTATGATTAAACAAGGCGACAATATGAAAAAGACTGTTGATCCGCCCAAACCATCTCAACAGCGTCAAGGAAGGAATCAGAAAATTGACTCTAGAGACAATTTATGATGTACGTACCTCAGAAAACCACATCACACTTTATCACTGAAAAACATGACAGTCAAGTACATTTTACAGCAAATTTACCTGCAAAACAGTCAACAGATTTCAATCAGAAACAACACTCATCTTCATATCAGATGAATTAAATAGAAAAACTTCAAGCTGAATTGGGAAAATTGAAGTCAACAATGACACAATCATCATCAGTCCAGCAAAGTAAGCTTCATCACTCTCTCAGAGTTAGAGCTTCTTCAAGAGATATTTCTAACTCTTGGTTTGTGAACTTAGGGGCAATGGACCATGTAACCCTCTCACCATTTTACCAACTACAATCCTTGTTCTAGTGACAAAAAAGTTACAACTGCAGACAGATCTTTTCTAATAGTTGCAAGAATAAGAGACATTCAACTTAAACCCTTTGACATTCTTCCTAATATACTTCATGTTCTCAAATTATTTATAAACCTTATTTCTATTAAGAAGCTTATGAGAGCCTCACCTTATTGTGCCCTCTTTAATGAATATGTTTGTATAATATTTGATAAGGTATATTATTAGAAGATTAGGGTTGTTAAAGAACATGATAGATTTCAACTTCTAGAAAGCTTGAGCCAAACATATATAGTGGAAGCAGATCAATGCATACAATCTCTAGAAGCTGTCAATAAGATTCATCTACTTCATCAAAGGATGGGTCATCCTTCCTTTAGTACCTTAAAGAATGTTCTTACTTCTTTGTTTCAAAGAGGCTCCTTAGACACTCTCAAATGTAATGTGTGTGAGCTTTCTAAACACACAAGTTTCATTTCAATTTCAAGGAGAAAGGAGTGATATTCCTTTCTTCTGATTTATTATTTCAGCTTAACCATTTTGATGTGGAGTATATACACAAGAAGATTCGTGTATAATTCCTTCTATTTTAAAGAATAAATTTAAACTTTGACTAAAATATTCTTTAACATTATCTGATCTACTTGTACCAAATTGATTCTTTATCATGGTACAAAAGAATTTAAGAGCATCACATACATCAGATTTTTGTTTAAGAAGAAATACCTACATACATCTTGTGCAATCATCAATGAAGGTAACAAACTATTTATTACCACAAATATTATTGATAGGATATGGACCCCAATTATTACTATGAATTCAAAAGAAAAGAATATCATTCATTTCTTTTTGAAATTGAAGTGAAGCCTGTGTGTGTTTAAAAGGCTCACACGCATTACATTTTAGAGTGTCTAGGGACACTCTTTGAAACAAAGAAGAAAAAATATTCTTTAAAGTATGAAAGGAGGGATGATCCATCCTTTGATGAAGTATATGATTTTTATTGACACTTTCTAAAGGTTTTATACGTTGATTTGCTTCCACTATATATGTTTGGCTCAATATTTTTAGAAGATAAAGTCCATCATATTCTCTAACAACTCTAATTTTCTAATGTACTTTATCAAATATTATACAAATATCTTTGTCAAAGAGGGCCCAATAAGGTGAGGCTGTCATAAGCTTCTTAATAGAAATAAGGTTTGTAAACAATTTGGTAACATGAAGCACTTAGGAAGAATGTAAAGGGGTTTAAGTCGAATATCTCCTATACTTGCAAAGTTTAAATTTATTTTTTAAAACATAAGAAATTATACATGAATCTTCTTGTGTATATACTCCACAATAAAATGACCTGGCCAAAAAGAAAAATCGGCATATTTTAGAGGTAATTATATGTTTTTTCTCACACCCCTCAAGTTGGTGAACAGGCATTCTTCATTCTCAACTTGAAAACAATACTCTGAAATATTGGACTACGTACACCCTTAGTAAATACATTTGCAAGTTGGTTATATGTTGACACATAAATGTACAAATCAATCCACTCTCAAACTTCTCCTTGATGAAGTGTTTGTCAATTTCGATGTGTTTTGTTTGACCTTGTTCTATCGAGTTGTGAGCTATCCTCATGGTAAACCTGCTGTCACAATAATCTTATTGGGTCATCTCACTTAATCCTCATGTCTTCTAGATTGATTTTCAATAAAAATAGTTCACATAGACTTTGAACCATTACTCTTAAGTCCACATTTGTTTCTTACTTCTCCATGTCACAAGATTGCTACTAAGAAAGGGGTAATATTCAGAGGTTGATCTCCTATCTTCCACTGGCCGCACATAATCAACATCTGTGTATGGCTCAAGTATCAATCATTCCATTTCTGCTAAGCAGGGTACCTCTTTATATTGTCCCTTGGAGATTTTGTAACACTTGGTGAGCTGCCTATAGATAGACTGCCTTTATACTATGTATGAACTGACTAATCACATTAACTGCACATGCTGTATTTGGTCGTGTATGAGACAAATAAATAAGTCTTGCTACCAGTCGCTGATACATTTCCCCATCTATCACAACATCATTTGCCTTTTCAAGTTTGAGATTCAGATCTATTGGAGTATTTGTTGGTTTACATGTAGTCTTGTCTGTTTCTCTTGGTAACATATTTCTGTTGGGAGATGAAGATGTCCTACCTTGAGTGAGTGAGTTCAACCCTGAGAAAATATTTCAGCCCCTTCCTTAATGCTTTGATCTCATACTCATTATGTAAACACTCACTCATAAATTCTCTTTATCCTCATTATCAATCACTATTCTGTCATCAACATATAGCACGTGTTGTAACTCTGCTTGAAGATGATTATTCAATAAATGGTGTGTGATCTACTTGCAGTGAAAGGATTGTTGTTGTTGTTTGAAAAACAAACTTGATGTCAGCAATAATGTCTGAAAAGATCGACAATGATGGTCAATGATCAGAAAAGGGGATATTCGAAATCAAAGCTGAATAGATTGACAATAAAGGTCGATGATCAAAAAAGGTTATTGTCAATCATGGCTGAAAGGTACGGCAATGAAGGTCAATGATCAAAATAGGGGTTATGCAAACAAGGGTAGGGAATATTAGCCCACTGTAATTGCTGACAGTGCAATTAATGACAACTCTAGGCTGGTCTTACATCCAATGCAAAAGAGGAGAAAAAAAGGCAAGAATCATTTGTTCATATGTCACTGCCTTCCTTCCAGGTTATTATGAACCAAGCTACCCTCATCTAAACCCTAGGTTATGGTAGAAGAAGTAAACCATAAATTCTCTAGAAAGGTATCACAACTACAACTTGGTTCTGATACCATATCATGAGCAGCGGGGCAAACCCCAGGAGGATATGCAGAGGAAAAAATCAACTTGTCTTCACATCATAGATGATTGCTATATAAAAGTACCAGGGCCACAAAACAAGTACATAAGAACTAGGAAACTGACAAATTAGGAAAATGATCCAACAAGTTGGAAACGGTCCATCTGAGAACTCAACTCCTAATTATACATCCTTTCCCACAGTCATTAATTTGGTGTGCATAATTTTTGCACATCATGAGAAAACTAAATTCTCTACTCATGTTATGATAAATATGCCAGCCTATTGTAATATATTTATCTTTGATGAGTGTTGTGATGTGATTACGTCTTTCTGTCACTGTAATTCATGATTTATTGGCTGATTCGATTAATATCATGCTCCTTTTCCATGGTCATCATTACTTAATTTCTTACTATTATCTCAAAGAGTATTTTTGAGGGTTGACTTTCGATGAAACAGTGCCCTCCAATTGGCAAATGCATGGATTTGACAGACCAATTTATACTAATGTGGTATATCCATTTCCTATAAATCCGCCCTATGTTCCATCTGAAAATCCAACTGGCTGCTACAGACAGTGCTTCCGTATTCCGCAGGAATGGAAAGGTACGCTCTTTCACCATTAGATTTCTGTTTTAGCATGTTTTTTTGATTTCATTGAACCACAGTGATGGTTGTTGTTCCGTTTTTTGATTACACTTATAGTAAATGTCTTCAATTATTTTAAAAAATTAACTAAATATTTATTTTATTATGTACATTGACTATTACTTTCTGAAGTGGAACTTTAACATAGATAATAAAATAGTGTCTGCTGCTACTGACTTCCGAAAGTAATATGCCATGGGTCTCAATAGATAAAATAACTTCGCTATCAGTCATGGAGTTAGAAACAAAAGGAGTCATCAGATGCCGTGTGCCATTATTCAGTAAAAAGAAGTCAATCCTTTCTAATCAGTTCACCAATGGCGGTTTTTCTTCTTCTTCTTGCCTATTCTAGATTTATGGTCTTCCTGGATGTCTTTTCCACATATTTGCTTCCATTAAATATTATTATTTCTCCCTTCTAATCAATTTCATCTAGTTATTCCCTTATCTGTGTCCATCTCCATCAGAAGACTTTTAAATAGCAAAGAAATTCACTGCAATCCTTAACTAGGTAGAGTTGGGAAGTGTATATCTTTAATTACTGAAATGGAACAACTTTGGTCTGAGAAGTATTTGGTTTAATATATTGTAGCCCATATGACATGTCTTGGAATGCGTACATCATATAAATACTACTTTGCATTATGATTCGTCTTTAGCTACTCTAATATATTGTAGCCCTTGGCATTAATGTTGTCCAGACAACTTTCATTTTAACATTGAACATTCATTGCCCTCTGAACAAATAGGCAACCTATGAGATTTTTTTGGAACATAACTGATGATGGACAAAGCAGAAAGCAAGGAACAGTTATGTCTCTAACATATAACAATAATTTCTCGCAGAAAGCAGGTGACAGTTATGGAAAGTATCTTGCATCTTGCCATAGCTGCTGCAAAAAACTATTTCAAGAAAATATTCTTGTTGGTTAGTGCAGGGATTTTTAAACCTTTCTTGATTGATTTAGATCATTTGTGCTCAATTTTTGTTCTATTGGCATGCATATTAGTTTTAGAGTGACTTTAGTGTATAGCAGATTATCTGCTGGAGGACATAGTCATTACATCAAAAGTGCACAACTTTGAGCTGTATCTGTTACGCAGAACAAGCTTTTTGCTATATTAGGCTTTCCTTCTATTTTTCCTTTCTTTCCTATTATTAGATGTATTTCCTTTTTCACGTTTCTGTTATTAGACCTTTCCGTAATACTGGAAAGGTTTATTAGATGCCAATATAAATACTGGCATACTGCCCCGAGAAGGGCTAAGACAGTTTTTCCTTTCCTACTTCCGCTGTATCTCGTAACATGGTATCAGAGCTTTCTCTCTGATCCTGCATGAAGACCGCCAACGGAAGATCAACCAACCTTGGTGGTGATGACAACTTCACACTGTAGGGAGTGTCGCTTGGTGATCTTCTTGCCTGCAGTACCTGAAATCGTGAGGTTTCTTGGTCGTAAGCAGATCGGTGGATTCCTTGGAGAGTCACTACACCATCATCGTTTCTTGGCGGTGGGAGACATCTATAAAAACACTATCGTCGATTTTTGACGGTCGCAGGACGTCTACGAATACATCGTTGTCATTTCTTGATGGTGGCAGATGTCTGCAAATACGCCATTGTCGTTTCTTGACAGTGGCAGTCATCCTCAGTTTCTTGAACAGAAACTTTTATTCGGACCACATTAGGGAATCTCTGTTTGAGATTTTTTGGCTATCTGGTCACGGCTGAAGAACATGGAGACAAAGGTCAGTGAATCTTCCTCCTCTAGCCCAGGCATTCATTTGAAGTAATTAAGGTATATTCAGATCTACCTAAAATTGCTGAGAGATTCCAATTTGACGGAATCAATTTGTTCCAATGGACATCAAATGTGGAACTTATTCTACGTGGGAGAAATCTGGATCGTCACCTAATGTAATCCTTGCCAAGTATTGACAACCCAGTGTTGCGCCCATGATTCAAGGAGGAGCTAGTCAAGACAGATCTACTTCCTCTCAACCTTCAGAGATTGGAAAACTCAGAAGAAATTGAACAGGTAAGGAGCATGATCAGCTCCACCTTCCTCGCATGTTAGAGCACGGGATAAACTCTACTGCACAGGGCGTCTGGACAAGACGTTGTTCATGAATTCCAGTCCAAACATCTCCCATGAACAAATTATTGTTGTTGCATTGTCGCTTAGGACATCCGTCCATAAATGTACTTAGATATTTGTTTCCAAAACTATGTCACGCAATTGGTGAATCTACTTTCATATGTGAACCCTGTCAAATGGCTAAGTAGTGACGAATTTTATTTCCCTCTGCTAGAAATAAAAGTGAATCCCTTTTTTACAGAATACATTTTGATATATGGGGTCCTTCTTCATCCAGTGGTGTTACAGACTTTAGATGGTTTATCATCTTTGTAGATGACTGTACTAGGTTCACATGGATTTACCTAATGAAAACAAAATCAGAAGCTAGTAGCGTCATTCAGAGGTTTATCAAGCTAATTCAAAATCAGTTCAGTATAACTCCTAAGAAATTTCGATCAGACAATGCTAATAATTTTTTCAATTCTATTGTCTCCAATTTCTTTGCTGAGGAGGGCATTTTTCATGCATCTTCTTGCCCCTATACACCTCAGTAAAAAGGGGTATCTGAAAGAAAGATTGGGAAACTGCTGGAAATAACAAGGGTTATTATGTTTAAAGTTCAAGTGCCGAAATATTTATGGAGTGAGGCAATACTAACGGCCACTCATCTTGTTAATCATCTCTCATCTCAAGCATTATTATTTAAGACTCCTAAAGCCTTATTGCAGGGTTATTATCCGACTGTGTAATATGGACCAGATTTACCTCTTCGAGTATTTGGGAGTGTTACATACATCCATAAATCTCAAAATGGACTATCTAAATTTGCCCCTAGAGTCATAAAGACAGTCTTTGTGGGCTATTCCAATACACAAAAAGGGTATAAATTTTATGACCCAAGACATTAAAAATTTATTGTGACAATTAATGTCACATTTGATGAAAGTAGCATGTATTTCCAGCAGACAACAACTCAAGTATCTAGCTGTGATATTCCTGTGCTAGACAAACACGATTTACACATTAAGATTCTCAAGGAGAATGAAGCTCTTGAAGTTATTAGTAAATTTTCGAACACCTCCACCTCGACCAAATCGATTTGGTCGAGGTTATTAGCAAAGAAAGCCAAGGATAATCAAAGATACCCATGAACAGGATCTGCCTGATGTAGCAGATGCCCATGAACAACCTGACTCAGCAGATGCTCATGAACAACTTGACACAGCAAATACCCATGAACAGGATCTGCCTGATGTAGCAGATGCCCATGAACAACCTGACTCAGCAGATGCTCATGAACAACTTGACACAGCAAATACCCATGAACAGGATCTGCCTGATGTAGCAGATGCCCATGAACAACCTGACTCAGCAGATGCTCATGAACAACTTGACACAGCAAATACCCATGAACAGGATCTGCCTGATGTAGCAGATGCCCATGAACAACCTGACTCAGCAGATGCTCATGAACAACTTGACACAACAAATACCCATGAACAAGATATGCAGTAGATGCACATGATTCTATTACTCAAGGAAATGAAAGAAATGAAATCTACCTTATTGCTCTCTACAAAGGAATTAGAGAATGTACAAAGAAAAAGTTTTATCCATCTTGCAATTATATATCTTATCATTGCCTATCTTCATAGTATGGGTCATTTCTGTCAGCTATTGATAAACACGATACTCCTCAAAACACTAATGAAGCTTTCAAAACCCCTCTATGGAAAAAAGCAATGGATGAGGAGATTCTAGCTCTATAGAAGAATTAAACTTGGGAACTCGTGCTACTTCCTAAAGGGAAGAAAATCGTTGGTTGCAGATGGGTATACACTATTAAATATAAATCTGATGGGACTGTTGACCATTTTAAAGCTTGGTTGGTGGCAAAAGGCTTCACCCAATGTTATGGTATTGATTACATGGAAACCTTTGCTCCAGTTGCAAAGATGGGAACAATTCAGATATTAATATCTTTGGCTGTGCATTATGGATGGTCCTTATTACGATTTGATGTGAAAAATGCATTCTTACATAGAGAAATCTCAGAAGAAATATATATGGAGCTTCCACTAAGATACAAAGACCCAAATGATACTCTAAAGGTATGTAAACTTAAAAAGGCATTATATGGCTTAAAAAGTCACCAAGAGCCTGGTTTGGTCGCTTAACTAAAACAATGAGAGCTTTCGGGTTCAAGCAAACCAATGGAGATCATACTTTATTTTATAAACGATCGAGTTCAGAAAAAATGACGATCTTACTAGTATATGTCGATGACATGATTGTCACAGGAGATGATATGTAAGAAATTACTTCTCTTCATAAACAACTAATAGTTTTTTTTGATATCAAAGTGTTGGGACAACTAAAATACTTCTTGAGAATTGAGGTAGCCTACTCTCGTGGAAATTTACTCCTATCTCAAAGAAAGCATATTACAGATTTACTCAAATATACAGGCATGAGTAACTATAAACTAGCGTGTACACCAATTGAAGCAAAGCATTATATTAGGGCTTCAAAGGAAAATGATCAAGTAGATAGCGGGTCTTATCAATGGCTAGTGAGAAAATTAATTTATCTATCCCATAATAGACTGGATATTGGTTACTCAGTTGGAGTGCTAAGTCAATATATGCATGACCCTAGGGAGGTACATCATCAAGCTGTTCAACGAGTCCTAGCTTATCTTAAAGGAACAATTGGCATGGGAATCCTGTTTAAAAGGGGAGATTCTCTTAAAGTAGGCATCTATACTGATGCTGACTATGCTGGTTCAGTTGATGATAGGTGCTCTAGTATTGGCTCTTGTTGTCTCATTGGAGGAAATTTGGTCACTTGGTGAAGCCAAAAATATAGAGTTGTGGCTCCATTAAGTGCTAAAGCAGAAGTTTGGGTTATGGCCCTTGGGATTTGTTAAGGCATTTGGATAAAGAATATACTAAATGATTTACAAATACCCATGGAAGGTTCGATTACCTTGTTCTGTGACAATCAGTCCGCAATAAGTATTGCACATAATCCTGTTCAGCCTAACAAGACCAAACACATTGAAGTAGACAAACATTTTATTAAAAAGAAACTCGAATCAGGAATGTTTTGCACAGAATATGTCTCATCTACAAATCAGTTGGCTGATATATTAATGAAAGGCATTTCGGCAACAGATTTCTGCAAACAAAGGAGCAAGCTGGGCATGAATGATATCTATGCACCAGCTTGAGGTGGAGTGTTATGCAAAACAAGCTTTTTGCTATATTAGGCTTTCCTTCTATTTTTCCTTTCTTTCCTATTATTAGATGTATTTCCTTTTTAGTGTTTCTGTTATTAGACCTTTCCGTGATACTGGAAAGGTTTATTAGACGCCAATATAAATACTGGCGTACTGCCCTGAGAAGGGCTAAGACAGTTTTTCCTTTCCTGCTTCCGCTGTATCTATTTTGTTGGCAGAGAAATTTCCGTCTTTAACTTCATTGGGAAAAGTTTGTGACATAAGATTTCTTAAAACCGGAGCCTGTAATTCACAATAATAAATAATTTTTTGTTCGCTGCTTTAGGAGCATAGGCAGTTTAGTTGACGCTTCTTCTTTCATGACTGATGTCCACATAGTTTGACTTCAGATCTAACTCATCCTCTCATGCATGGACAATGTAGGCCGTCGCATCTTATTGCACTTTGAGGCTGTTGATTCAGCATTCATTGTGTGGGTAAATGGGATTCAAATTGGTTATAGGTATGTATCAAGCATTCTTTATTATTAGTCCTTATTCTACTATTCCAAATACATATATTATTGTTTGCTGTTTGCATTTTGGAAAATGTTCTATTTTTTTTTCTTTGTGAAGATGCCACTAATATTTTGTTTGTATTGCTTGCATTTTTATGGTACTCGTCCTCCTTTTATTTTCTACGCCAAAGGTCAACAACTTTGTAGATATTCAACATATATTAACATAACTGAATGATTTCGCAAGCGTTTGTATATTAATTGTTCTATATTTCATACTCAAAGTTTTCATTGTCTACTAGCCAACGTGGATGGTTAAGCATTTTATTTTTTACTGGTAAGCTGGCATTTGTCTTCGATTACTTGAAGGTATCTGTGGTGTACATATATATATATAGATTTCTTAATGAGTCATGCAATCCTATCCTCTTCTGTACTTCTGATTCGGATCTGGTCTTCAGGGTTTCACAAGTCTATCTGATGCAAATGTCCCATCTACTTCAACTCCAAGGACCTTTTAATCAGTTACCCACCCACCTATGAAGTCTCAGTCAGGTTTAGGTTTAGTAGTGCCATTCAGTATGTTCGACATTCTTTCCCTGATCAGACAACCATGAGCTCTAAACCCCTAATTCGGATTAGGTTAAAAAGTAGATGCCTGGAAACATCTCGTTGGAGGATGACTTAGTTACATTTTACACCTACATCAACGCATTGTTGTCTCTCTATTAAGAGTAAAGGCTCACATGGTGCCCAAATGAAGCTGGGCTGTGTTAACACGTCCCTTATTTTAAAAATACATCCAAAATTTTGTATAATATTGAGAACTAATTTTTTCGTGCAAGTAGACATTTTTAACTAACATTACAATATCCAGACTTTCCATAATTGTTTTATAATGGAGTTAAAATGACTCTCCTTTCAAAAGTCATACTAGATTTGCAAAGTAATGTCGCTCCTTTTTTTGGTTAATGCAATAGCCTGGTTGTAATGAGCACACAATTTAACATCTTGTAGACGTTTAATTATAAATATGGATATTTTTATTTACTTTACAGTCTGAACTTATAAAAGAAGCCAGTGACTGAGCTTGTCATTTTTTCTTGTTTTCCTTTTTCATCCTATAAGTTGAATATTTCATACCTTCAAGGACTACATATAGAAGAATTTCATATGAAACTTTCTAACATTTAGACTTTGTGATATAAACAAAAAAGTCTCAGGAAATCATTGCGATTTTATTTTTCACAATTCATGCTGTCTCCTTGTAGTCCGGTTTTGGCTTTCCTTTTCAACTTGGATTACCTCAGCCTTGCCCATTCATCTGAATAGGAGGTCCGATATAATTAAACTGCACGTCTCTTCTCCACCCGAGGTCTTAGAGTAAGCTTTGAACTTAGGATACATGTCCTTTGACGAAAGGTGTTTCAGGACGTGGCCATAACTTCTATATAATATTGAAGTAACTGTGTTCTTATTGGAAATTCGTGAAACTGGGCTTTCGTTGACGTGAAGCTAAGATTCTATCATAAAATATGGATGGCTCAGATAGATTAAATTGTCATAATTGGACAACAGTCTTTGATGTTACACTAGTATAGAGGATGGAATTTCCTTTTATGAGCATTGTAGTTCATCATTGATATCCGGATGAGATCCCATCATTGTTAACAACTGACATTGAAACATTTCTTTTACCCTGTTTTTCAGTTGCCGTCACTTAATTTGTTGACGCCATGTAAATCAGTGTAGCACAGAAACTAATTTTTTGGCATTCTTCTTGTGAAAGGGGAACACTTGGTTCATGAAGAATTTCATAGATTGTAGAGGGGGATGGAGCAACACCTGATTAAGCTAGAGGTTGAGATAGAGAGAGAATTGGAGTTGAAAAGACACTCAGAAACCCTAGGCGGTTGCAGTGGAGAAGTATTTCTTTTCTTATCATTAGCTGTCCCGTAAGGTATCGCTACAACTGATGCATACATAGTGGGCCCAAAGTGGGTCCAATATCTAACGGGCCCAAGCAACACGAACTCCTTCCTAACATTGCTCAACGTTTCCAAGTAGCAAATACCTCATTTCTTTTTTATTTGATTGTTTGGGAATTTTTATTTGAGAAGTTCACACTGTAAGGACTTAACCATCATCAGATTTTGAAATGTGACAAAGAGGCCAAAAAGTGTCAATATGAATACCATCTTTATTAGGGCTTTCTATTTTATCCGCACTTGGGTATCACTTCTATAATGAATTATGGGCAATCGTTGTAGTGTGGAAAGTATTTAGAGGACATTAGCTCATTTGACTCTGTTTGGAGTGTGCAGTTGATTGTACAGCGAAAGACATTTTTTATGCTTTCGCCATGCATCAGTAGTTCTTATATTATCCTTGTGTCATGGACACATTTGGTCAGTTTGTATTGAACTTTAAGCTTAATATGCGTTCATGAAGCAAATGTGTACCAGTTTCTTGCGTTTCTAAGTGATGTGCTAAAAAACCTTCCCACTTTTAGAACTAATGACAAACTATCCTGATTTTCTGTATCAGTCAGGACAGCCGGCTTCCTGCAGAGTTTGAGATCACAAATTGGTGTCATCCTTTTGATTCAGACAAAGACAATATTATCGCTGTCCAAGTAATGAGATTTAGTGATGGTTCATACTTGGAAGATCAAGACCATTGGTGGTTGTCGGGTATTCATCGAGATGTACTTCTGTTGTCAAAGCCCCATGTAATATCCTCTCTGATGTCCATATATTTATATAAATTTCTTCTTAGCTGATGTTGATCCTTTTGATGATAAGTTGTTCTAGATCAGCATGAACTTTGACTTCCCTATTACATGACCTTTTTCATGTAGTTAATTTCTATCATTTTTAGCTTTTTTCCCCCTATTAAGCAAACCCTATATGATATAAGATGCAATATCTTTCAAATCAGACCATGTACTCAGAATCAGCCGACTCAGATTGTAATCTGCCATACGGTTGGCCAGTCATGGGAGCTTTAAGAAATTTATTTAAGTGTAGAAAGAAGCTGTTAACTGCACTAATGGATTCTTTGTAAAATTGTTTACTGTATCAATGTTTTCCTTTGTGTTCCAAAATTGATCTCTTTCCTCAAAATTTGCTGATTATGCTGATCGGACCATTACCTAGATCAGATCAGAGCAGGACAACCTGGCCTTCTGACCCCATTTCAGTTACAATATTGAACCAGGCACAGGGTTTCATTTGGCAAATTTGTGCATGTTGCATTAAGCATCTTGATACTGCTCAAATACATATTCATAGTGATATGTGATGTTTCAATCTATTCAGATGTTTTATTTTCTTGTTTTATAGCCCGATATGCATAATGCTGAATGTTTAAAAGTGTTTTTCTGATTTTGCGGTTCAATCTACTTGAAAAGTGGACTACCTTATTTTGAAGTCCTGACATTGATAACTTGTATATCATGGCACAATTCTCTAAGGACACGGGCTAGTACCTAATATGTATTTTCTGGATCAGCCACCTTGCACATCTAATCTATATGATCGGACCAACTCAGGTAACTGTGTTGCATATCACAACGGGAATGTTGAAAATTTTGAGTTGAATGACATGTGTCAGTCCAAGATGGTCCATGTCTTTCTTTTCTTGAACTCAAACCATAGAGAGGAGCTTGGGAAGGCCCTCTTTTTGTACTGGTATCAATAGAAAAGCAATACAAATGAGATACTTCTCTCCTACCACTGCATCCCTTAATCTTCATGTTATGTGCGAAATAAATCTTCATGATATCATCTGTTGTAGAGCTTCTCCTAGCTTTGCCTGATCATCAGGCCGACCCATAAATTATCATCATGTTATGGTTGCTCATGCAGATGTTTATTGCTGATTATTTCTTCACATCAAGCCTAGGTGAAAATTTTCTCTATGCTGATGTTCAGGTATGTGGTCTTCCCTCGCTTATTCACCTGCTGATTCTATCACATTATTCCCTGTCTGCTTTTCGCAAAATTAGCAAAAAGTCAACGTTATGGTTTTATTCTAGAAGGGTTACAAGAAATTCTCTCTTGTTTATCTGTTGGTTTGTTTATTTCTAATGGATAATTTAGCTTCGGACCTGCATTACCGGTGGACAATGCAGAATCATATCCAGTGTGGGAGCTAACACGGTGAACAACTTTATTTTTAGGAAATTTAGTCGAAAATTCAGGCTAAATAGAAATGTCTTACTTGTTGGGGATCTAGTGCTCCTAGATTAGAAATGAGGAATCTAGATTATGTAGCTTCTTATTGCACACAGTTAGTTCTTATTGCCATAACTGCTCTTGCCATAACCGCTCTTGCCATAACCGCTCTTTGTTATAACTGTTCCTTGTCATATTGTTCCTTGCCATAACTGTGCCTCCCCTCAATCATGCTTAACCGTTATTAACTTATTGGGCTTTGGGCCTTCTTCCTTCTAGCATATGTGCGTGGAGCCTTATCACTATCTTACAAAGTTGTGGTAGAGTATCTCCTCAGTGAAATGATGGTAATAAGAGTCAGCAAAATATACTAGTCATCAATTCCTCTGTTAGAAATATCTTACTTGCTACTGTTCATCCATTTTTTTCTTTAATATATGCTTGTGAATCAACTACCCAAAAAAAAAGTTTCTGATCTTCATCTAATTCTCTAAGCAAAATTCATAATATTTCATGGGAACGAGTATGGTATTTTGAAGTTAATGACAAGGCGTATGAGGAATTACTTTTCAAACTACGGGTTTACCTACGAAGTACTAATTTTAATGCTGCTCCAATATGAGGTCTTAAAATTATGTTATTCTCTGAGACCAAATTGTAAAAGTCTGGAACTATTGACTAGTTTATTTGTAAAGACAGATATAGGGATAAGAAACTAGATCAAAGAAATACAAATAATTCGTATTAGATGAAAGAAACAATCTCTAGATCAGAAATACCAAAGATAAAACACAGTTAAAGAACCCAGAACAGATGGAGGGTTGCATATAACCCTAGAACCCAGAATAGATGGAGGGTCGCATACAACCCTCCAACCCTTTCTCGTAGAAGCACAAGATACTATCTCCGATTTTTCCTTCCCCTTTTCTTCATGATCCGTCCCTCTTTATATTCTCTCCTTTCTCTCTCTTATTTAGGCAGTTAGTCTCCTGCCATAACTACTCTTGCCATAACCGCTCTTTGCCATAACTGCTCTTTGTCATTTTTTTCCTTGCCGTAACTATGCCTTCCTTCAATCCTGCTAACTGTTATTGACTTATTGGGCTTAGGGCCTTCTTCCTTCTAGCATCTTTGCGTGGAGACTTATCAATACTCCCCCCCATGAGCTTCACATTGTCCTCAAGGTGGAAGTTCAGAAATTGTTGGTTGAGGGATGAAGCTAATTCCCATGTAGCTTCAAAATCAAGGAGATCAGCTCATTTGACTAAGACTTCTGTGTCAAAAGAGGAATTCCGAATGGCGAGGATATCTTGGGGGGTCACATTCCATTCCAAAGCATCAGTCAGTATGCTTGGAATGGGTTGATAGTAAGCAGAATTCCCTAGTGCTTTGCAAAGTTGAGAAATATGAAAAATTGGGTAAATAGTTATGGAGCTGGGAAGTTCCAATTTGTATGCCACCTGGCCAATGCGCTCCTGGATAGGGTAAGGGCCAAAAATTCTCGGACTTAGTTTTTTCTTAGCTTTCTTGGCTAATGATTTCATATGATAAGGTCGGAGCCTGATATAAATCAAATCACCCACTTAACTCTGTCTCGTTGATGTTTGTCAACTTGTGCTTTCATCTTGGACTGTGCGGCCAAGAGATGTTCCTTGAGAAGTTGAAGTGTATCATTCCTTTCTTTTAGATAAGTGTTGACTGCAATAATTGGTGACATAGGAGATCCATAACATGTAAGTGTGGGAGGGTCCCATCCATGAACTACTTTAAAAGGAGTCATCTTGATGGCAGAATGATGAGAAGTGTTGCAATTAAGTTCATCCCAATGTAACCAGTCACTCCTTAACTTAGGTTTATCATAAGTAAAGCATCAAAGATAATTCTCTAAGCTTCGGTTCACCACCTCCGTTTGCTCATCTGTTTGTGGGTGATAGAAAGAACTCATTTTCAATTCTATGCCTTGAAGTTTGTTGAGTGCTTTCCAAAAAGTGCTGGTAAATACAGTCCCTCTATCAGTCACAATAGATCTTGGAATGCCATGCAGCTTGATGCTTTCCTTTGCAAAGATTTGGGCAATGTCTTTAGCTGTGAATAGATGTCTGAGGGGTATAAAGTGACCAAATTTGTTGATTCTGTCTACTATGACTAGAATGGAGTCACAACATTTAGATTTAGGGAGACCTATAAAATCCATGGAGAGGTCTTCCCACGTCATATTCAGAATAGGCAGGGGCTGCAAAAGTCCTATTGGTGACAAGGTCAAAACCTTATTCAATTGACAGAGAGTGCATTCATTAATATGCTGTTTTATTCTTTTCTTCATGGCAGGCCAATAAATGTGTTGAGCAATTTGTTGGTAGGTTTTTAAAAATCCAGCATGAGCCCCCAATGGGATGTCATGAAATTCACGTAGTAACGTGGAGAGAAGAATAGATGTAAGGGGTAACACGAGCTTGGTTTTGTAGAGAAGTGATCCTTGTTGAATTGAGTAATGTGGAAAAGAAGTTGAGCCTTCTATGAGTGCAATTTTGATTTTGGATAGTCGCTCGTCATCTTCCACTTCTTTGTTGATTTTGGTTACATCTATTCCTTGTGCAATGCACATGATTGCCACCACTGCCTCACGCAATTGTGCTGCTCTAGATAGTGCATCCACAGTTGTATTCTTCTTGCCTTCCTTATATTGTATCTGAAAATTAAATCCCATTAGTTTAATGACCCATTTGTGATATTCTGAGTGAATCTCCTTTTGATCGAGCAGAAATTTTAAACTATATTGATCTGTCTGAATGATGAAAGGGTGGAGCATGAGATAATGCTTCCATTTCCTGACTGCCATCACAATGGCAATGAGTTCTCTCTCATAGATTGACTTTAGACGAGAGTATTCCTTGAAAACATGATTGAAATAAGCTACTAGTCGTCCTTCCTGCATCAATATTACACATATCCCATGTCCTGAAGCATCAGTTTCAACTACGAATTTCTGAGAGAAAATAAGTAAGGCCAAACTAGTGTGGAAGTCATCGTCACCTTCAGTTTATGCAAAGCGTCTTGAGCATTAGAGTCTCAATGAAAATAATTTTTCTTGAGCAATCTAGTCAGGGGCCATGATAAGGTGGCATAACATTTGACAAACTGGTGATAATAGCTAGTTAGTCCTAAGAATCCTCGTAATGCTTTCAAATCCTTAGGAGTAGGCCAGTCCCATATTGCTGAAATTTTTCCTTGATCTGTAGATACTCCTTTTGTAGGAACCCAAAGGCCCAGATATTCCAATTGAGATTGCCTGAATTGACATTTTTTTTCATTGACATAAAGGCTATTAGCTAAAAAAATAAACAAGACATTATCCAAATGTTCATCATGTTCTTTATGAATCTTGCTATAAACCAGGATATCATCAAAAAATATCAATACAAATTTCTGTAGATAAGGTTGGAATATATCATCCATTAAATATTGAAATGTGGTTGGGGCATTAGAGAGCCCAAATGGTATAACCTTGAATTCGTAGTGACACTCATGGGTCTTGAAAGCGGTTTTCTGAATGTCTTCTTGTTTCATATGGATTTGATAGTAATCAGACTTCAAATCTAGTTTAGAAAAAATCGACATTCCATGCAGCTCTTCTAGAAACTCATCGACAATAAGAATAGGGAACCTATTTGGAACTGTGGATTTATTTAAAGCCTTGTAATCAATACAAAATTGCCAGCTGCCATCCTTTTTTTTAACTAGTAGTACAGGGCTAGCAAATGGACTTTTAGAGGGTTGAATGATGCCTGCAGTACATAGCTCATGGACCAGCCATTCAATTTCATCCTTCTGAAATTGTGTTTACCTGTACGGTCGTAGATAATAGGCTGAGTACCTGGTAATAAATTGATGGCATGATCAACTGTTCTTTCTAGAAGAAGCCCTGACAAGGTTTCAAAGACTTGTGGGAACCATTTCTGCAATCTGACCGCTATCACTGACTATTCTAGTGGGGAGCTAAAATCCAATGCGGTGCCAAACAATTGGTGTAACTCTACTGCATATATGTGGCTTCTGTTTAATTCACGTTCTGCTGCTTTGAAAGATATTTATGTTACGTTGTATCCCCACGAATGGTGTAGATCGTATTGTTGAGTATAAATTTCATGATTAATTGCCCATAGTATGAATGTATTCACCTCAATGTTTTAAGCCACTCCATTCTTAGTATGACATCTGTGCTACTAAGATCCAAGGGAAGGAAATCTTGAATAATGAGGAGATCTTGGAGTTTGAGTGGAATGTTATGACATATCCCATGACCTTGCATAGTATGCTCATTCTCCATCACAATACCATAGCTGTGGAATTCGCTGACAGGTAAGGATCGCTCTTCCCTCAACTTATTGCAGGCGAAATTGTGGGTAGCACCAGTGTCTATAAGAATGGTTACCTGTTTATCTTGCATGATGCCTTTTACCTTCATTGTCCCATGCTGAGTCAATCCCATGACGGAATTTAATGAATCACGGGCTGTGAATAGAGTACCTTCCTCATGTGAGCAAAGCTCTAGTGGAGCCCAATCTTCGTCTTGGAAGTCTTCTTGAGACTTCTCCTCCTCCTGGACAATGAGTATATTAAGGTCCCACCTACATCTGTGGCCTAGTACAAACCTGTCATTACAATAGAAACACAATCCTTTGTTTCTTCTTTCTTGTAGTTCAGCTTCTGTTAGTTGTAACTATCTTCTATTCCCTTGTTATTGCTCATTTCTGAAATTAGATATCAAAGGAGGCCTTTGTTGGTGCAAAGTATAAGCAGCTCTGACATGTTTGGGTGGTGGTTGTTCTTGCTTCCATGCTTGCCATAGAGTACGGATATGAGCTTCAGCCTGTACTGATGTATCCACAATTTCACATAACCTAATAGACTTGGACATAGATAATTCTGATTGAATCTCAGGCTTGAGTCTTTTCAGATATGTATGCTCCAGTATTTTTGTTGGTATGTTCAGAAGATAGGCTGAGAGTCGTTCAAACTCTGCCCTATATTTCAAGATGGAACTCTCTTGTTTTAGGTTCAAAAGTTTCTGATACATGTTGTTTGTTACTGATGAACCAAATTGACCACTAAGTTGGATTTTAAAATCATACCAGTCACGGAATAGAAAATGATCTTCCATCCACAGATACCAATCCAGGGCATCACCTCCAACCCTTTCTCGTAGATGCACGAGATACTAACTCCGATCTTTCCTTCCTCTTTTCTCCCTGATCCACCCCTCTTTATATCCTCTCCTTTCCCTCTCTTATTTAGGCAGTTAGTCTCCTGCCATAACTCCTCTTGCCATAACCGCTCTTTGCCATAACTGCCCCTTGTCATATTGTTCATTGCCATAATTGTGCCTTCCCTCAATCATGCTAACCTTATTGACTTATTGGGTTTTGGGCCTTCTTCTTTCTAGCATATGTGCATGGAGCCTTATCATATACTCAACCATTTAACAATTTGTGCTATTTACTTTGTTAATTCTGACTTCTTTTCCTCTGAATGGATTAAACATTTGTTTTATCTTCTTGAATGTCTGATGTAAGCAGAGTATTTTTGCTTGTCTTTTGCCTTTTATCCAAAAGCTGCTTGATAATAGTTTTTACATATTCAGGTTGAAGTTAAAATTGATATTTTGAGCAGCCCTCAAGGTGGAAGTTCGGCAAACTTCACCATCGAAGCAATGCTATATGACACTACGACCTGGTCTGATCATCAAGACTATATGGATCTGAAATCTTATGGTATATTGCATATGGAGCCTAACGTACTTCCCAGCGGATATCCCGGTTTTCATGGTTATCAACTTGTGGGGAGGTTGGAAAGACCAAAACTTTGGTCCGCTGAGCATGTGAGTAGTCTCAACAGAGAATTATTGATTTTAATTTCGTAGCAATGTCCCTTCATTTTACTGACAATCAGAAATATTAAGAACTTGAATGCCATTTTCTCAATTGCCTCTCGGCAGCAGGGCTATATATATGATACCATGTTCTCCAGAATGTTTTGCCGCTCTTTTAAGATGTTTCCAATGGGTATCCAATTCATGGTTATGCGTTTGTCTGGTACAGTGTCATTTTCTTTTTTAAAAACATTCCGTTCTAAATTTACTTGGTTCTCTTGTGAGGGAGTTGATTTAACTTTTCTTGCCAAAGACCTGATTTTATACTCAATGATAACTTCTTGGGCCATCATGTTTACCCCGATACAGTAAATCCCCTTTCTCATCTCATGGTTCATCATATGGGTTTTTCATCCTATCGACTAATTTTCAAATTAGCCTTTGTAAGCACAAAATAATGACCAAGAGATCAGCAGTCCTCAGTTCACAAGCATTGACATGTGTCCACGAGCCAGTTGTGTTCTGCTCGTACTAGTTTAGTCACCATAATGACCAAGAGATCAGTAGTTTATGTCGTTTTTACATTCTGTTAAAGCATCTCTTGATTGAAGATTTCCATTGGTTACAACATATCCACCTGTTACGTTCATAATGTGCAGTGGGCTCCACGTACGTGATTTGTCTGAGTTCCATGCCCCAAAAGGAAAGGTCCCAGATGTTTCCTTTGATGCGCCTAGAGTCATACCTACTTGAAGTCTACTTTCATTGTGATTCCCGGTGTTCACTTGTCTTTACTTGAAAGAAAAATTGTAGAAAATTTCTTGATTCTGATATTTCTTCTTCATTTCGTCAATAGCCTAAGTTATACACCCTTGTCATCTCACTCAAAGATGAATCTGGGAACCTAGTTGACTGTGAATCATGCTTAATTGGCATACGGAAAGTATCACAAGCCCCAAAGCAGTTGCTGGTAAATGGCCAACCTGTTATAATCCGAGGTGTCAACAGACATGAACATCATCCACGGCTAGGAAAGACAAATTTGGAAGCGTGTATGGTTCAGGTAAATAGTTTTCTTCTTTAGTTTCTTCATTAATTGTCGATATATTTTCCTCCTTTCTTTTTATTCTTTATTTATATTTCTTTGTCTTTGGCCTTTCTACAAGGGATGAGGAATTAAGGATCAATGAAAGGGAGTGGCAAACATGGAAAACTTCTGTTGTTATTTGGGATTTGAAACGGAGATAATGAAGACTACAACAACCTTGTCATTTGTCTATTCAAAAACTTTCTTCATTACAGCATAGTTTCCATTTTGGTACTCACTATGTTTCAGTTCTATTGTTCTTAACAAAAATTTTACTGGGTTGACCCCCATTTTTTTGACACATGGCTGATCATGATTGTAGGTTCAACACTGCTGGTCAGGATAGATGGCATAACATTTTTACAGCACTTCTCAGGGATATAAGTTTTGGATTATGAGTCCTAATGGTGAATGTATAGTATATATGACCAACACGACAACTACTTGGCACTCACCTTATCAAGAGGTTCTCCACTACAAATTGGCCTACAAGTAGATATCATCGTTACGTTTTCAATTAGAATGATGCTGGGACAATGTGTCATCCTTGGCTAGTTAGTTTAGGTCTCCTCTTATGATCTCAGAAACTCATTAGTGTGATTCCCTAATCCCCGAGAAAAATTTATCTCCATAAGATGGTTCTGCTGCCCATTCAATTTAATTGTTGTTCGAGCTGGACATTAGGATAGATATCACATCAGCAGAAATAGATACTACCACTCACACCAGTACACCAATGAGTGTTTGGCAATAACAGTAGTTGCAGAATTCTTAGATAAGCCAGAAAAAAGAAACAGTGGCAGCTGCAGCCAATGTGTTTGCAGCACGTGTCATGCTTGTGCACTCAGATTCTGGCTCACTGCTGCATCGGCAGGTCTGGGAAGAAAGTTCTTTGGTGGTAGCATTATATGGCTGACAGTAGTCATTTCGTCCAGCAACAGCTATACAACTATAGCCGTGCATCAGTATGAGCTTGGAGGGCAACATTAAGTTGGCTAACTCATATTGTGACTGAATCTGATGAAACAAACCCTAAACTGGTCTGACACCATGTTGAGAGGGAGGTTGGTGAAGGCCTAATCCTTTGACAGAAAGAGGGAATGGAGATCTGATACAGTCGGGCCCAACAACCCCAAACCCTGCTAGGCAAGTTAATATTTCAGTATATTTAAATCACTTGGTAGCAACCATTATGTTGCCTTGCTGAACAACTAGTGAATTTCTTTGCTAAGAATATTTTCTTGTTCACTAGTAGCGAATTTTTTTGCTCATTTCAAAGTGTTGACATATGCCTTAATATTTTCTTTTAGGATTTAATATTAATGAAGCAGAATAATATCAATGCTGTCAGAAACAGCCATTACCCACAGCACACAAGATGGTATGAGCTGTGTGACATATTTGGTCTGTACATGATTGATGAAGCCAACATCGAGACCCATGGTTTTGATCATTCAAGTCATTTAAGGCATCCTTCTGAGGAACCAATTTGGGCTTTCTCCATGCTGGATCGTGTCATAGGGATGGTGGAGAGGGACAAAAATCATGCCTGCATAATTGCATGGTCTCTGGGAAATGAAGCTGGTTATGGACCCAACCATGCTGCATCTGCAGGTAAAAAAATTGTGGTACTCACCAGTACTTGAGCCATCAGATTTCTATAATTTATGTTATCATTCTAGGTTGGATTCGAGGAAGGGATCCATCAAGAGTGGTGCATTACGAAGGAGGAGGATCAAGAACTCCATCAACGGATATTGTATGTCCCATGTATATGCGTGTATGGGACATAGTGAAGATCGCAAATGATCCAAGGGAATCAAGACCTTTAATTTTGTGCGAGTATGCACTCTTCCCCATATTAATGGCCTTAAATCATATATGCACATTTTTTTTATCGTATACTTCATTATATCTACCATCCGGTGTTATGCAACTGATGTTCTTTTCAACAATCTCTTAATAGGTATTCTCATGCAATGGGCAACAGTAACGGAAACCTTCATGCTTATTGGGATGCAATTGATGCCAATCATGGACTGCAAGGTGGATTTATTTGGGACTGGGCTGATCAGGTGGGCAAAACTTTAATAATAAATGCTCTGGATTTCATATAACTATAAATATATGAAGTTTTTGATTTTTAATGTACTTGATATTTGTCGAACTAGAGAAAAATTAATAGATTGATGATGGCATGATAATTCATTTAGTGAATGCATGGTAACTCTCTTTTATAATTGTCTTTAATATTATACACTGTGACGTGCACACCTAGTGTAAACATTGATGTTTATATGCAGGCTCTGATTTCAGCTATTTTCTGCAAGACTTACATGTTGATGAATTTGCCATTTTTAATTCCAATCGGTAATCTGTTTATTTTTACTCCTGGATGAAAGTAGTTGATGATGGACATGATAATCCTTCTGCTTTCTTTGATGAAGCCCAAGCTTATTCAGATGTGATAATAACTGCACCATAACATGTGAATACTCTACATCGTTAGTAGAATTGGCGAAAATCACTCATCACAGGATAGGACAGAATTTGACGCCTAGACAGAGGGTCGAGAATTAATTAATTAACTTAAACGCAAAGAAAAAAATGCACTAGAAATAGTCTTAAATGTATTTGATCATTCGTCTTGAAAATATCCAATGAAATTAGAGATTATTCTAACATGTTCCATCACACACAATGTTATTCTTTTTAAGTGCTGTCATGTGGATAATAGAAGGGCGTTGACTAGCACTGTGGCCCAGTCCTTTTAAATTCAATGGAAAAAAGTGGTGTAATTCTGTCTATTTGATGACAATATTTTATTTTTTCAATGAATGTTATTCAATCCTAAAAGAAGTCTATAAAGGTGTTATTAACCAAATGAAATTTGAATGAGATTGTTTTGGTTAAGAACACTTGTCATTGTGTCCGGAGACATTCTCAGTTGGACATCTTGTAAAGAGACATTTTAAAGAGGAGATTAGTTTGATTAAATCATAAGTCTCTAGATATCTTTAAATTTCCTGTATCATTGGATTGGAGAATACCAGCCTCTTTGAAACACTTGCGAGTGATTTCAGCCATTGCGAATCATGTACATAGTCTATGAGCATGCACTTGTTTGCCCATGTTGAGAATCAGAAAACGTCAAACAAAAACACATATTTCATTCCAGAATTTTCCTAATAATTTGATTTTAAAGAATAGCAACTCCCTCGTCATGTTTGGATAAAATTTCCTTTGAACTCGAATGAGGCTTTGGTCCATTTTCTGTCCTTACAGAAAGTTAGCCTAGGCTTTTCAAGAATATCCAGCACCCTTTTAAATTGAAGCAAATGAACACCTTTGACTCTTTAGAGTTATAGAAAACTATTCGGCATCAGAAATTTTGTAAGGCAAAATGGATAAGATGGCTTGAGATTTGCCAGCCTTAATAAGTTGAATAGAAAATGAAAATGGAATGCAGACCAGTGATGAAAAGAAAAGCACATTCTATAAACCAGAGCCAAGTCAAAGTTGTCAAGTTTTAGAAAGCTTTACATATTGCACAAGATACATAACATAACATGAGTATTTGTGCCGGACTGTCCTACAATTATATCACCTATGATAAAATTGTTGTTTTTAATGAATTTCTTTGTTTGAAAATATTTTGCCTGTGTTAGTCTACTGAAAGACAAAGCGCTCACATTCTCATGAGCTGTAGCATGAACAACGAGATTCTCCTGCTTTTTTTTAAAGAGTTTGCATTTCCTAGTACTCATTTTACAGTGATTGCACCGATCTTTTGTATTTGCTTCAGGGCCTGCTTAAGGAAGGCAAAGATGGCTACAAGCATTGGGCTTATGGAGGTGACTTTGGGGATAGCCCTAATGACCTGAATTTCTGTTTGAATGGTATTACATGGCCAGACAGAACTCCTCATCCTGCCATGCATGGTAAAAGTATTTGTGCTGCAAGCACTTTTTCCTAGTAAATTTCAACTGTGAATGCCCAATGACCTGAAGTTGTTCATCCTTGGATCATTTTTTCTACTTTTTTTTTCAGAAGTTAAATATGTGTATCAACCAATCAAAGTTTCTTTCAAGGAAAACAAGATCATGGTACTATTTTCTTAACTTAATTCCTTTGCTTGGTTTTGACATCGTCTGATTAGCACTATGTAAATCTTTGCAGATAGCAAATAAGCAATTCTTCGAGCCAACAGAAGCACTAGAGTTTAGTTGGCAACTTGATGGAGATGGTCGCAGTCTGGGCTTTGGGATACTCGATCTCCCTCCAATAGAACCGCAGAGCGCATATGCAATAGAGTGGGAGGCATATCCATGGTTTTCTCTTTGGGAATCATCCTCCGCTACTGAAATCTTCTTAACAATTACTGTAAAACTGATGCACAACACACGGTGGGCCAGAGAGGGTCACATAGTTTCTTCAACACAACTTTGCTTGCCAAAGAAAAGGAAATGGGCTCCGCATGTAAATTTCACACGGCAACTTATTGGGTTTTAGCTTTATTTTTAATTTCAATATAGCATTGATACGGTTTATTGTGTTACAGGAAATCAGAATAACAGAAAATGTCAATTTGGTCGCTGAATCCATTGGTGATGCTATCGCAATTCGCAAGCATAACGTTTGGGAAGTTATATTCAATGTGAAAACTGGAACCATTGAGAGTTGGAAGGTAAAAGTAAAGGATACTGGTGCACTACAAAATTACATTTGCTCGAGTAGGGAGGAGTTATCTGAATTAATTCATCAACTACATCACATGCCTGATTGCGATTATAAAAGTACCGTTCTGCTTTAGCAGTTTGTGTTTCTCTGCTATATGATAAAGCATTTGGCTATTATGAAAGAAAAAGAACTGAAGGCATTCGTCCCCTGGCAAAAGATTTACTTTTATATCGGAACACTCAGATGTACTAATGGATCCTCTTCAACGACGGAAGATAAATATTCGTGTCTTATTTTGCATCAGTGACTTTGACGTGAAGAAAAGAAAAGAAAAAATCTTAAACGTATGGAGACGTACATGTTCTTCTTCAAGAGTGCCAGCTTTTCATACCAAATCCCTGTTTATGAGGACCGATTCTCACTAACTTATTCTTTTAATGTAGGTCAATCTGAATGTATGTTCATATGGTTTCAGTCAATAGAAGGTTACATTTGATAAACAAAGGTTGAAGCATTCTAAAATGATAACTGGTTTGTCCATCATGAAAAATATGCCAATGCTGACTATGATACTAGTTAACAGATGATATTTACTCTGCGTTGATGCAGGACTGCAATTGCGATGCAGGACTACTAAGTGAGTTTACTAGTGTAGTTCTAGTTGTGCCCAATCCAGCACTATCCCCCTTTGTTGAGCTCTGCTGTGTTTAATTCATATAACTTGGTTTTACTCTTGAAATACCCAAATAATGCATCTGCAGTAGTTTTCTGTCTTTTGTGATGCTGCTTTGTCGTCAGTTCACAAGAGTAGATGGCCTCTTTTTCTTAAGTTGGAGAGGTGAACGAAACTATGGTTCTCAATGAAAAAGCTTAGGACAAGAAACAGAATAGGAGGAAAAGTTCGACTCCGGCTGTAGCAGCTGTACACTGATTGGGCAACAGGTCTCAATCTGTCGGTTGTTGAGCAGAAAAACTGGCATCCCCGTGCAGATTTTAACGCACTAGATTTTTCAAGGGGAGCACGGAGTATACAAAAATTCTTGTTTCTGGACCAAATGATATTTTAAAAAAATTCCTTCAATTTTTGTACCTTCTCATTTCAGTCTCTGCCTCTTTCTATATATTTATTCTGATATTCGTTTCTGTATATTTTCAGGATAAATTTTATTTCATTTAAATTTTCTTTATATCTGACATTACATTCAGATGGTTAGACTATGGTTATTAATTTAGATTAGGGACATGCCATGAGTGTAATAACTGGATCGTAAGAACTGTGAAAAAATTCAGAGCAGCCAGCCTAAAAAACAATGTCGCGATGGTCAACCTTCTTGGGTGATCAAAGCAGTACACTTCCTGTTGGGGTTCAGCCTTTAGAGGACTTGCTATGAGGGAGCTAAAGTGTCAAACTAGGCGAAACATATGTACCTCTGATCATGAAACTCAAAGTGTACAATCACGTCGTTGTCGCAAATTAACTGGCAGAAAACATCTAGGCTTGCAATAGCGTACACAACTCTGAATTTTATGATTCTATAACTATGAAAGGAAAGAAAACTTAATCAAAAGGTTGGCTTTCTACGTTTCTTGATCTTCAGGTCGAAGGATATCGTCTGGTGCAGAAGGGTATGCTTCCCTGCTTTTGGAGAGCCCCTACTGATAATGATAACGGTGGTGATCAGAACAGCTATGCCTCTAAATGGAAGTCGGCATGCCTCGACAGAATGGTGTTCTACACAGAAAGTTGCTCAATTCAGAACCTGACAGAGCAGAGCGTGCAAATCAAAACTGTCTACTATGCATTCAAAACTGATGAAACGGAGAAATTGGATTCGGTTTCCACATCTGGTGATAAATCACCGATTGGCAATGCTCTTTTTAAGATTGACGTCACATATCACGTCCATGGTTCTGGGGACGTGATTATTGAGTACTTAGTTAAACCCAGATCAGATCTGCCCCCGCTTCCACGCATTGGGTTGGATTTCCAGATAGACAAATCTCTGGATCAGATCAAATGGTTCGGTAAAGGGCCATTTGAATGCTACCCTGACCGCAAGGAGGCTGCCCATGTGGGTATTTATGAGAAAAATGTTGAAGACCTGCATGTGCCCTATGTAGTTCCTGGTGAAAGTTCAGGTAGAGCCGACGTTAGATGGGTTGCTTTCCTGAATAGCAGGGGGATTGGTCTCTTTGCTGCTGCTTATGGAGACAGTCCACCTATGCAAATGAGTGCGAGTTACTACAGCACACAGGAACTCCACAGGGCCACACACAATGAAGACCTCATCAAGGGAGAACACATCGAGGTACTTCCTATCTATGAGAACTTAGTATCCGTGAGCTACCCACTTGCCATTATTGTATGATATATCATATAAGTTCATAATCTGTAAAACGAAAACTTTGGTTTGGTTTAGAAAATTATATCCTTTTGTTCACATGATGTTTTAGCATTCCATGACTATTAATAGAATCAACAGAACTTTATAAATCCTTCCTTGTATGGAGAGATTGCTCACTCCCCATTGTTGCAGGTACATCTTGATCACAAGCACATGGGTCTGGGTGGAGATGACAGTTGGTCCCCATGCGTTCATGAGCAATATCTCATTCCTCCAGTTCCCTATTCGTTCTCACTAAGGCTCTGTCCTGTCAGGGCCTCCAAATCCTGCCAGGACATCTACGGTTCACAGCTCCCGAAATAAAAAGTCTTTCAATGCGTGCTCTCCGGATGGTGTTTTAGTATGGTTTTTTCAAGCTACGCACTGATTACAGAGACATTTTCGCCATCACCAATAAAATATGAGATGCTAAGCGTACCTTGCTCACTCCACTTGTGGTCGGCCTTGGTGACAGTATTGCATCTTTTTCTTATGAAAGTAATTTTCTTACTCAAATGGTCATGTATTCCTCTAGTATAAGATTATACTCATGGAGCTGACCAACCTGTCCTAGTAAGGCTGCAATCTCCTATTTCTTATATTTGTACCCATTTGACTATTTACCTTTTATAAGATATTTCATGCCAACTCTTTCAGAGTGAAATGGTAGTATGGTATGTCTTAAATAGAAAGGAAGAAAGTCAATGGTTTTACTTTGTAACCAACAGCGAGTTCATCAAAGGTCATAGACAAATGCTGATGTTTAAAATGATTATTGGGTGTCCGCGTATGTAATACATCCTTAATGTGACTATGGTAATATGGAGTTTTAGTGGCAGATCAAGATAGTTAAATCTACGCATTTTTTGACAGGTATACATATTTATTTTGTATGCCATTCCCTTAAGAAAAAGTTATAAGAATGAGAACATAGTACCAACACGTGTAGTTATTTGAAAGGAATAACTCTCTCAATATGTGACATCGTGTGAAACATTTTAAGCCATCTTGCTTTATAAAAAGCACCGACATTACTCTTTAAAGTAACTTTCAAACATGCTACTTAAACACATTGAGCCAAATGACAACTACCCAGATGCTTGCATTCTTGTCAACCTTGTTGCCTAAGCAAGATTGTGTCTGTCAATCATGCCACAATGCTCAACTAAGTTGTGGGTGGGCCGTTTGATCTTATTCCTTCTCATGTTAAGGGGTGCATCAATGCAACAGAAATCAACATGTATGTTATCATAAGCCTGATAATCATATGAGACCTTTGCATATGGCCTAAATGACTTCCATGATACAAGATAATATGGAATTTGAAAGACTTGAATCACCCAATTCATGATGCCATTTTACTCATCTGGGCAATGAGAGCCAGTGCTCTGGCCCTCCCAGACCTGGCTTTGCTTCAATGGCAACCCCTTGTGAACTACAAACGCAATCAGTTTCAGAAAATGGACTGAATTATCCCAAATATACGCCCCATATCTCGTCGCCTACCCTAATATGAAGAAAAGGAAGATAATGTATAAAAGATGCAAACCCTAGATTAACATGTGATTCATGAAAGATGGAGCAGTTTGTTAACTTATAATCAATGGAAGGTGAGATCAATGTTCACATACAATCAATGAAAAATGGGCCCTACGTTAACATTTAATCATGAAAAATTAAGCCCTATGTTAGCATTTGATCAACGAAAGATAGAACCCTATGTTGGCAAATGATCCTATGAAATAAGAAACCCTATATCAACATATAATTTCTGAAAGGTGAAGCCCTATCTTCACATATAATCTATGAAACAGAAAACTCTAGGTTAACAGCAACTGATACAGGTCACCCTTTCTTTCTGAGTAATGACATCCGGCGGCCAACCTCCCTCTCTGCAGTCTGGACATGGAATTCAGCCCCCAGCATGTCTTTTGTGTTGATTCCCAAAGAGATGCTTGCCTTAGCCGCCTCCAAAATCCCTTCAGTGGTCAGACTGAAACCCAAGGTGGACAACACGCGCACGGCATTTGCTATCTGGCATATGTGCTGCCTCGTCTCCAGAGACATGAGCCGCTGCCCCTTCTCTCCAAGGGGCACCGAGTGGCTGCTAGACTCGTTGCTCTCCTCCACTTTGTTCCCTCCATCTCCTTCCATGACACCGTTGCTGGTCTCCACATGTTCGCCAATCCAGATGAATCCATTGCAGCCCAGAATCAAGTCAACCCCATAGTTCTCAAGGTGGTGGAAGTGCTGCTTCCGCCGCTTTATTAGGTACGGGGGCACAGTAAGCAACTGGCCACTCTTGAGCTGCATCGTTGGTGACAACAAAGTTACTAGATATGACTTTAGCATAATCTAGCCAAATTTCCATATACATGATAATGAATCATGCCATTCCTCCTTTGTGCACAATGACTTCACAGATGTTTCTTGAAGATTAATATTCTTGATTTGGTCAACTCAAAGCATAAACCGTTTACCAATGGAAGAAAAAATGGCATCGGCCAAAATAAACATGGGCAGTTTAATGAATCATGATGTTCACAGACTAATGGAAGTCTCTTCCCAATTTTAAACAGATTGACTTTTTTCTTTTGACCTTGTAAGCAATCGACCATTGGGGAAATACGTTTCAAAAGGTTCCCATTATCATCCCAGTGGGGGCAGGCTCGGATCATCTTCCACGTAATGGGAGCCTTGATGTTTTTAGAGGAGTACATAAGAACCTGACCCTTAAAGGAAAGAAGCAAAATGAGCCAAAAACATGCAAATGTTTAGAAGACATTGGGACATATCGTTGACTTTACTGATATTCACACTAGATCAAAGATGTGCTAAGCTAGATCCAACAAAAGATGCAAAGATTTAGGGTTTTTTCCTAAGCAGCTACATTAATTCAAATCGAACCCAGAGAAATTGTCGGAGGTGGATAGACATGAGAATTATCAAGGGAAGAGGTCTGCCAAAGAGTCTGTTCGACTCTCGATTGCAAAAAATATTAAATAAAAAAAAACATAAGAAAAAGGTATAACAATTATGAGACTAGATACACCAAGTACATTATGATAAGATTTTAAAGTGGATAATGGAATAAATATGACGAACCTTTCCATACTTAAGGCTTCTTGCCTGCAGATGCAAACTTCCATCATGCTGGAAGCCACGAACCTCGGCCTGAAAATGGACCAAATCAAGAATATTAATCTTCAAGAAACAAATTGACATTATATGTTTCACTAAAGAATGATTTACTACTAAACTCTTAAGAGTTGCATCGCCAAATTAATTTCTTCACATCCTCTGCTATAGTAGAACCCAAAATCACAGCCTAGGATAGTAAAACTAGCACAGGAGAAATCAAGAATGTTCTCCTCATAGAACAATCTCGATACAGATTAGCATCAAGGAATTTCCAAGCTACTTTCTCAATAGCAACATTATCATTTTGTAGAATTATAGTATATAGAATTAGTTGCGGCCATTTGTGTGGCTCAGATTCTGAGATTTTGATAACAGTAGATTCCTCCAATGCATGATTAGAAACATCATCCATTGGTGATGCTGAAATGAATTTTGCAAGCCAAATCTAATATGCTGTCTAGCACATACAGCCTATGAAGGAGGATATGCTAAAAAAATTGTCAATATTTCTGCTCCAGATTTGACCTCAACTCTCTGCACCTGTTTAGTCTTGAATCTTCACGTCTACACTTGCAGAAATATCGTGCCCACCCAAATTATTCCTGCATTTTCCCTGGGGTCAAAATTTTCTGAAGGGCAAAGACCCGCTTTATAAAAAAGCTCTGAAGTTTGGCCTTCCATAGACACACCATCCCATTGGAGTAACTCCCATATTTGTTTCTTTTCTCTCATAATTTCCGGAGTTAAGATTTAGACAATTTAGTGAGCATTAAAAGCTAATGTTTTTCTAGTCACAGAATATGCATTTATTTATTACTTCGGCGTCCTAAATTGTATACGAAAATCCATAAGGTACGCATATGTTTTCTAAAATCTCAGTTAATAGCAATCATCATTGGGAAGTAGAAAGTTTAGGACAACAGTACAACAACAAAAATATAAAACTCACACAAATGACGTCATTTTCTTCAAATATACTTCGCATGTTTAGTTCATCTGTAGCTGTCCGTCGCCTCTAGAAAAGCAGACATGGAAAAACATTTTGATATGTATCTCACTGAAAACCTCATCAAAAGGAATCTAGAAATCCTACAAAGTCAAACTCTCACAAAAATTAGAAACAGATCAAGAATCACATTACTACAATGATATCTAGAATTCAATGTCCAGTTGACGAGTTAAATAACGGTGTTAAGGCCAGAAAAAACTTGCATAAGCTAAAGGCTCACCAGAAAATTCTTGCACACAGAAATGTCAAATAAGTAAGGAAAAATAACTGTTTTACATTAGATTTTGTCTAACATCCAGTTACTACTATATCTAACGCCGCGGACTACAAAATATTAATTTCAATGTCTTAAAATGAAACACATTTTGCCTTTGTTCCCCGACTCTAATCATCCATCGACTTACTTAACCACAGTCGAGTTAAACCTTTGAGTCAACATTAAAATGATACTAAGGGTGTTACAAGGATGTTAATTTCCTCTAGAAATCAATGTAATTGGTGGATCGTATCAGAAGTCATTGATACCCTAGCCAAAGAAGAGAGAACAAAGTTGCAGAATTTTACTCTTGCTACATGACACCATTCCCATCCAACCACAACAGAAATAGCAACTATTCCCATTAACACAGGAAAGCAATGCTCTTAGAATACACTTCAAATATCATTGATGGAATGTAGCTAAGCTCAGAAAGAAAAAAAGTGATATTTTTTCAATAAAAACTTCAACTTGTATAAGTACGAAACGTTCCAGTGGTACATAGGCAATCAACTTTCTATTATAAACAATTTTGAGATATTAGAACTGACCTTTTCTTAATATGTTTAACTTCATCACAAGATTAAGATACTTGTAGGACCCAAAGCCAGAGGTCATTCAAATATATTGATCCACATAGACACCTAATAGAAACCTAAATTTGACAACTAAACAATTTGAATTGCTTCATTGAAATAACATATCATTCCAAATACCCATTGCGCTCAAATGAGTGTAAGAAAAAGTCTGTGAATACCTGGATGCCGTCTGGTAAGTTCATTGATGAAAGCATTAAAACTGCATCTTGACTAAAATTGATCTCCAATCTCCAGTGTTTTGTAGCAACCTACATCAAGAAATTATATCTGAATGAAAAAATCAAAATTTATAGCCGTCATTATTCTCAGAAGAAAAACTCGGTTCACATTAATCCAGAGTAAACCAAGAGCCTTTTTACGTTTATGGAAAAGAGAGAAAAATTTACCGAAAGCCTTTTATACTCAGTTAAGCTTGAAGCATAGTCAAAGAAATTAAGCTGTAAATATGCTATGAATGCCCATATTCTTATCCACGAAGAATATAGTGCTCAGCCAGAAATACCAACGGTCCCTAGGACTAACTTCTATATTGCAAAGACACATTAGAGAAAACTGGTCATTTATAAAAATGGATCCTAAAAGACAAGTAAAAAATGTCAGGTGGTGATTTCCCTGCTGAAATTTGAAGGTGTTAAGAAGTTCACTCCCATTCCTAATCATTCTCTGTGGAAGCCTTATTTCAATACTTTTTTTTATCATTAGTCCAAAAACCGTAGAATAGAAAAGTTATAATTATGCCATAAAAAAATGTAATTCATTGAATGAGCCTCTATGAGTAGGACGTCTCATTAGGGTCTTTTTAATATATGGCAAATTTCTATGCAATAACCAAACTCGGGGATCGGTCAGAACATGATGTAGGCAACATGGAATTTATCTACAGATAATTCTAAATTAGAGTTTAGAAATCAGTTTAAACCATAAGACAGTTTCTATCTCTAAAATCATTCTCTTCCTATGAAATGCATACAAAATATAATGACACGTCCAAATGCATACAAAATATAATTTTTTTACTCAGAAGAAGCCACATTATAGAATAATAATGAATATTTGAAAAAATCATATAAAAGACCTCAATGACACGCCCAACAATAATATCTCCAATTTCTGGCTTGTACCTGTAAATAAAAGAACCATTAGTTTCTTAGTCATACAATATAACACATTATAAATGAAACATCTGGAGATCAATGATGAGGAATGAAGAATTAGCTGTTGAAATGATATCCGATAAGAAATAACTAATCCACCTAATATCTATAAAAAAGTTCAGAAATTATCTGTAAAAAAGTACTAATATCACACACACGCACCAAAGCATGAGTTTCAGGAATGAATTATTTGAGGAGGACACAAACAACCACATCTACGAAGATAAACGGGATAGCCTTCTTGCAAAAAAGTGACCAAAAATGATTAGGTGACTAGCAAGCTCGAAAAATAGTCGTAGTTGGGAGTTGGCTCCACGCTATTTAAGGTATGAGTATTGATAACATTGATTTCAACTTTTACAAGTAAAATCTTGGTTTCAAGCAGGGTAAATATGTATTTCTCCGCTTGAATGGCTATCTTATTTGAGTTCAAACTGAATTAGAAGAGTAAATATGAAAATTTATACAGATTTTCGAAGGTAGTTCCCCTCCACTCATGATACATAGGCGAGTTAGAAATTTAAGTATGAAAACTTTAATGTGGTGTCTAACATGACACGTTGGAACTTTTCATTCCTAACAGAAAAAAACTTTCTAGGGACATTTGGAGCCGTTGTACCCTTTGTACTTCAATTCCTTTATAAATAAGCCAACGCAGCCAGCCAAATTTCGCGGAGGCAAAGAACAGAAAAAGAAGAAGAGGAGAAAAGCAGTTGCGGTGGAATCCTTTTTCTGTTACCTTGCCCTCAGAGTACGCACATACACCAGCTTGTTCACGCGCTCAACGACGCCGCACAAGGTTGCCACCACCTGACCATCCAGCTCCGACGTTCCATGACCCCTACACATTTCAGTTCAGAGAAAATCATTCGTCAATACAGTAGAGCCAAAATAAGCAGGCAAAAGAGAAGACGCACAAAACGAGCAAGAAGAGCAAATCATTCCTGCCAAACGCTGACAGCCTCTTTAGACGCTGGCACAAGAAAACCACACAGATACACGTAAATATTACATCATGAGAAGCCTCTCACTTGAGAACGCCGTCCTCGTGGTTCACAGGGATGTTGTCGGCCACGGCGACCGTGGCGGCCGCAGACGAAGGCGAGACGTCCTGGAGCTTCTGGAGAGCCGTCTGCAGCCTCACTCGTTGCGTCTGGTTCAGCCTGAGCTGCTGGAGGTGCAAATCCCTCATCCCTGCGGTTCCTCCCTCTCCTCCAGCAGGGGCTGCGGCAACAGAGCGGGAGGAAACCAGCGAGACTACGAACCGACTGGTGGAGTCGAAGGCCTCTCTTTCTGCTATCCTGTTCCGTTTCAAATATACCCTCTGCGACGCATCCGAAAATCCAAGACCGAAACTAGAAGCTCTATGATGGGCCGGGCTTTCGAGCCAAGCGTTCATACCGGCCCAGCCCGTCAAGTTAAGAAAGCGAGCTTACTGGGATGTTCTTTTTATTTGGGCAATTTGGAAGGCACGCTTAAAGAGGGAGAGAGAGAGAGAGAGAAGCTGGACGTTTGGAAGAAGAGACCACCAGAAATGGAGCCCTCTGGGACTCTCAATCAATAAAAAAAGGGACTACAGTTGGATAAGTCGTAGATATATGCATGTAGGTAAATGAAGAAGCGAGAGCTCAGAACGCTCTGCCATACGTAGCAGACATTCGCTGGGTGGACGCTGCCCCCGTGAGCCCGGCGTGGATCGCTCCGGCGCACAGCAGCTGGGTCCCGCTGAGGACGATGGACAGCGTCTCCAGAGTCCTCTGCGGTACGACCAAGGCATGAATGCATGAGCAGTAGTAGTTGTGGTAGTAATAGCAGTAGTTAGCAGTAGTTAGCAGTAGTTAGCAGTAGTTAGCAGTAGTTAGCAGTAGTTAGCAGTAGTTAGTAGTAGTTAGTAGTAGTTAGTAGTAGTTAGTAGTAGTTAATAGTAGTTAGTAGTAGTTGTAGTAGTAGAATGATTGATCGATTACCAGGCTCGCCGCCCTCCACCCGATGCTGATCTCCTTGCAGGCGACGCTGCAGGCGGAGATAAGAGAAGAAGAGAAAAAGATGGTGTGAGTAAGGTTGTGTTTTTAGGGCGGGAGCTTTGAGCTTTTTCTCATGGTTAAGGGGAGAGGTCGGTTGCTGACCCCGCGGCGAGGAGGGTGAGGGACCAGGAGATGAGGGCGAAAGCCGCCGCCGCCGAGAGGCGAGGAACGCCACCGCCGGAGACGCCGTGGAGCCCCGCGAGCGAGGTGACGACGCCGACTGTCCCCGCGACGAGGGAGAAGATGACGAAGAAGCCCGTGGCCATGTTCCCGATTGGGTACACGATCGGGAACAGTCTCGCGGGGATCACGAAAGCTACAGACAGAGTTCACGTCGGCGGAAACGGCAATTCAGGCCCAGCGTGGAAGATGATTTAACATTCTCCCTCCCCTACGGCTTTTACCTGTCTTGGCTGTCTCCTCGACGCCGTAGTTGATGGCCCAGCCGGCGACGATGGCGAGGGCGCTGTACAGCGCGAGGTTGAGGACGAGGAGCCCGAAAGTCGCCGGACTGGATTCTCCGGCAGCCATTAGAGCCTTTGGACTGGGTGGGTTCCTTTTCCTCGATCGAGCTCGCTGCTGCAAATCTGCACCATCTCCCCGGCACATCATATAACCAGCTGCCGTCCGACGATTCCTTCCCCCCCGAGATCGGCCTGGAATTTCTTGACCCGGAAGAGAAGATCGTCCCGGCAGACTCCCCTGGAGGGAAGGAATCTCGTCTCATCCGACCGAGTGCAACGAGGTGAGGCACCGGCGAGCATCCACGGCTTGAACAGAAAGAAGAGCAGACCAAACGATCTACGTGGGAAGCAGGGAAAAGAACCAATAAAGGCCACGGTTCTTCGTTCCCATTCTGAACCGGGCTATCGAGGAATTATCTCTTCCGCTCGTTCTTGGAGCACGTGCAGGGAAGTAGCGTACTGAGAGAAGTGAAGAAAGACGATGAAACAACAGACTGGTTCGAGACTGGCTCGCTGAGCTGCGCCGCCTCCATTATGCCTCCCTGTCGAGCATCAGACTTTCAACTGCACCTTCTGGGAGGGAACCGGTTCCACCGTCGGCTCCCACAGGATCGTCGTCTCCGCCAGCAGTGAAGTCACCACATATGGGTCCATGTTGGACGCTGGGCGGCGATCTTCCAAGTACCCTATATTGCCGAAAAAAAAAGAAAAAAAAGAAAAAATCAGATCATCAGCCGAGGAATGGCGACGCCCAAGATGATATATACGACCAAATAAATATGAACACACCTTTGCCCTGCCTCTCAGTCTCCCGTCCCACACGGACCGAGCAACCACGGTTGGCAACACCCTGTCAATCAATAGCGAAATGGGCAACGGATCAGAGAGAATATTTTTCTCACAGAATACCGGACGCTGCAGCAGCCTACGATTTTATTTAGCACTGGGTTCTTTGGGCATACCCAAGAGAAGGTATTGATGTTGGCAGTCTCATGTTTGCCCGTCAGCCGCCGCTCGTTTCCTTCTCCATATGCACTGATGTGCTCCTTGTGACGGAGCGAGAGGTTGCCAACAGCCTTCTTAATGGCTTCGTATCCTCCATCCTCTCGCATGGTCTTTGTGCTGCATTAGAGAGTTCAGCGTTGAGGCACTATTATAACTGAATGCCATCACATGGGTAGCTTCTTTCACAAACAAAAGAGCATTTCAGCGTCATATTCTTTCAATACCCTGTAATTAACAGATAATTAAGCATAGTATTCAAAGAAAGAAAAGTAAATGCAAGAAAATTAGAGCCTTAACCTGGTGTTAGCAAAGACTTGTCCAGCATATAATTTCCCTATCTAGACCTTGGAAGTTCTAAGTCACTGTTTTTCTTCTTGGTAATACTCTATCCAATCATCTAATTTTGATAACCATTCTTTTGTGTGTGTGTGTGTGTGTGGAACAGAGGACGTCATTAATTTTATACGCATCATAAACGGAAGACCTCTTTGCAATAGATAAATCGCATGAAGGATTACCTGTAATTGGTGTGGCATCCAGCACCATTCCAGTCACCCTACAGCTCAGAGAATGTAATTGCACAGCGGATTTAGTAGTGAAGATAATCAAGAGATCAGATCATCTTGAAAAATACATTGTATTAATAAAGTACCTCAATGGGTTTAGGATCTAGAGAAAGCACGACACCCGCTTGTTCTGTGATTCTCTGAAAAATTGGAAATAGGAGATCAATAGTCCGTGCCAGTTCATCAAGTCGACTGCACATATACAATTGTAATTTCTGTTTTTCGTACACGACTAAAAAGTTATTTTGAGAGATACATGGCTTAATGTACCAAAAGGATTAAGCCATCAAGCTGCTTAGGTCTTGCACAAAGCTATAGTGAAGAAGAAAACATTGATAGCCTTTATTTCCTTGTTTTTATTTTGATCTCAACGAGCACGGATCGACATTGGACAATGTGAGTGTTAAGCCTCAAGAGCTTGTGCGTTCCACGAATCATATAAACTATCGACATTAGTCATCAAACGGACATACGAATAATTCTGGGAAAACCTCAACGGCTGATGGCATATTTGTCAAAGAAAAATAGAGTATGTTATAAGAAATCATTTGGTCAGTTGGATATTCGGGAGCTGCTATTTTTCAAAGGTTTTGGACTGTCTTCATCTAAAAATACTTCTTTTTGCAGTAAAAATTACCTCGAGGATGTATCTGGAAACCCATATATGATCCCCTGCATCAATTCCAACACTTGGACCCACTTGATATTCCCACTGCAAAAGAAGATCTTAAAGTGACGACCAAGAAGAAAAGATGTTAACTATATCACAATGTACGAAGCAAATTAGCATCTTCATCTTCTTAAAGTTAAACAGTGAATAGCTGATATACATAGATGCAATCACATTATTAGCATCTTCAATTTTCATGAATTCAAAGTAATACGTAAAAGTAGATATAAGTGTGCCATCATGCATGTGGTATGATAATAATAGACGTGACAGTGGGGGAGGGGGGGGCATCTGGGTTCACAGAAAAGGGTAATGAATACCTGACCAGGCATAACTTCTCCATTGGTACCACTAATGTTAATTCCAGCATATAGGCACGCCTTGTAGTGAGCATCTGATATATCACGCCCGAATGACTTGTCTGCACCAGCTGAACAATAATAGGGACCCTAAGCACCATCAAGAAACTAAGATTATTAGGACACAAGAAAGAACATCAACAACACCAAGATAGAGCTAGATAAGATGACGATTTTTCCCTCATATCATGAGCCATATCAAGAATAGAGAAACTATGATCCTGAGAACTGGTCTAAAATGTAAACAATCACATATAGATTTTTCAACTTGATGGATTATTTGTTATTCCTGATTTCATGGATGTATTATATGATATATACTTGTTAAGATTACATGTGCATCACACGTCTTCCATATATCTCCTTTTCACAACATTTTCACACTTTCTTCCCACTTTTACCAGGTTTTAAACTAAAAGGACCAATCTGCCAAAGTGATTACCTGGGGTCCAGGATATCCCCCAATAGGCCAGCCAAGAGGCCACTTCACGTTTGATTGGAGCAAGGTGTACTCCTGTTCAATTCCAAACCTAATGGCACACAGAGCATGTAGACATTTCATTACATAACAATAACGAAAGCCCATATTTGGGACAAAGTTATGGTATTTATTAACTTCTGCGAAAAACTTCACTTCCTCTCCATTCTTTTGGAGAGTAAGATTTTGGAAAAGAAGAGCAATTACCATGGGACTTCAGCAACAACCTTTGGGTCGCTGAAGATCTGAGCAGCTCTGTACCGCTTATTGGTGGGGATGGGTTCTCCATTAGGGGTGTATGAGTCGCACATAACCTTCAAAAATTAAGTCCCATTAATAACATAATATGAGTTGATTAATCCACCATATTACAGACATTTACACTGGCAAAGTCGCTTTTCATTGGATATAAAATTAAAAATTTTGAATAAATGAGCAAAATGCTACTCACCAAGATGTTGTTCCCCCCTCGGAAAGGATCTCTGAAAATAGCTTGTGGGCTGCAGACAGATCGTGCAAATTAGAACAATTCATTGAACAGTGTATTTCCCACTACGAACTCAATAATTCATAACAAAAAAGCACAACAACCAACAAAAGATGAGCGGGCTTTATTACTAGAGGATCACTTCACTGTCTTCTCCTGGAGCTTGTCCCGTGCTCGATCCATCATAGTTCCACTTTGGCAGCTCTGAGGGGTGCTCCACAGGTTTGGAGATGGTCTACAAGAGAATTGGAGGACGTTTTCACACAAAAAACGAATTCTCTTAATCGTCCTATCCTACTTAAAGTTCATAGGAATCAGACGAGTTCCTAGTTTCGCACCCGTGATTTGCTGCGCACATCAATCCCTGATCCACCAATCCTGTACAAAAAGGTTTCCGTTAAATGAGGGCAGGAGAAGCAACTTTGAGCAGAAAACAGGGACGAGCCGGAACAGATCCGACGAGCTGTGATGAGCACAAGATAAGCAAAACCTAGATAATAATCGGGTCCTAGACAGCCAAACGAGCTCCAGAACCACACCTAGATTACGAAAATATACTAGCTCCCAGCTAATCCCTACAGGAAGTAATCATTTCATCTCGCTTGAAGGCAAGGAAAAAATGTCGTGTGTTTGATTTTACGCACCAAATGTACTCCGCGATGATCCTTTCAGTGTAAGGGTTGACGTCGAGGTTGAGCAGATCCTCGAGCCTCGAGACGGCGGACGCCTTCACGGAGAAGCCCCTGTATCTGATGGATCCCCCTCTCCTGGAGCCCGGCACACCTCTCTTGGCCAGTAGCAGAGGGTTCCGCGCCAAGGCAGGCCTGATCGCGACGCCGCTCTTGCATCGTACTGATGGTGCAGGAATCAGCGCAGCCATCTTTCCTTCTCCCTTCTGTCCCCTCTCGTCTCCTCCGCTCTGCAACTAGGTTCATCAAGATCCGAAGACGGAAACAGAATTCGCAACACGCCTCTTGGATCATAAAAACGAAAGGCAGCAACAATCTCTCGGCGAATCCAAACGCAATCGGCAAGGCGAACGGAGGTAGTCGGATCGACATAGTTAGTACTCGAAGGGGAAAACAGAGAATCCGCATGACAAAATGGAGGGAATTTCCCCTCTGAAGAATGAATGCTCCGGGGAGCAGGAATGAATCCATGCCACGTAGCGAGGACGAGAACCGGATCTTGGATGGTGAACCCGGACTAAATAAAACCCGAGCCAACCGGAACGATGAGACGCCGGTCTGATGCAGATTTCGAAAAGACCCACCCCACCAAAACCGTGAATGATGAGAAATGAACAGGAACCATTCGGGAGGAGACTATTTCGCGACCCATCGAAGCGGTGCAGGTCAACGCCGGCGTTGCTCCCCCAATGAGGTCGTCGTTCCAATGTCCTCGGGAAGTCCATGGGAAGGTGAGAAAGAGAGGGAGTGAGAACTAACCGAGAGACGCCGGGCGACGGCGAGGTAATGCGGGCGCCCACCAGCTCCTCCGGCGGCGGCGGCGTTGGGGAGGAGGAGAGAAGACTTGCAGAAAGAGAGAGCGAGAGAGAGAGAGAGGGTGGACCGTTTATACTCGAGTAAAGAGAGGCCTTCAGTTCTATAGGGTCCACGTGCACAGGACACGGCGGATTAAGCTGTGTGAAGGGAGAAGCGAGCTTTGTCTCGGTGGCTCTTCGCTAGCAGATAGGGTTCTTCCGCTTTGAGTGGAGGAAAACAGGTCCCTTGGGAGCCCTCAAAGACCAAGGGATTCAGATAAGGGCGCCATCTCTCTCTCATACACACATCTGTCTGCTGCTGCTCAGAAAAAAAAGGTATTTTTATTCATCTTAAAAAAACGCTGGTAAGACCAGCGAGCGACTGAGTTTATTGGTACCTCTCGTACGTCGGCCCTCATCAACAGCTTCATGAGAAGGTCAACACTTCAAAGAAACCAATTGGCATTACATGTGGTTGTGAGCGGGGCCCACCGGCGTCGACCCTTTTCGGGCCCGCAGACAGCAAAGCCTCTGTGGTGATGTAACACCCCCTCCCGACCACCAAAATCCTCTCGCACAGTCTATCTAGCCTCATTGGGAGCCGTTCGTTTCTTTCCATTTAAATCAAGGTCATCTGAGGTCGCAGAAGCTGAATAGGCGAGGTGAAAAGATCGGAGAACCGAATGAGAGCAGGTAACTAGGAATGTTGGTGACTTAGAGAAAAACTATAGGTCTATCTATTTCTTTCTTGCATGCGTTTGTTTTATCCAAATAAAGGGAAATAAATTTAAAAATAGCAAAAAAGGAAAACTAGAAGCCATGTAATAATAATAGGATCCTCAGAGGATAACCCACCAATTTAGACCTACAAAAAAGCTGTTGAACAAATGGCCTTTCTAATGTTCCCCCTTGACCTAAGGCAAACATTGACTATCTCGTAGAAACAATTGTTGGAGGATGAACATATAGGGTACCACTAAGGTGGACGAAGGCCGATAGGATATAGGGGAGCCTTGATAGGAGGATAATATGATAGAAGGAGAGGGGAAGAAAGACTGAGAATAATGAGGGTAGGCGAAAAGGGAGGAAGAGCGAGAGAGAACGGGAGAAAGGGAAGAATGCTTTGATACAGATTGATTCGAGATGGTTTATCTCACACTACTCTCTAATCTGAAGCACATTTCAATGCTCCTATGTTGGCCCACCCCACCACCCCCACTTTTATAAGCCAAACCCCTACAATTTGATCTCTTCCTTTGATATTTGTGAGCTGTCTTCTCATATGTGCAGAGCTCCTCTTTATCCTCGTGTGGCTCTCTTATAGTTCTCCCGATATCAGAGAATGACTTCTTCTATCCTTATAGATGTTCACATCTTCCTAGAGATGACAGCTATCCGGCAATTATATCTTTTTTGGTGGGGATGTGACAGTCAGAGAGTATCCCATTAATACTCTCCCTCTAAGACTTTTATCTTGTACTCTAGCTGAAAATCTAGAAGTTTTTGAAAATACTTAGCCAGTTCCTAAACATTCTCTAAGTGCAAGTGGTCTTTTTACTAAACTGAAACTTTGACATTATGAGTACTTTGTCTAGTGTCACATACTACCACTGATTCCACAAGGCATGTTTGTCACCATCTAACATGAGAAGTGTTGTGGCGGATTGAGACATTGGACAAATGACTTGTTTCAGCTGAGACATGTAGAAGATTAGCTGGATGTCTGAGTGATGGTCCATATAAGTTTTCATCCTTGCTTAGGCCAGAGTCAATTGTTATTTGTGTTAGTCAAGTGGGTATCTTTCTTTTGAAGTAGGTGGGCAACATTGTCCAACCATATTTTGTTGGCTTCGTAGTGGAGAGAGACTAGGAGAGGTTTACTATAGATAATAGAGAATGATGTTATTCGTATAAAGGTTTAAATGTTGGTATCATACTAATACTTTGCCTTGACAAGCCACTTGCTCTATTATTGAGGTCAATCACTGGTGAAATAATAGCGATCAGTCTTGAGTACTTTGTTGACCACTTCTATCTGATCATTTATTTGCAAATGACATGAATCGATCTTGCAAAGTGTAGAGCCTTGCAACTTGAATAGCTCTTGTCAAAAGTTACTTAAGAAATCCAATTTGGATCGCTAAAAATTAAAGCCAAAATATTGTGAAATTTAATGATGTCATGTAGGAAGAGTTATATTATTTTTGTTGTTGTGAATAGATGTTTAATGGAAGGTAAATTGTTATATTTACTAAGTTGATCAAGGACCATCAAAATAGAATTCAAGTAATCTAACTTTGGGAGTCCTTCGATGAAATCCATTAATATGTCTTCTCATATTCTAATGAGAATGGATATTAGTTGAAAGAGACATACATGTTTGAAACATTCAAACTTATTTTTTTGGTAGATGATGTATGATTCAACATATTTCTAGACATCATTCTTCATTCCAACTCATAAGATATTTTGTTCAGTTCTCTTGTAAGTTTGTAAAAAACCTAAAGTGACCTCCAATAGTTGAATCATGAAACCCGTTGAACATTATTGGCATTACTATAGAGTTTTTTACAAGCACATTCAATGGATGAGGCACCTTAGTGGTAAGAATGTTTGGGCCATTTTTAAGATGTAATTCCAATCTTTTTTTATATACACATTACTTGTGGATTATCTTGGCTCTAATATAGTTATGGTAAGGTTCATTAATTCTAGTTAGTGGAGATCTTAAGGGTGTTACATGACTAATTATAATTTCTAAAATAAGGTAGTCTTATTTTTCAACTCATATCTTATATTTTTTTTAGAGTCAAAGTTGATAATTTTAGATAGTCACTTCGAATAATCAAGTAAGATATGTCATTATTCCAAGATGAATTTGAGGCTAGGATAATCAGTGAAAATGATTAATTTTTTGTCCAATAAGTAATGATTCTACTTCAGTGTATGTAGAATCATGGTCATTAATTCATTTTTGTCAACTATCTTTAGTATGTCACTAGAATAGAGAGCTTGATTGAAATATGTGATCGATTTTTGCTGATGTATAAGTACTGCTCCACTTATATGCAGCATTAACATTCAATTCAAAATATCATTTTTTTTTATCAAGTGTGATGATTTGAAGCAAAAGCTAGGATTGTTTTGAGCCGCCCAAAGGGTGTCATTCTTGTGTTGTTGTGTGAGAAGTAGTAATACTCAATTAATATCATAAATTCTTTAAGCTCTTAAAGGGTGTTAGGTGTGGTCCATCAAATTATGACTTTGATCTTATCTTGGTCAATCATAAGACCTTTAACCAACTTTATTTTTTGACATAGGTCATTGTTATTTGTCTGAAGAAACATTTCTTTAAGTTTATGTATAGATAGTAAGACTAGAGGATGGTGAACACTTGGGTCAGATGTTCTTCGTGTAATTTTTAATTCAAGCTACAAATAAGGATAAAAATTATCATCACAAATCTCTAGAGAAATTGATTGAAAATATAGTTCAAAAATAATTGAAATGTTGCCAACTCATTGGAGGGGCCAAAAAGTACAACAAGAAACTTGTAACGTAATTCATAAGTGTGAAATATTATTTTGGGGATATCTCCTCCTCTGAAAAGATTGTCACATTGTACAATTTATCAAGGAGTTCATCAATGTTTAGAATGAGAAAATAATTAGAAATTATAACTTATTAAGTGCACAGTAATCAATTCAAAATCTCATAATTAGAGTAAAACTAGAGTAAGGACTGGTGGAGTATTGTACAATATTATTAACTGACATTGTGTAAAGGAGTTTTTCAAACTTATCTTTTAAAAGTGACGATACATTAAAATTTTGATATTTAAAGATTTAGAGTTTGATTTGATAGTGATGGCATGATTCACTTCTCATATTAGAGTCAGTATGTAATTGATGTTGAACACAACCAAAAATTGTGTCTAAATATGGTCCTCAAAGTAGAATGTTATTGTCTTGATTAATTGGTCATGGCGGGTGTGTAAAAGTTGAAATAGCTCAGTCATGAGCTTAGTCTTTTGATGATCTTAGATAAGGCTTTGAATGAAATATTGATTTTATGATTTGACACATTTTCTCAAAACATAATTTAATCTAACTCAATGATGAGAAAAAATTTCTAATGCTCAAATTTTAGCTTCATTTTTTGATTGTGCTTATCCATTTGATCTTTCTAACTATGTTGACATTTTTTTAAGTCATACTGGTAGGTCTTCATTTATCATGAGTAATTAAATCTCTATGGTGGTACCACAATAAACTCTCATGTTTAGGACTCTATCTCCTATTTTTTATACAACTTGAGATTGAGAGGTGGTGTTCGTTAAGAGATACAACTCATGTACTACTTTCTAATAGATGAAATAGTGGGAGGCTTGAGTGTTG